AATCTCACTCCACATTTGGCTGAGCCTACTAAATCTGGGCGCAAAATAGGCATTAATTCATGATGAAGAGGCCTATTACCACTGATTTCGCGTAGTGGCCTTCGTGGGGGCATAATTCGTTGATAGAATGGGTGGGTTGTGGGTGCAAAACGCGAAAAAACGCGAAAAACGCGAAATCAACGGAGACTTTTGACCGGGTACTGTAAATGCAGTATCACCCACGGCCCGATGCCGCTGCAAGGACGCTTAACGTCGGAGCTTAGCATCTGACGTCACCCACCAATCCAAGCTGCAGTGGCCAGACTCAGTTTACCTGAATCAAACAATGCAATCAACTTTCCACTACTTCACAAACAGTCCAAGATGTGAACACCCAATCTGCCAAACGCAGGTTCCTCTTCACACTTCCCACCAATGACTTCCATCTTCCGAAACTTCCTGGAAGCCATCCTACCAGCCTGGCTCACCAACACCACAAGTCTTTCCCATCCCCCTAACACCGATGACAACAACGATACCAACATGTACCACCCCTCCTCCGCCCGCGAAGTCTACCACGTAGCCTTCCTGCTCCGTCAAATCCTCGTCGCAGACCTAATCCCCATCATCCTCGACTTCGCTGAATACTGGCCCAGAACCACCTACTCCTGCCAAGAATCAAAGACCTACGTGCAACACACAGCTGGACGACCATACCTCAGCGCCGTCCTCAGCAATGCGGTGTGCGGACCGCGAATGATACGCAAGATCGAGATCCACGTCACGAGCCACGATCAGGGTTGGAGTAGTTTTCCGCAGGATCATGGGACGTATAATGGGAGTTGGACGTGGTTTGAGGCCGAGGTACGCTCGGCAGGAAGTGTGGGTGAGGATGAGGATGAGCATTGTGTGAAAAAAGAGTTGTGCAGGAATGTGCATGCCGATGCTACGGATAAAACGCATACAACTACGTGGAGATACGACGCTGAGGATGATGGAGAGAGAGATTTGGTTCGGTCTCTGGGGCCTGGGAGTTCGATTTCGGTGGTTCCTTGGGCTAGGTTCCCGGGCTGGCAGAATTATGTTACATGTGCCAGTGTGGATGTCTACGCTGTTGCTGTTAGGAAGTTATGAGAGTGGTGAGCAGTCATAATGGGAGGAGATTGGGGAAGAAGAGTATTCTGCCCATTTCTGTAGGGATAGCGCTCTTGTTTCGGGAGCTTTTCTCCAGTCGCTTCTCACAGATCGCTCAATCGCCATGTAAAGTCAAAGGCGGACCCGAGTACCGCTGCCACAAGATAGCATCGGGAGTCTTCAGATCGCCGAGTCTGGACAGCTAATCCTTTTTCTCCTCCACTGGCTCAACTCTCCTCTTTCCCACATCCTTCCAGTCCGTGCTTAGCGCTGTCCCGCCGCTTTCCTGGTAACTCTTCATCATCGCTCGCCTTGTGTCGTCATCGGCCCCTGCATAGAGCTTCTTGAAAAAGCCGTCCACCGGATCTCCGCCATAGTCACTGTCAAGATCGTCATCTTCATGTCCATGCTCGCTCTCTCCTTCATCACTTTTCTCCGTTTTGTCCTTCTTCTTATGCTTCTGTGATGTCTTCTTCTTTGCTGTAAGATCTTCCGCCAGTTTGTCCCAGTTCTTAGGACCTGATCGTGAAGACGTTGGATAAGACGGTGCGGTCTGGGTAGCTTTGACAGCATCCTCAGCGAGCGTGGATAGAATAGCAGCTTTTGCGACAGAATCCGGTGGGTGAGCAGTCGTCTCTTCTTTAAGGGGTACTGAGCCCTCAAGTGCATTCCATTTCTGGCCAGGGGTTCGTTTGCGAAGTGTAATTTCGATCTTGGTGGACATAACTGATGCTTTGGAACCAGATATGTCAATAAGAGCGAAGAGTGGGTCTAGGGTGAAGGTAAAGGTGGAAGTTGGATTGGAAGGGTGGGGAAACGAGACAGATATGGAATCCTCATTGATCTCGAGTTCTGCCTTGTCCCTTGGAACGCCCTTAGCATAGAGAGTGACAGTGACATTCTGTGCATTTTGGAACCATTCGTGCCGAATCTTGGCCATGCTCTGCGAGGTTGCAGCTGAGGAATGGGATGGCGATGACGCTGGTTCATTCAACACGGTTGTTTCGCAGTCGACCTTTATGCCGTTTGCTGGGACATCATCAGGTTCTTTTGTGAGATCACCGCCCACTATGTCTGTCTGCGTCTCCCCAGTAGCTTCTCCTCCACATTCTCCTGGAAATCTGAACGTGCCATCTGCTTTCAGTTGAGACTGCAGCAACTTCTTCATGGCCGAATCATTGGGCAATTCTGTATCCGGATACTCTTTCACAGTAATAAGTCTCGCAGGGTCATCTTGTGATAAAGTGTTCAGCTTCTGGTCGATCTTCGCCTTCCACATATCTCCTTCCATCTTGTCCTTTTTCTCCTTCGTCCTCCATCTCTCCATTGTGCTGAGCACAAAAGCTGCATTACCATACTGCTGTAGGCCGAACAAGGCGATGACTCGTCGTTGTTGTGCTGCTTGGATCTTCTCTCTTCTAGCACGTTTTTGTCCCAGTAGTACAGCATATTCGGCATCCCTCAGCGCAAGGTCATGTTGCGGTTGGTGCGGAGCTTTCAGTCTTGTGAGTGCTGTCGAACGCTGAATGAAATAGTCAGGTGAGGTCGGATGTTGGACTAGAGCTTGGGTGTAAGCAGAGACTGCAGTTGAAGCATCACCACTAGCCAGCGCCGCAGCACCGCGGGTCGCTTGGTCCATAGCTCTGATCAAGGTATTTGTTGGTTGTTACCTGTTGTTGGTAACCGGAATGAGAAGAACAACTTACGGTCTTCATGAAGTAGGATCTGTACTAACTTTAGTTACATAGCAGAGTGACAGAAATACCAAACTACGAGGCTGTTGCTGACAACTGAGTTTATGAAGGTGATTGGCAGCACAGTTTGGGACAAAATCTAGCAGTGATATTAAGTGAATTAAACGGTTTACACTTGATTTGAAGATGCCATCAAAGCATGTTCGCTCACAATATCCTTCAACTATTCGACTTTTAAAACCCACTCTACTCTTCTCCTTCCAGAAATCTGGACAACCCATGAGCTACAATTAACCGGTGATAGGAAGTGAAAACCTTACATTCATGGGCTGATACCCTCACGGTAGGGTAACGAGAGCTCTGGGAGGTTGGGAACAGGGTCCAATCTTGGGGCGGGGCTTGTTGGGCTGTGGACTCGCGTTGATGACGAGCCTATAGAGCTGAAGGAGGCTGATCTCCAGGATCCACTGCTCCTATCAAATTCGCCTTCGCCAGATAGACCGCTTTGGTGCTTGCGTTGGGCACGGTGCTGTTCGATGGCGTTGTACTTGGCCCTGTGATCTTCAAGCAGGTTGTTGAAACACCGGGCGAAATGTATGCGCTCAGCAGACGACGTGAAGTCGAGGTTGAGGTACCCAGTTTCCTTCGATTTTAGTCGACTGAAGCCGGGGTGTTGCTGACTGGCAAACAGAGCAAGGTCAAAATTCGCCACCTGTGATGGCTCCACGGAGTGGATGCGAAATGGGAATTTGAGGTTTTTCTGTTTTCTGGTATATCGTATAGCCACGCTGGCGCAGCTGTGGGGCTTTTTATCGTCACATGAGCAGGATTGATAGGACAGGCGGTGTTGAGGAGTCACTGATGAATAAGGGTTAGGTTCAGCATTGGTGGGTCGTTGTGGGGTTACTTACGCTCGATGTGGATAAATGTATACTTTTTATCTAGCATAGTGAAGATAAACAGCACCGGAGCAGTAAGCGCTTTTATGACTGTGATTCTTTCATTACCTGTGGATTCGGCCTCGGATATGACAGAACTCGCAATTGTTGGCGTTGCTGGTGGTTTGTCTGTTTGCGCACTAGGCGGAGACTGGATGGTGTCGTTGGACCTAGAAGATATCGGCATAGTAGCAGTGGGGTCTGATGCAGAGGCATCCTCCGCTCTCTTGCGGGCACTGAGGCGCTTTCCACGCCAAAGCTGAATTCTATTTTGAGATTTGATGAGGTTCTGTCCACAGTCCTTGCTGTGGAATTTCCAGGCAACAGAAGTTCTATGTATATTAAAGAGTGTCCATATGGGAGACTTTCTGAGTCCTTACTTATCGCAAATAACATGATAGCCCATAACGGCATGTTGAAATTTGAGCACATCTAGAGCAAATGATGTTAGGTTTCCATAGCTAGAGAGTCCAGAAGCAAAAGCGTACCTGAGTTGTCCTTGAACGTGAAGAAGGAGCTGTGAATGGACATAGTGTTGCGGACTTCCACCTTTGTGGATGCTGCTTCATCTGTCGGGATGGCATACCAGGGAATGTATCGGTAATGGTGGATGTTCATAGGATAATTGTCAGTGCGCGGACCGCTGGTGGCTGTAGCAAGTGTCCTCTTAACCAAGAGGAAGTCTACCTCGCTTTGGTTTTGGCGGACTACCGCCAGATTTTGAAGGCTTCTTCCATCTTCGTGTATTACTGGGAGAACCAGTATCTCCTCTGATGGAGCTCCGACTTCAACTCCAACATTAGCAACAGGAGAATCGGATTCTTCGTGAGCAATCCAGATCTCAAACAAGCCCTGCTCAAGTACCTCCAGCTCTTCCTCTCTGTACCGTTCGATGTTATCACGGCGGAACTCCAGTCTAATCTTCAGCTCGATAAGCCTGGCAGAACGGTCGTAATAATATCTCTCAGAAAGCCCTCTCGCCTCCCGCAGCTTTTCTGACAAGAATTGAGCCTTGATCAGGTTGAGATATTGCTGGCTCGTCTGGATCCCAGATAAAGGCCCGTGGTACGAAAAGGTACTCTGCATAAAAGTCCGATGAAGAGCATCAAACATTAACTCGATGACTCTATCTGATCCATCTGAGAATGACTTGGGTTGGTTGGACGAGAAGGCGACCTCAAACCTTTGTTGCAACCCAGGTGGTATTGGAGGAAGGCGTAATTGGCTAGCAGGTGTTCCTTGAATGAGGAAAGCGTGGAGGTCTCCCATCGTGGCCATGATGAGGTTGATGCTCATTGAGATGTCTTTCAGGAGCCCATGCCTGAGTGGCTCCAAGACGAATTCCATCTTGATCATGTGGAATTTAATGCGCTCCCGGAGAGCATCCACAGTTGGCTTGACGGAGATATGCCAGTACGAATTCCTAACGAAGGAGAGGCCCTCGCGGCTGACTGCCACGTTTTTCTTCAGTAGCTTCTCGCAATCTACCAGCGTAGCCTCAAAATTTCCCACCAGAGCGCGTCGGTCCTTATCCAACGCATCTTGCAAAGGATCATAGTATCGGCCATCATGGACTGACAAGCGATATCCTGTCTCAAAAGCAAGCTTCAGAGCTTCAAGGTTGCCTGAGAGGTGTCGTATGTCGTCACCAAATTCTCTGTATAGGGAGTCTGTAGGTGTGAATTGAATTAGTGCCTTTCCGAGAAAGAGATGGCCAACGCAGATTGTGCCGCCCGCTTCAGGCGAGTGCGAAGTGGTGCAGATCCCGGCGGGGTGGAAGTTATGTAAGTCATCGAGCTGCCTCACCCAAGATTACGTACCAGCTCTATTCGCTCTGTCAAACCAAGTTCGTTGTATCTGAATTGCCAGTCCAATGCCGTTGAGTATGTCTGATGGCGATATGCCAACGATGGACATTCTCGCTTCGACTTCAAGTTATTCAATGATGCTATTCAATTCCAGAACTCCACGCGGCGGGAGCCACGGCATAGCGACCCGTGGAAAGCTCGACGACTGCAGGCACGTTAAGTATGACGGTCAGGGTAAAAGCGACACTCATTGCGCACCGCGCAAACAAGCTGGGTCGGGTCCTTTTGGCTCGCCTGATTTCGACTTAGCTACGGAGTACCTAGGTCAGATGTCAAGTACTACGGTAGGAGGCATAATGTTCCGCACCTGCGCACTAGTAAGTAACGTCATTAACAGTGCTCATACAGATACCCTGTTGCTCTGTACGAATGCTCACTGTCGGCATTCTACACGCATTATGTTGATTTTAGCAGCTTAGAATACAGTCCCTGAGAGCTATCTTACTGAGCTCCTTGAGATGCCAGGCAGTGAAGGATGCAGAAGGACGGCATACTCAATGTTGAGAAAAACCTAGACTAGTCCTAATTGAGCGATTTTGTGGCGTTCTATCTTGGCGTTACAAGTAGTTACTAGTGCGCAGGTGCGAAACATTATGTCTCCTACTGTAGTACAGCCTTGCGAGCTGCATAAGCGCTTCTTGGAATCAATAAATCAAGGGGCTGTGGCTTCTTCACAAGCGAACGATGCCGTTCCAGGCCCGCCCCCGTGCATTAGCCTACTGCTATTCTTCGCTCTATAGGCTGGCTCACGCCATAAAAGCGAGATGCCCACTCTCGGTACGGAGTACTACGGTACCTATGTTGTTACGCCCGTTTCAGGTCTAACTCACTGTAAGTCGTTGATGGACGCCTCTTCAGGGCGTTCTTGGAAGACTATTTTGTCGGCAGGGCAGAAAGGTCTGTGAATCGACACAGCCTGATCTGGCCGCACATGACAGTTGCTCTCAGAGGGTATAAATATAGAGGTGCCTCCGTGTACCTTAGTACTCCAATTGATCCATGGAAAACCAGGTGTGAAAATATGACCCAGGCCCGCGACTCATAACCCTGAACCTGCAGTAAGGTTCTGCTGCCATTCACTCATCGCAACATGTCCTCCTCATCTAGTCTTACAGAAGACTGGGGAAGGCGGGGAAATGCCGATCCCGATAATGAGCGTTGCGAAGAGACGTCGCCGAGTGACAGCCAGAGGTTAGGATGGTTTACTATCATGTGCCTCATTCTCAACCGCTCAATAGGTCAGACCCGTGGATTGAGTCCAGGCTAAACGGGCGGCAAGTTGACACTCGCTGCGTTTAGGTACTGGTATCTTTGCAACTCCATCGAAGATATTCCTTGGTGTAGGCAATGCCGGCACGTCGCTTTTGCTGTGGGCATTCGGCGGGGTAGTCGCTCTGGCCGGTCTGCATGTGTGGAACGAACTCGGTCTTTCTGTGCCTCGAAAATATGAAAGGAGCGTCCCGCGTAGTGGAGGAGAGAAAAACTATGTAAGGGTTCCCCCAGCTGCGTCCGCTGGCCGAGTTCCGTTACCGGAATTGCTAACATTCCTTGATTGTAGTTCGAGTACATGCTCAGATCGCCCGCCTTCCTGGTCACATGCATGTACGGGATCGTCTTCCTCATTCTTGGGAACTTATCTGGCAATGCGATTCAACTCGGAGTATATGTCATGGTTGCGGCAGGCCACGACAATCCCTCCAAAGGCCCTGTCCTGGGAATTGCAATTGCTGCGTTAACGCTCGCCGTCTCTGTCCACATTTTCTCACGTCGAGGGGGCATTGTGCTAAACAATGCATTCGCAGTATTCAAGGTCTCACTTCTTGTCACCATCATTATCCTGGGGATTCTTCGAAAATCTGGTCTAGATCTGGGCGGCGGCAGTACGCAGACTAAGAACTTCGAGAAGCCATTCGCAGGTTCATCGTCCCATCTGGCGCATTATGTTGACTCGTTGCTGTACATATTGTACTCATACTCCGGGTTCAAGCAGCCATTCTATGTTCTCGGAGAGGCAAAAACTCCAAGGAGGATATTTCCTTGGGCCACAAATGCCGCTGTGCTCATCCAATGGCTACTCTTCGTCTTGACGAATGTTGCTTATCTCTGGGCAGTTGACGCGACGCGAATTGAAGAAACGCTTGCAGAGGACTACAATGGGCAGTCAGACATGGTGAGCTTGTTCTTTGAATCGATCTTCGGTACCGAAAGCCCCACCCCCAAAAGAGTGATGACTGGACTATTGTCGCTCTCGATCTTGGGCAATATCATTGTCATGACCTGTAAGTCTACAGAAGTGCACTAAGGCGTGATTTCCACTGACTAGTGCAGTCACTGCAGCTCGCGTCAAGCAAGAAATCGCAAAGGAGGGCATCCTTCCCTGGTCGCTCTTCTTTGCCAAATCCACTCCCACACCGTGGGCTTGGCTGAAGCTGCGGTGGGCCTCCAAACGCCGTCATAGCCATGCTCATCCGGGTAGTGGTGATCGCTTCGCAGCAGCCGAACGAGAGCTACCAGACCAGAGCCCGATCGCCGCTCTGGCCCTTCATTTATTCACCTCCGTCTTCCTCATCGTCGTCACAGCCGGCCTCGACGTTGAGACCAGCTATACCTTCCTGATATCCATTTATGCTTACGTCATCAATGGACTGATTGGTTTCCTTGCTGCCGGTGGCCTTCTGTACATGATGTACCTCCGAGCCGAGGAATGGCGCATTGTTTCGCAGTTCCGTCTCGGCCCCTCACGCTGGACACAGTCCCTCCCGGCATGGCTTTACTGCCTCTTCACGGGCTTTCTCATTGTCTGCTCCTTTGTTCCTCCACCCTCCAGCGACAGAGAGTACAGTGATAGCCGTACCGGTTTCCCGTGGTACATCGTGCCCGCAATCGGTCTATCCTCGATCCTCTGGGGCCTGATCTGGTATGGTGGTCTGAAGCTGGAAGAGCGAAGACGAGGCGAGATTCTCATCAACGATAGGAATCCAGCGATTGAAGAGTTTGTTTCGGATGATAAGACCCACAGGGAGTGGATCATGACTTCTGAGATTATCACTCGTAGATGGATGACAAGAGGGTACCGTCATGAAATGGCTATGGATTGATTGCTAAGGATAGCATGAGTGGGTGATTCACCGTCATGCAGAGAGGATTTTGCCAGCTTTTGCCTCGAAGCTGAGACACCCTTGCATGCATTACTATCACCCCCCTCACCTACCCAATCATCCTACTCGTTCAACCTCCGCGCTCATGGATTTAGGTGTAGAGAAGTCTGGCTCTGGCACCACTTCTCGACTGCGACTTCCCCGCACAACTGAGCCTGTCGTGTATCAAGCATACAATAAAGGGACGTGTTGCGTGGGATGTGGTGAGCATGACCAAGGGACAGGTGAGCAGCATACCTGGGTAGGACTGAGCCGTGCTTACGTAGATTGGTTGTGGGTGGTCCTGTTTACGTGATAGTAATTAGCCCTCTTCACTTCCGTTTCTGGTGCAGTCTCAGGGAGGTGACGATCATCTACACTGGCATCGGATGGTACTCCTTTCCCAAGTCTATCTTGCTCGTGCTAGCGGGAAACTGTGTAGGTTAGTTGTATAATACTGTCAAGCATAGGAGGTGTTTATCTGTGCAACCTTCTGGTCCTCGCCTCATGTCTCTATCCATCACAAGGCAGGCAGTGAAGACGAAAGAGATAACCATAGACGTCCTTGTTCACTTGGGTTCCTGCACATCGACCATTTGCACTGATTCAGGTTTGGCTAATGTGACGCTCAACATCGTCAAGGGTATTGATCTGAGCATCACGGCCCGCTTTGACCGAAATGTCGACAAAGAATTGTACCTTCCCATCCGCTCTTCGCTTTCGCACAGCCACAGACGCCGTCTTACCACACCGAAGAGACCGACTGACTCTATCCAGGCACAGAGCCTTCCAGCCTGATTTTCATTATCCGGCCCGAGCCAGACGAGGACTTGTTTGGCGGTGCCGTAGATATCGCTCATTAACGTGAGCTGGTGGTTGCGTTCGGGAATGTTTTCCTGGTTGATGCATAGCGCGTCTATCCAGATGCGACGTGACTGCTCATCATGTTGTAACTGCCTCAGCGCCTGGCCGAGGTTCTTCGTGATGCGGATCTTGCCGCCATTGCAGATGAGTGGTGTCGAGTCAAATTCTGTGCCCCAGACGTAGGATAGCGCAGAAAAGATCTCTCCTTCGCCGAGCGTGCTGTGGATGAGCTTCGCATTTGGGAGGCTACTGTGAGTTGGGCCTAACGAAGGTTCGATCTGCCGGAGGCGGATTTCTTTGGGATTCTTTAGAGGTTTGTAAGAACTTTCAGGATGAGATGGCATTTTCATCAGGTGAAGGGTGTGAGCTAGATATGAAAAGACGGGAAACACCTGATAGTATTGATTCTGTCGCACGGCAGGTAAATAAAAGGAGAGTAAAATCTGCCCTGAGCTCACGTGGACGCTCACCTAAGCCCGCGCCGCTTCAAAGCAGTTCACACCCCCCTGACCTTCAAAATCATCCTTCACTCACCTTCGACTCACCTCGCTCACCCTTACGTTTACCCACTGACTGTCCTCGACCTGCAGCGTCTCCACCGCGCTCTCTGTCTTTAGCGACGAAACCGTGTTCTAAAATTAGCATAGCAAACGAATTCCCTTTCTGTCTCCTTCAAGGATGGAACACAAAAGGCCTGGTGCCGCCCATATAGGTAGTCACCTTACCCTCCACCTCTGGAAATCCTCCTTGTTTAATCGGCGGCTGCTCTTTCTCCCTCTTTACTCTCCTTTCCAGCCAGTCCTCCTTCCAGTCGATTCTCACTACATTTCCAGAAACTGTCTGACACCGTCATAGTTCAGCGAGATTTACCAGTAGATGAATGGCTGCTGGCTCGCGCTAAAGCTAACAGTTACTAAAGAGGGATTCATAAAGAGGCCGACGAAGTTCGTGGGCGAGAAAAACAGATCACGACAACAAAGAAAAATTAAAATGGCACTCTTTAGGACAATCCACTCAATTCCATCAACGTCTGCCTTGCAAGTTGCGTTGATGAAATCCGCCGTTCTGAGCAGTCTGGTATTCACAAAGACTTGTTTAGAGAGAGAAATATCTAATGGAAAAACGTAAGATATGCGCATCTGCAGGTTCGTCACGTTTAGGACACGAAGCCATTTGCTCTCGGAAAGCCTGAATATAACATCGCTATCCATTACTTTGAGACCACTAGCGAGTTCTATCAGGGCCTAGCCGCGGGCCCCTGTGTCAACTGACATGTTTATGTTCTCGATGCTTAGGTGGAAGGCATGAGCGGTTCCCCACCCCGAATAAACCGGCCAGTCCGCCCCTTTTTGTGCTTTCTCAGAGAACCCACTAAAGTGCCATTGGCGTCTCCATGTTGCTAATATCGAGAATCGGATCGCTGCGGCTTCTTCGGTAAAGCAGTCGGAGGCTGGCGGGATTTGGAACCACTTTATGAGACTGCTGCGATGCTGTGACGGATATCGTCACGACGGCGAGGCTCCTCAAGCTATCTAAAGTTCTTCTCAATAATGGCCTTTTGCTTTTCGGGATCTTTCTCCGGCATCCTTGCAATCTCCGTAAGTAATGGAGTCTTCAACTGGAAATTTCGAGAGAAATTCAACAACTCTTTCAACTTCTAGGTCCTATGTCGTGCAGTCTACGCATTTTCCCTCTCCAGAAATCCACGTTCGTCCACAAATTCGCGAAAGGATATCGCACTGAGCCGTCGGTCTTCTTCTGCATTCAGCCTGGCCGTCTGCTGCTAAGCAATCCTCTTCTCTTTACGGGTTTGAGGTGCGGTGCGCTGTCGATCTTCTTCTATCTTCCACCTGACCATCTCCTGCATATGTTTCCTCTTTTCTTCATCAGTCCAAGGCGTAGTGAAGGCTGGGGTTGGTCTGGAGAGCTCAGGGCTGCGCTGACTAAGTATAGGTCTAGGTGAGACGGTTCCAGACACAAAGTGATCTAAACTGGTGCGCTCACGGTCCTGAAGCTGCTGCCCTTGTAGCTGTTGTTGACGTTATTGATGTAGTTTAGCTCGCAGCTCTCGTTCTTGCTTTTGTGGATACTGGTATTGCTGGACGAGTGGATCAAGTAGCTTCTGCCGCTCGTCTTGAGCCTGAAGAGAATTGCCAGCCACTATTTGAGATGCTGTGCCAGTGTCCTCTCCGTACGGGAGCCCGGTCTTTGCCTCCAGACGAGATTCGGGAATTGGCTAAGGGTAAAGCTCTCGATCCGCAATCGCTCCTCTTTTTGGAAGGACCCAGTCTTTCCATCCTTCCGCCTTGCGGACATACCAACCGGTGCCTCGGAATTGCTTTGCAATGATGCTGTTGAAAACTTGGAGAAGAACCTCAGTCAGCTTTTGCATTCGCAGAGACAGAGTGCCGTTGTCCTTGAACAATGCTTCGATTCGTTTGAAATTAGCAATCACGGGAAGGGGCCCCCATCCCTTTCGCGCTCAGCATTTGCCAGGTTAGCTTCCCACTCTTCCCGTTCCTTTCTCTGTTGCTCATGAGTAAGTTTGGCTGTATCCCTTTCACGCTTGGCATTTGCCAGGTTAGCTTCCCACCATTCCTGTTCCATTCTCTGTTGCTCATGAGCGAGTTTAGCTACATCCCTTTTGCGCGCAATATTTGCCAGGTTAGCTTCCCACTCTTCCCGTTCCTTTCTCCGTTGCTCGCGAGCGAGTTCGGCCGCATCCCTTTCGCGCTCGGCATTTGCCAGGTTAGCTTCCCAAGCTTCCCACTCTTCCCGTTCCTTTCTCCGCAGAGCTTCTATCTCTACGGCCATCTCTACAGCCTTCGCCTTGACATATACTTCTGCAGCGCGTGCTTCTTTGGCCTCAGCAGCAGCTCTATCTGCCTCAAGAGCTTCGAAGTCGACATCGTCGTTGTTGACAGGCTTCTTCTCCGTGTGCGTCTGCAAAGCAGCCAGGGGAGATGGGCTTCGAGTAGGAGGCAGAACCTCCAGGGAGGAAAATGATGATGATAAGTTTTTCTTGACCTCTGGCGGTGCAAACAAGGCGTTCCAATCCCACAGAAGGGGGAACATGCCAAACAAGCGGTTTAGAAGGGTCAATGGGTTCTTCAGCTGTTTGATCCACACATGTTGCCTGTTTCTGTCTCTCCTTGAGAATGCTCAGTACATTACCTGCTACGGCTTCAGTTGCCTCGCCTTGGTAGGTGGCTTTCATTACATCGATAGCGAAGTGCTTATCGACATGATCAATCCATTGATCAAAGTCGTCACCTGCGTAGCCGCAGGCGAAAAAACACGGGCGCAAGAATCGTTCACGCTGCTTTGCGGTGTGCATCTCATCGGCATTGATTTTTGATTGGCCATGCTGCTTCTTTTTGTGGTCTCGCAGACGATCTTTGCGAGGGAATATGTCGGCGCAGAACTTGCAAAGCCACCAGGCCCTTGGGACATTTAGCTCCTCATGCGCCTTCCATCTCGCCTTGGTGCTAAATTGTTGACCGCAGAGCGAGGTGCACGAGTAGGGCTTCCGCGGTTCAAAGTTCTTGAGCATCCAGGTAACTTCGGGCTTTCCACTGCGACGGCAGTAGGGAATGCCCAATGCCACATGTTCCGGCTGGATCTCAAGAGATGATGTTGTTGTGCCAGCGCTTGCGCCACCAAACCCCTTTGTGTCGAACAGTTCCATCTTGTCCTTGACCTCCATCTCGTCGCTGGAAGCGTTTGAGATGGCATCCAAGTCGTCATCGCTGTCGTCATCGTCGTCATCGTCGTCGTCGAAACTATCAGCGTTTCCAACCATCGGTGGAAGTGAGAACAGGGCGATCTGTTCGAGATCTCCGCCTAGATGTTTTTCCAGCTTCTTCATGGTGAGACAAGGCTCTCGGCATAAAGGGCAAAGTACGCCACCGTCGGGGAAGTCGCACGTCTTTCTGAGGGTAGCTATATGCTCCACCTGCTGATCACTGATGCTGCTGCTGTGAGCGTCTTTCAGATGCCGATAAAATTCGACATAGCTGACGAAGACCTCATGGCATGGCGGAATGCAAACATAAGCGATGTAATGAGTTGTCATCTCATGCTCAAACCATTCACGGCGACTTGCAAACATGACATCCTGTATTCGACACCCTCCATAAGTACATACATAGGGTCGGAGGTCCTGCATAATATGCTGCTTCCACTTCCGATTACCTTTGACATTGGTGATCCGTCGATAGCAGATCTCACAATCAAATGGCTGTCCCTCGAGGCAGCTTGGTGGAGGCACTGGACAAGGTAAATGCTTTTCATCTTGCGGACGCACTGTAGCTGCATACGACGACATAGACTCAATAGAGCTCTGCGAATCGTTCCCACGCCGAGGTGCGTCGAAAACAGATTGCGAAGAGGAAAGCGTAGAAGGCTCCGTGCTGACATTGGTTTGTGTAGGTGCCATGGAGTCGGCGGGCATTACGGAGGTTGGAGCTATCGATGCAGGCGGTCGCGTTTGAGATGGTATTGGAGCTTCGGAGACAGCATATTCCACCCTCGGGTCAGCGACGTCTTCTTGACTGGACGAAGCAGACTCCTTGTGCATCTTTGCACAGGCTCGCAAAATTCTTCTGTGCCAATTCAAGCGTCCAAGTCTTTGCCGGAGTGAGATAGGTGCCTCTGGGTATTTCTCTTCCAGGTGCTTGGCGTCCGCTCCCTGTGTCAATGCAATGTGCGAGTATTTGGAACTCGTGATGGCATCATGAGGTGCAGGGTTGAGCAAAGCCGGTGTCATAGCGTGAAGTCCATTAAGGATGTGGTTGACGAGATCCAATAAATTGTACTCCGGGGCGAGCGACTGTGTCAGCTTCAACCTCATCTGAAGAAGCGCTCCGTGAAGATGTCCTGCTCAAGGACTCGCGAGCAGCGTTGGTCGCCAACCCAAGATTCATATCGTCAGAGTCGAAACCAGCCAGGGAAGCATCTGTCAGCAGCTCTATAAGTCCATCCAGAAGAGTCTTGACTGCGGTTACCAAGTGGGAAGACATGTTGAGTCTTGAGACGAGCTTCTGAGGTCTTGACGAACCAGCAATGCCGGCACCCATTGCGCTTGTCCATATTCCGAACCGGCCAGCGGCATCTTGCCAGTCATCTACAAGTCCCTCGGGTTCGTCTGCTTTCTCATTCAGCCTGGTCGTCACTATTTCAATCTTATTTATCAAGTCCATATTCTCTTGAAGCTAGCCGTCACACGAAAGACTTGACAAACAATGTTTGGATAGCCTTTCATAGTAAGAACAGTAGTAGGTAGGAAACGAGATGTCGGATTATGGCTGCGACTCTGGCAAGCTGCCTTGCACGGTCCCCATGCCCAGCGATGGGATGGAAATTGGCACGGTCCAATCAGCCCTCATGCCGGACGCCACAATGTGTGTGGGCGACGAGAGCGAGGCGCAGTCTTTGCAGGAAGAATCAGCCTTGGTACCTATATAGTAACGCAGACGCTGCTCCCGACGTGATATCTGGTGGACCACCAGGGGAACCATGATAAGCTTAAAGAAGTTCTGATGTATTTATAATGAGCGGCTTCGAGGTCGTGTCGTTGATTCTTGGAGCGTTTCCGCTCATCATCTCGAGCATTGAGAATTACCAAAAGGGGCTCAAACCCATACGGCTGTTCGTCAGATACAGACAAGAGCTCATAGCTTTGCATGCGCTAATAGTGTCGGAGTATTCGAAGTTCCAGAACTCACTCGATCTCCTTCTGCAACCCCTTATCCCTCCATCTGAGCTGCATCACCTGATAACCAAGCCGGAGAAGATTAACTGGAAGGCTCCTCATCTGAAAGCTTCCTTGCGGAGACGTCTCGGCCCATCCGAGGAAGCCTTCTATGGTGCCCTCCAGGTCGTCGAAGGCAGTGTGGAGGAGCTCAAGGCAGCGTTGAAGGGCAAAGTGGGTCGAACGTGGGTAGTATGGCCTGCCACTGACGAGTTGTAGGACTGCCTCGATCGACTGCATTACTGCTTTGTGGGATCCTCCAAACGCGAGAGCACCAAAGCAAGACTTCAGCAAGGAAACAATGACCTGCAAAGCTTCGTCATTCATGCGAAGAGGCTGGGGGACGCTAGAGAGCGCAGGTCACTGGATGTGCTGGAAGCAGGCATCAAAAGGAACGAGCTATGTGAGTTACACGCATCGCTGAGCCAGGACCCATGGCAATACAGCTGTCCCCAGCATTCGGTTTATCTTGATGTCTGCTCGTTGACTGTAGGTGGACCACTTGGGAAGGACAAGAATGCATCAGCAGAAGTTATAATCGGCCTTACCCGGACTCATCGCTCAGGAGCATCGTCCTCTGTGCCGACCTTGGCTGTAGCCCTCACTCACAACGCTCACGGTAAAGACGACCTTGATGAGACCTCTATAAGCCTCTCGAATACAGTCTTGTCAAGTGCGCCGTCTACTCTCTCCTCCGGAGCCCTTACCAGCTCCTCAGCGCTATTGAGAACCGCGAACCATACTCTTCAATTGTTAGTTCTTTCTTTCTATGCATTATCTTTGCTGACCACCAGCCAGAGGGAAATCCCGGAACAAGCTTGTTAAGAAGGGCGTTACTTTCGCTCTGCCTCAGCAATCATCTTTGGCTACCCCAAACGCTTCTCAGAAATGCGGCCGGCAAGCCCAAAGATAACCAGTGTCTGCACCGTAATCGATCGTCAGGTAGCCATGCGTGATCACGTAGGCTACTTGGAGACAAAGAACAAGGCTCGCATGCATGTTTATGCACTTCCTGAGCAGCATCACCGACGAGTCAGCTCTGAATCGCCGGCACTATCGTTATGCAGAGCGCTCGGTGCCTCTACACCACCAAAACCTGGTCAGACCAGACGGCTGCGCCCTCCGCCTCTATTGAAGCCAAAGGTGAGGCTCAAGCTCGCGTCAGCCATGGCCTTGTCCTACCCTCAGCTGCAGTCTACTCCCTGGTCGCATTCTGGCTTGGACAAATCGGACATCATCTTCATGTGTTTGAATCGACCTGACGCTACGATCGATTTGACGGCCCCCCACATAAGTCAAAACTTTACCTCAAGAAGCGCTCCGAAGGCTTCTTCCACTTCTACAGCAGTCTCGGACTCGAGCACTGCATTGAGCATGGCTCTCGCCTTCATCAAGCAGTCGCGGGGTGAAGGCCTTTTCGCCCTTGGAAAGCTGCTCGTCGAGCTTGCCTTCAATTCTCCTCTTGAAAACCTGTTTGAAGACGAGGACAAAGACCACGGCAAGGTATTCGAATTCACAGAGTATCTTGCTGCGAAATGTCTCCTGTCAGAGATATACGAAGAGCATGGATACCTTTACGGAGAAGCTGTTCGGAGATGCATTGAAGGCGTTGACGTTCGTGAGAAAGCTGTCGAGAATCCAGATTTTCGGAGGGTGTTCTTGCGGGACATCTTTCAGCCCCTGCAAGATACAAGTACATTTTTCAACGGCAACCCTGGATGAAAGTAAAAGGAAGTAATAGTCCTCGCTTCCAAAATTTCTACAATGATGTACCAATCCTGAGATGACGCTCTGACTAAATCCGTGCTCATACCAATGTCCTTGACTCCCGCATTACAAGGTTGCTATGGCGCCTGCAGCACGATAAGCCATAAACATCCTCCTCGCCCATGGCAGTCGAAAGACGCAACAGCCATGTGACCTCGATCGAACAGCCTCCATTACCAACACCTAACTCAATACTTTCGCCACAGCGAAACTATGGCCTATACGACCGCCCAGCACCGGACCTACTTATCGACCACAACAACCGCAGGCCATCGCAGCTCGCCAGGCTCAAAGCGGCCCGAGCTCAGGCTCGGAACAGTCTTGCACAGCCATAGCTCAGGGCTACTTATTCATCGCTCAGGTTGCAGTCACCTGTGCTCAGATCTGAAGGTGGAAATGGACTTTGGAGAGGTCAAGATTCGGGGGTGAGTATCCTGAGAAATGTTGGTACATTCGTGCCGCTCAGTAGTGTATACTCCCTAAGGAATTTGTTGGTACTTTTGTGCCGCTTAATACGCTCAGGGATAAAATCAGGCATACGGAGTAATCAGAGCGAAATCAAACAAGCTCACCTCAGGAATAATCACGCTTATTCGAGTTAGCTCAGAGTAAGCTCAGTGTTGCTTAGAGGGGCCTAATTTCAGCCTTATTGAATAATCAGGTCAAGTCATTAGGGTGTACTCCGTAGTATTGATAGAACAAGTATTCTTAGACCAAAAATTGACTAGACTAGGCATTAAGAATACGTCTTAGTAAGTTTTGTATTTAAAGCTGGGTGAGGACTCCCGTCGTTTCGGCAGCAGATATCACCCTGTTCGTGGGGCGTTGTCACCGGTGGTGGGACTGTATAGTATAGCACGTGTCCACCTAGACATAGTCGAACCCATCCATCACCGCCTGTTGATAGCAAGCCTTGATCTTCCGGTAACCGGCGGTTTCTTGCAGACTCTCGGACGGATTGGTCATATCACTAAAGGAGACCTCGTGGTCGCCCCATGTATGCGAGACGATCGAATAGGGAGGGATATCTGCAGCCAGAAACCATTTGAGCTTGAGCGTCGAGGTATCGAGTAAAAGCATTTGTGAGACTGGGAAGATTTGTTTCTCTCCTGCGAAAAGGAGATGTTGAAGCAAATATCTGTGCGAAGAAGTTGTAACAGCACCAACTACTATAGGTTTTATACTAGTAATAGTTTACTGGCTCACTAGGCCCCCTTCTAGTTGGTCATTCAGGGGAAATATCTGGGCACCTCAAGTCAAGCTCCCAGCCACTGACCACCCTTGGTACCGATGACCCTTGGAACCGATGACCCTTGCAGCATGTGATGATGGTTCAGTCACCGTGAGTTCTTGTACCTCGTGCCTGTTCCCTCTCATCATTGTCGCGCTCTCTACTCCTTCGTTTCAACCCAAAAGTCGCTCTAGCAATGGTCCAAAAGACATCTTCTGGCTTCAGGGCCTCAATTGACGAGCCTGAGCCATTATCGCCATCTGAGAACTTTCGACGTCCGACACTACAATCACTTTCAATGCGAAGTACACAGATCGCCAGCGCTACTGTGACCCCCATTCCTGACCGTGCGTCATCAACCATCATGTCTCGAGATGCGTCGCCTATATCCTCTTCTCAGTCGTCGAATCGCCATGTACCAAGTCCGATCGCAGCGGAAACATATACGGAACCGTACCTGAAGTTCATGAGCCAAAACCCCACCGTATTCCATGCGGTGGACGCCTTCAGCACGCAGCTTGCTTCCTCCGGCTTCGAACATCTTTCAGAACGAGATCGGTGGACTACGAAGCTCAGGCCAGGTGGAAAGTACTATACTACACGAAACGGCAGTGCGCTCATAGCATTCGCTATTGGCAAGGAGTACAAGCTAGGAAACGGCGTGGGAATAGTCGCCGGACACGTCGATGCCTTGACCGCAAAGTTAAAGCCCATCCCGAAGCTGCAAACCAAGGCAGGGTATGTGCAGCTTGGTGTTGCGCCGTATGCGGGGGGGCTGAATGATACTTGGTGGGATCGAGATCTTGGAATTGGTGGGAGGGTCCTTGTAAAGGATTCAAAGACTGGGAAGATTGAGAAGAAACTGGTGAAGCTCGACTGGCCTATAGCACGCATACCGACGCTGGCACCACATTTCGGCATGGCAGCGGTGGGGCCTTTCAACAAAGAGACACAGATGGTCCCAATCATCGGTCTAGATAACTCAGATCTATCCGGTGTGGGAAACCACCCGCCACACGATTCCAAAATAAAAGCAGGCACTTTTGCCGCCACCCAACCCGAACGACTTGTGCGAGCCATCGCATCAGAAATGTCGATCGACGACTACAGCTCCATTATTAACTGGGAGCTAGAACTCTACGACACCCAACCAGCCCAACTCGGCGGGCTAGACAAAGAATTCATCTTCGCTGGCCGGGTCGACGACAAACTCTGCTGCTACTCTGCCATCGAAGCCCTCCTAGCCACCTCCTCAGACACATCCCCCGGCATCGTGAAAATGGTCGGCTGCTTCGACGACGAGGAGATAGGCAGTCTCCTCCGCCAGGGCGCCAAAAGCAACTTCATGGGCAGCATCATCGATCGCATCTGCGAGGGGATGCTCTACTATCAATCGAATGAGGCCTCGAACCGCGGCGGTGGCCCACAGTTTACCCCACAGCTCGGACCGAACCTCATCAACCAGACCCTCGCAAACTCCTTCCTCGTCTCCTCCGACGTCATCCACGCCGTAAACCCTAATTTCCTAGGCGCGTCCCTCGAGAACCACGCCCCCCGCCTCAACGTCGGTGTCGCCATCTCCGCCGACTCGAACGGCCACATGACGACCGATGCCGTCAGCACCGCGCTGCTGCAGCGCATCGCCGAGAATTGCGGCAGCGTGCTGCAGGTGTTCCAGATCAGGAATGATGTCCGGAGCGGTGGGACGATCGGACCTATGACGAGTAGCCAGCTCGGCATAAGGGCGGTGGATGCCGGCATCCCGCAGTTGAGTATGCATAGTATTAGGGCGACGACCGGGAGTTTGGATCCCGGGCTGGGGGTTCGGTTGTTCAAGGGGTTTTTCGATTGGTTTGAAGTGGTAGATAGCGAATTTAGATGATGAGCTGGGATGGATGGATAGATATAGGATATGTGGGAATAGATATGGGGGGGTCAGACGTGTGCTGGAAATATCAGGTATGATTGGGATTGCTCCCTTATGGATAGAATAAACCTGTGCTGAGCACTCGGTGACTAAATCACATCATGCATCCGTTCGGCCACCATCTTGCCTCAATATCTCGGACTGGTACAAGAATTGAAACTTGGGTTGAGGTCGAATGTTACTGCCAGAGACTAGGCGACCGGTATTAAATTGGTGCTCTGAAATAGGTTGCGAAGCCCACCCAACAGGTTCAGAACCACTACATGCAAGCCGGCGGGTCCACCACGAGATTATTTTCTCCGTTGCATGAACAAAAGTATCGTGTGGGTCCTACCGTGGTGTTACCAATAAACCAGCATTTTCCAATTGGCTCTGGAACCAAAAATGGCACAAAACTAAACACCCCCTGGTCCGCTTAACAATCGGGGCCGTTCTCTCTCAACGCTACTTTCGAGAGGCTGATCATGTGGTGCGAGACTTTGCAGCCATCCACCACTTTTGATAGTGCTTGAAAATGGGAAAGATGGAGAACAACTCTTTAGACCGGGAGTTAGATGTTCTTCGTAGACAAATGAGAGCTTGTGCTGCTCGTCAGTTGAAGTTGCGAAATGGCTTGTGAGAGCACTGCGGACGATTTGATTAGACAGCTGAATGATCGGAGGACGGAGGCAGTTCGGATAATGTGTGTCAAATCCGCTGGGTGGAGATGATCTGTATGATGGTGGTACTCGTAGGAATAAGGGGAAGGGGATGGCTTGGCGCTGAACTGGCCATTGGAGTCGAGCCCCTTCATTTTGCTTTGATCGGAACTTCCAGTTACCATCGTTAGTGATCCTGTAACTTGAGGTCCGCCAGCTGTTGGACATGCCGTGATTTGCTCGTCGAAATAATGCGGTAGCTTCCGAGGATTATCGAGTTTGCCACTTCAAGATGGATTCCCAGCTGGTGCAGACAAGAGCAGATACTGAATGCTTTGTAGCTGGACTCAACCAGTGTCATGCTCTGAAACATTCGTTGCTCTCACCACCCAGAGTGGATCCTTCATCCAAGCAGCTTCGACAACGGAGACAATCTCGATGTCTCGCCACCCGCTCCACCACAAATAGTCACCAACCATTTCCAGCCGCTCATCCTCGCTCGTCCTAAGCCATCGCCCCACGACTTTCGTTGGGAAGCATCGATTCGATATCACGAGGTGAACTTTCCCACCAACGTTGGTTTGCCGTCTAATACTAGCCAGGACCTCCACAGGCTTGCTAAGATAATCGATAGATACCACGCAAGTCGACGCATCCAGTTTCTTCTCGGAATTCTGCGGTTCTATCTCTGGAAGTCGTACATTAGGATCCTCGTTTAGATCCTGAATAGACCAAGCCTTGAACACTGGATTCTTGCTCATCTCAGCCTTATTCATGCCGGTGCCCAGGATCTCAAGCTCTCCTGATTTCCCGGCCGTTTCTACCTCGGACGGATAATGCGAAACCCAGCTGGAGCAGAAGTCGAGGATTCTTCCTTTCCTAGGGAGGATGTCTAAATAGTATCGTCGAAGGTTGTGGATGGCATTGTCATCGATATGTGTGACGAAACGTGGAACGCCATAGAAAGAGCTGTCGTTTCCTGGTTCCATGGGTGTCATGTCTGTAGCTGAATACGGGAAAGGTCCATTGGGATTGGATGGCTTGTACGGTCTGATGGACAAGGGTGTACTGGCAGTATCTCCCCGCCAAAGCCCCATCGCTGCGGCGAGGGACGATATTGAGCGTAGAGATGCAGCCCTGAACGGCCAACGAGACATCAAGGCATTCATTTATGTGCTTCAGAGGTATAAACCGCGGACTAAACCATCGAGAGAGGGTGTAAGAAGAACTTACTTTCAACTGAATGGATGACGCCTGCATTGTACCTGCCAAGGATGCATCTGGTCAGTATACATACATACTCTTACTAGTAGTACTAGTGGTATAGTATTAGTATGTAAGCTTAGATAAGATGATAGGACGAGATTCATGAAGTGCCCCACCAAAATTATTGTTCGTGATCGTGAATGTAGCATATTCTCTAAACAACGCCCAACCTTTCACAAAATGGCAGAAGTAATAGATCCCTTAGTGGCAAGACCTTCGGACTCGTCCAGCGCTACGCCAGCAGTGAAAGCGGCTTCCATTGACCCTCTATCAAAACCAGTCCACTCGATCATTCTCGACTCCTCCCCACTTCTATTCAATACACCTACACTTTCGACACTTCTTTCACAATGCCATGTCCTCGTCACCACCCAGTCCGTCATATCTGAGATCCGCGACCTTGACGCTCGATCACGTATCGACAACCTCTACCTCCCGTTCCTGCAGATAAAATCACCCAAACCAGAGAGTATAAGATTTGTGAAGGAGTTTGCGCGCAAGACAGGTGATGGCGCAGTATTAAGCGGAACAGATAATGAGATTTTGGCGCTCGCTTATGACTTAGAATGTGAAAGGAATGGAGGCGATTGGAGGCTGAGAAGGGTGCCGGGCCAGAAGATGGTGAATGGGAGTAAGCCCTTTGCACTTACTGAGCGGTCGAAGGAAGCAGGCAGCGGGAGCGACACCACTACTCAAGGCCACAATTTCCAGGATGTGACGGAGGAGTTGCAGGGAGTCAAGCTACAAGAGGTGATAGAGGAGCCACTGCAATCAAGCAAAGAAAGGGAAGCAAGCCTATCAACCAACGAGGCACTACAAGATGCAGAAGAGGACTCCACATCCTCAGAATCCGATTCGGGGGGTTGGATCACACCATCAAACATCAAGAAACACCAAGCCAAAGATTCAAGCTCACTCCCGTCCTCCAGAAAGGCAGAAACGAAGACTCTACAAGTGGCAACTATCACCGCTGATTTTGCAATGCAAAATGTTCTGCTGCAAATGAATCTTAATCTGCTGTCTCCGAAAACCTGCAAACGCATCAGTCAACTTAGACAGACTATTCTCCGCTGCCACGGCTGCTTCACTACCACGAAAGAGATGGATAAGCAATTCTGTCCAAGGTGCGGAAAACCAACATTGACCCGCGTTAGCTGTACGACAAATGACAAAGGCGAGGTCAAACTGCACTTGAAAGCCAACATGCAGTGGAACAACAGGGGGAATGTGTTCAGTATCCCTAAGCCTGTAAGTGGGAGGTCGAATCGGAAGTGGGCAGGTCCAAAAGATGGAGGCGGTAAAAGTGGTTGGGGAAGGGAGCTTGTGCTGGCGGAGGACCAGAAGGAGTATGTCAGAGCGATAGCTGGTGGTGGACGGCAGAATCATAGTGAGAAAGATCTCATGAACGAGGATTACTTGCCATCGATCCTAAGTGGGGAGAGAAACGGAGGAGGTAGGAGGATACGCATTGGAGGCGGAAGAAACATCAATGCGAGGAAGCGATAGCTTTGCGAAGTTGTTTCGAGTTAGCTGGCAGATACGAAAGCTCTCAGACTCCTGAGCGCCAATACGGGCAAGCAACTGGGTATCATCCCATTTTCATCCCTTTTATTCTACGCCTCGCTGTGATCACGCTACTTTCCTTCCTTTTTGACGTCTTCTGGACCTTGCTATTAGTAAACAGACATCTTAAGTGGGTGGTGGGGCGAGTCGTACGCTTTTGCTTTTGCGTGAGGAGCAGGCCATATCTCTTCTTTAGCGTTACTCGATGCCTCTGTCCATTATGTGAGCCTTCGTCGCGTCCACCACTTCAGACCACGCACCGAGTAGACATCGTCTGGAGAAAAACGACTAGGATGAGCCGAAATCGTCACGGTTCCATCTATATTCTATCAGTGCCAATGGTACAGAGAAGATTCAACATTGCCCACCAAGAACCTTCTTGAGAGTGTATTTTCGCTTGCCATCTTCTTCGACATACATCAAATGCATGCTGTCGAGTCAATCAGTGGTGAGACTAGCATTAAGCAGGATGCACCTTACATAGGCACGAGTGAAAGCAGACCTCACAGTACGTGCAACGTGGAGACTCGGGATCCGAAACCTGCAACCGCACAAATTGGGGAATGGGGAAAAGCTGCACAGACCACTTTTGGGTTGGAAATTCTTCGCAGAGGGACGAACAGCGAAAACAACTTCAACACCAACAGCTTCACCACCTACAAATGATGAGTCTGAATGAGCCTCTTATTCAAAAGAGCACGTCATGTTCCATCGAAACCTTTGATACACCATATCGTTGAAAACTCTGTAATCCAGTCTCGTCTGGATCTGCATCGTCCAGTAGGTTTTCACATGTGGTATGCCGTCTTCTATCTCGAATTTCAGTCATGTGCACAACGTACATGACACACTTTGTTTCTCTGATGACTCTTTTGTACGCCTAGATGTTTGCACTTTGATTTCAGCATCCATCTTTGTTGGCTCTTTGTATAGACTACAACGGTATCTGATAGACTTATGGATCTCCTCAATCTTTACTGGCAGCAAAGCTGAATTCGCAACTGATAAGCTTTGGCCAGGAAGCCGCCCTGGGCTGAGATCACATAGCATGATCATCAGGTAGAACACGGCAGGTATCATGGAACCCTCCGATTCTCTTGTTCCTCCAGACTTTTCCAATACCGAGGTGCCTAAATCAAAACCTCAGCGGCCACGGAGACCCAACTACAATCACATTCACAAAGACCTCTTACCGCTACAAGTCCATCCTTTACCTGTTCTCATACCTCACAATCCGCTATCCCTTCTCGCAATTGCACTATCATACCTCACGCAGATTATCTCTCCACCTCCGCAACAACCAATCTACAATGGATACTTTTCGTCAGCAACATCTTCCATTCATGTCACAGACCCTACCACGGCACGGAAGCTATGGGAGATGGGCTTCTTCGGCAAAGGGAGTCTGAGTCGCAGTGAACCTACATGGCTGGACAGTCAAAGTAAAAAAGGCAATACCAGTGAGGAAGTCACCAATAAACGGAGAGAAGAAAGGCGTCAGGCCAAGCTAGAAAGAGCCCAGAAGGAACAGGAGGCCATCGAGCAGAAGCTGAAAGAGGAGGCTCACATGAACGGCACTGGCCTAAAGGTCAACACGAGAGGGCTAAATGGAATTGTCAGTGTGATGGAATCGGCTTCGCCCACCTCAGAAGGTTCACTCAACAGCACCGGATCGATTCATAGCTACAACGAGTGGAAAGGACCGGTTGAAGCAAACGGCATTCTGACACCACCGCCAACCTCCACGTCGTCAGAAGCAAGCTTGATCAATAACTCTGTCACCAAGAAGCAGCTCAAAGTCAAAAGTGTCCGCTTTTCACCCACGATCGAAGCTCGAGAGTTCGATCTCACATCACCCATCATTTCTCCCATCAAAAGCCCTGGGCCCTTGCCACTCACCCAGCAAATGCCTACTTCAGTTCCGCTAACCGAGAATCAAGAGCACCTCCAGCTCTCTCACGAAGAAACCTTCTTTCTCGCATATGGCCTAGGCATGCTGGAAATATATGCAGACGACAGCGACATTGTGCTCCCAACATCGTCTCTCCTTGCTCTTTTTAGACGATATTCCTATTTTCCGCCTCGATCACTATCTATGCAAGCCGAGCCAGACGACCCTTTCATGCTTTCCTACGCGGTTTATCATCATTATCGGTCTCTTGGATGGGTTGTGCGCTCTGGGGTAAAATTCTCCGTTGATTACCTACTCTATCACCGAGGCCCCGTATTCTCACATGCTGAATTTGCGGTCATGATGTTACCGTCGTACAGTCACCCATATTGGTCTGGCACGGAGGAGCAGAGGAAAATAGTGCAAACAAAGACGGGCAAGACGTGGTGGTGGCTGCACTGTATGAACAGGGTGCAGAGTCAGGTTAAGAAAAACCTGGTCCTCTGCTACGTGGACGTTCCGCCCCCACTTGAAGAACATGAGAAGTATGTGCAGGATGATATTGGGAAGTTGTTTGCCAGGTACAATATTAGGGACGTGAGCGTCAAACGATGGATACCCAACCGGAGCCGGGATTGAGGGATGGCTGAATTGGTTATGCATGACACAGCGAAGAGTTTGGAGCAAACTTGATATCCTCAGCACATGTAAATGTAGTATAAAACAGTAACACGATTGATCTCATTTGATCATCCAAAATGTTCCTGGTTCCTTGTCCTGATCCAGGTACGGATTAGGGTTTCATTCTATACGTACTACGTAGTGACTTAGATGTGCCTCGGAACGAGCCGTTGATCGGCCATTGTGCAAGTTTCATTATTAAAGCGACGCGGCTGCTTGCACTAGAGATTGGGGTTTCACAGAGATATCTCATCAACACCAATATCTAAGGCAGTGAACTCGTGAAACGAGCGGTTTTGGATAAACCATGGAGACGCAGGACGAAAGTATAGATATTTCTAGCATCAAGCAGGCACTCCTAAACCCTGTCCTGGTAAGTGCTGATTCTTTCCGCGCCCGCAGCAGCACGTCCCCACGCTAATCACGTCAACTTCCCTGCACGTAGCCCGCGGCGCAGCACATATCACAACCGGACGCGCCAATCTCAGGGAATAAGCAGTTGTCCGCTATCCGACGTGTCTTTGAACAGGCGTTGGCTCGTGAAAGTGAAGGTGTCCGAAATGGCGATTCGTCTCAAACAAACCCCCAGCGTCCCGGACAACAGGTGACTCAAGGGTTTTCTCACCTTGCCAGCACTGTACCTGATTCACAGGACGTGCAACTAACAATCGATGTTGCGTCCTCTTTTGAACCTATTGCTCTTCCAGCAAACCCTCCGCCTTCCAACAAGGTCCTACCAAAGAAGATGACATCGCAAAGCAGTCCCAATGATACGCAGGAGCTTTCGCCAACGTTTTATGCAAGGCTCATCAACAGTAACAAGATCAAGGGTGCACTGGAGCTTGCAGAAGCGGGACAATCTCAAGATGCTGATGATGCCGTTACACAACGCACCAACCATACAGGCGACCTTGGCCACATTGACCTTGGCTTAGGCGATAGCGACCGAGAAGATTATGAGGCTCAAGCTAGTGATCAGGAACTGGACTCAGAACCTATCGAGTTCTCTCCTACACAAGCAACGCAAAATCGGCTTTCCCAGTTCCCCGAGTCACAGCGATTCAAGACACCAGCTACTAATGGTAAAAAGCGCAATTTTCTCAGCGACGTGATCGAATCTCCAGCTCTGCCTCGCAATCCGTTCGCAACAGATGGCGGTAACAAAACACCCTTACATGCGCTGGGATTAAGTCAAGTGTTCGCAGGAACTCAAGCAGGCTCATCGCCAATTATAACTCGACACATCTCAGAGCCAACATCAGACCGTCCTTCACCTAATATCGAAGTACAAACAAGGCCAGCAACTGCTTCCCTGTCCTCGCCTCTACGACCTCGCTCCGAGCTCAAGAAGATTGCTTCTGAACCTCAATCTCGGTATGTGTCAATCAAGCAATCTCAGGCGGAAAGAGAAAGGCTGGCAGCTTTGCGACAGCAATCGCCTGATGGCAGTATATCAGGAGACCAGTCGGACGATAACTTCGATGAAGAGTCAAGCATTCTCAAACGTGCCCGCCTTCGCAGAGAAATAGATGAGAACGTGCGAGAAAGATTTGCGAGGTTCTCTTCCCCTACACGTCCGGGGTCAGCCGCCAAAGCAGGTGAGCAAGCAGCTAGACAAGCTAGAGCCCAGACTTCGTCACCCATTCTACGGCATGGAAAGCGGGTTGAGTCTTCCCGGATGACAGGGAAAGAGACTGCGGTTATGCAAGGGCCGACGGCTGGTGATAGTGATGAAGAAACCGATGTCGACGAATCAGAGCAAGTTGTCATAGAGCACTCCAGCCAGCTGCCACATGAGAACGAGGATGAAAATAAGGAGAATATGCAGACCAAAGCACTCCAGATACCGGAGACTGTTATCAGACTAGACCAAGCCATCAACGGCTGTCAGGATGGACAAGATGTGAGTCCGACACTCAGGAGGTCGTTTGCGCAGCCAGCTGTGGAGCAGCTTCGCAGCTCGCAGACAATCAGAAAAGCCATTACGCATACGGATGGGATTAGTGTGTCGCCTACTGTCGCCGTAGCGAATTCTCAGCCGGATCAGCCTTGGTCAAGAAAGCTTCTCTCGGAGCTGGGGGATCCATTGAAGGGTCTTCCAGGCAACTCATTTGTCTCATCATCAGCCGCAGCAGCTGGTCAGATCGAGTCTTCGCCTCGCCATGATTGCGCTGAAGACCATAATGATCCATCTCAAGTCGTCCAAGAGAATGCAAATGGACAAACTCATCATGAAGAGGTCAATCAGTGCGGTGAACATGGATTGACGGACGAAGAGAAGAGTGCTAAAACTCTACTGGATGGTCATACAATGGCAAACTCCAGGACTGGTAGCAAACAACGCGCTGAGCTTCCTAACACCGTCCCTGAAACAATGTCGGCGCGTGGCTCGACCAGGAGTGGCGCGCAGGGCTCCTCCCATACCTCTATATCTGTCAACGGCAGCCGTGCAGAACAACTGTCGAGCAAATATGAAACTGCAAGAAGTCATTTATCCAGCAGCACACCTGTTTCTCGACCTCTGAACTCTCTGTTCTCAAGTCCCAGTGGCAGGAAAAGAAAGCGCCTTGGTGATATTGCTGCGCAACCTTCTCCGAAGAAAATGAGTGGTGAAGTGGATGTGGAAGAAGTTATGGCAGCAATGGATGATGCAGACTTTTACAATGCGGTTGAGGATGCGCCTGGAAGCTCTAGCCCAATTCCTCCAGGCAGGAATCTGAAGCGGCGCTGCTTGATGGGCAAGCAACAGACGTCGAGCCGTGCAACTACTGTTTCAGCAGACGCGACTCTCCCGTCAAGCCCCCCCACAGTAGATCTCCATAAAGCCAGCCACGATCTCAAGCAAACTCCCTCTGTTCCAAGCGTCAGAAGCCACCCCAGACCTGCAAAGCGGTCTGAAGCTGTCTGGGATGTACAGACATCACCACCGAAGTCAGCAGCGGCAAGATCTTTGAGAAACGCGGCTAAAAAACCAAGAGGATTGGCTAGGAATACCTCAAGGTCTGCGAAGTACCATGATAGTACGGTGGCCGAAACCGTACATGATGATTCGAACCAGGAGGCACACGTCACCCAACCTCCCACGACGCTTACAGAAAGTGCAACGAGCAATCAACAACCCAATCCTCCCACGATAGAGGTTATTGCACCGCATCAAGTCCTTGCGTCCTTCAATGGCAAACCCAGAGGCTACTATCCTGCAACCTGCATCGGCTCCACAGGACTCAAATCCGAGGGCACATTCCGGTATCAGATCCAGTGGGACGACTCTTCTCGCGATGATATCGATGAAGGTGGCATCCGCAGGCTTGATTTTCGGGTTGGTGATCAAGTAAAAGTCATTTCAGAAGGCTGGCCACGAGTGGCGTACACTATTCAGGGCTTCAAGGATCGAGTTGACAAGATCGATGGCGAGGTGACCGACATACGTGGTTATAGAACTCTTCTTTTGAAGCCTAAAAAGCGGAAGAGTCTGCCTGTTGGGGTATCGACAGAAAGCACGAAAGAAGCGCCTATGTCTGCCGTCTACCTTGACAGCAACATGTGGGGTCAGATGAAGGACAGAATATTCAACCTTGACGCTACCAATGGAAAGCCACCTTTGACGGTGCACGTTCCGCCACAGGACCCATCACATTCAGGTCTAGCAACACCATCCGAAGGACCGTCGACGCCCAGTACTCCGACCTCGCGGACGAGGCGGAGATCGGAGTTCCCTCTGCAGCGGGCAAATAGTTCCGTTTCATTCCCAGACCCACCTGCAGCGACAGGCATTTTCTCTAATATGGCTTTTGCTATCTCATACGACAATGTTTCACGCAAAAAGTCACTTACTAAGGCGATTTTGGTGAATGGTGGTGCACTCCTTGGTGAGGATTTCCAGGAGATGTTCGACAACCAACTGACTCCGACATCTCCTTCTGTAAGGATGCATGAAACAGGGACGCTTGCACTCAATGCTCGCTTCTTGAATAAGGGCTTCGTAGCTCTAATTGCAGACCGTCACTCAAGAAAGCCGAAGTACATGCAAGCTCTTGCTTTGGGAATTGGATCTTTAAGCGGCAGGTGGATCGAAGCTTGCGTTGCAGCCAATACGATCTTGGACTGGCAGCCTTACCTTCTCTCTGCAGGAGAGAGTCTAGAGCTTGAAGGCGCTGTCCGCTCTCGAGTCTTACCGCAGGTCGACGCCAACACCGCAACGCTGAAAGACATGATCTCGAAGAGGCCAAACTTGCTCCAAGGGGAAGCTGCCATTGTCGTCAAGGGTCGAGGTAAAGCAGAAGAGAAGAGAAAACCCTATATCTTCCTCACCAAGGCGGCAGGCGCGGGTAGGTTAGAAACGTGCGTTGACATCAAAAGTGCAAAAGTATTGCTGGATGAAGATGCGGAAAATAGTGTTCGATGGGTCTGTGTGGATGACAAAGAGCTGGGAAAAGCCGAGACCGCTTTGCTGCCAAAGGGCAAGGAAAAAAGGAGCAAGGAATTGCGAATAGTTGGGAATGAGTTCATCTGCCAAAGCCTGATCCTGGGACGGCTGTGGGATTCCTCATAATCCACCCAGTCCCTGGATATGACGTTGTCTGGCAAGCGTTGGAATTTCTTGTATGACAACAGCCAAGGCGGGAAAGTCACTTTGGACACTGTAGCATGCGAGCGAAAGAGATACCCCTTGAACTTGTTGCATTCATTCCCCATTGTTGTTCTTGTTTTCATGTGTCTACAGTAGCCCCTTCCTAGCTAATTCGATCTTTCGAGCCGTCTCTCCAGCTTTGTAGCCACCTTTGCTGGCGCAGATTGCTATTCCATCACCCAATTCAACCTTGTCTTCTACTGAGGGGTAGGCGCAGGGGCAGTGGTGTGGGAAGTGCACGCAGGCTAGGGTGCCAGGGCAGAGATAGTGCGTGCAGTGGGCTATATTTCTGTGAGAATGTAGTCCGGAATCGGAACGGTAGAGATGAGGAGCAAGAAAGGGCGTGGTTTTGCAGGAAAGGAGATGGGGAAGAGCGCAGATTGAGGGGCAAAGAAGGTGAGCGGTTAGTTGGATATATTTCGTACCATTCTCAACCACCTGCTGATACCAGCCTGAATCGGACGCGACGTTCTGCTTCTCCTGGGGTTGTTGTTGCTGGCCTTCGAAGAAGTTGTTGAAGAATTGGAATTGGGCGGCTGTGAGGGAGGGGAGGATTAGGAGGATGATGGGGGCGAGGAGGATGGACGGGAGGGCCTTTCGTAGAATCATCTTCGCGTCTGTGTTCCGATGGCGAGAAGAGTAGGTTAAGAAGTGAGTAGCTTGGAGTAAAATTGTTCTTGTTGCTGGTGGTTGACACAGTGTCGAGGACTCGATGTGCTCCGGCTCGATCAGGCTAGCGCTGTTTGCGGAGTTTGAAACTCAAGCTCTACGTAGTATCACACACGTCCTGCAATCGTTTCTCACACCTGGTCAATCACATGCATCATGTTGCAACCACGGATATGTCGTCCGTCGCGGACAATCGAATACTCACTTGGCTTGCTTACTACATCGTTGGCAGCATGGACATGCACATCTACCATACCAACCGCCACTTTCATTCGACATGCCTCCCACGCAACTCAGGGTCGAGCAAATGGTCCTAAAGATAGTGCTGGTAGAAGGTTGGGAGCAAAGAAGACGGACTCGGAATACGTGGTACCCGGAAACATCATCTTCAAGCAGAGAGGTAAGCTTCACAGCCTTGCCCTTGCCTGGTTGGCCAGCTATGGGATCCAAAATAACCATTCCCAGGCACGAAATGGTTCCCGGGCGAGAACGTTGGTATAGGCAAGGATCACACTATTTACGCTACAGTCGCTGGCTATGTTCGCTATTATCAAGATCCCCTTCGCCATCCGAAACGTCGTTTCATCGGAGTCGCGCTTGAACGCGATGGGCCTGGCTCTGTCCTGCCCACCCCTCCGAACGCAGCAACACGACGGAGACTGGGGATGTATGTTGCGCCAATATCACACCCTCCCGGTGCAGACGCTGCTCTATGGTTAGAAAGCCATCTTAGCGTGAACAGCAAGACCGCGACATCCACAAATCAACCCTCAGGAATTGGCGGAATGGGCTTAAGTGTACCGCCTCCACCAGTATCAGCAAGGCCAAAGTACGCTCAGAACTGGGAAAGTAATTGGAGTATTGGACGGACAGCGGAGCGGAAAGGGATCACAGTAAGGGAATTTGATCCAAAGGATAGATGGTTAGCGTGGAGAAAGAGGAGTCAGAAGAAGAAGAGGAAGGCAAAATTGAGGTCGGTCAGGGCGAGTCGAAAAGGCAAAGGTAACAAGAAGAAGGGCCCTCTGAAAGTAGCGCCGGTCGTGAGATGATCTTGAGGAGATTTACAATCGACCGAGCATTTCCTCTGAACAAGCTGTACCTCCCAGTCTTCAAAGGGTGACTGCTCCTCAACCATCAGGCCTTCTAGTTCTCAGATCCTACCACACATCACATACTTAATTAGTACAGAAACCCGTCATGCCACGCCAAGCCCCTCAACCCTGTCTCTATTCTCGAACCAGATACCGAGAGACTCACAGCCACGCTGAACACAGAACATAATATGTTAACCATCAGAGTGCATATGGTGGCACCGGGTAGCACTCCCCTGAGCCCACAGCAGTGGTAAAGGGTCCAAGTCAAAGATCGACCCCTATATATAGTGCGATGAAATCACCTTGCCGCTCGTGTTTCTTTGGGATTTCTTCATCTTACCCTGCTCTGCCGGCCTTGGTGGCTGTTTTTAGGTTTTCGGTTTTGCGGTATTTCTACGGAGTAGTTGGTTGTAAGAGAATGGAGGATGGAGGATTCAATTGTACTCTCTGGTTCTTACCCCAAGACATCACCATACATCTTCATAGTACGTACAAGACGCAAGACAAACCTTCTTGGCTTACTAGTCAGGTTCCTGCTGCAAGATTCCTTGACCATCATCACATTGTGTCACTAGGTTATGGCGTCTTTTTGAGACCTTGAGGAAGTACATACTGGCTTATGTAATGAGATGCAATGCCAAGAGTCCAGATTCACCATTCAGAGCCCGCCATCATTGTTGTATTTGAATAATCTCAACCTCCATAGTGAATGCGCGACCCTGCTATTGATGGTGGTCTGAGCTGAGTTGTTGGTCTACTCCCTTACCCTGCCATTCCCAATGGAGAACGACATCTAGCCCGCGAGATTAAGCAGGAAACCTCGCTCACAACCACATCTCTTATGCATTTTCCTACATGTGTCTGTGAAAATGGCGACAGCTTGGAATCCTGAGAACATAACAGACGTCGCAGAATCAGTCGGCATAAACCATCTCAAGCCGGAAGTTCGAAATGCCCTTTCACGCGACGTGGAATACCGGCTCGCGCAGGTGATCGAGGAGGCTCTCAAGTTCATGAAACATGCCAAACGAACAATACTCTGGTCGCAAGACATAGCGCAAGCTCTTCGAGTACTCGACGTTGAACCCCTGTATGGTTACGATTCTACTCGGCCACTGAGATATGGAGAGGCGTCGATTGGGCCTGGCCAGCCGCTATTCTACGTGGAGGACGAGGAGGTGGATTTTGAGAAGTTGATCAATGCTCCTTTACCCAAAGTTCCGAGGGAGATATCGCTTACTGGTTCGTCCCATAACCCTCTTCGAGCAGCTCTGTCTGACACCCTGTAGGTCATTGGCTTGCGCTGGAAGGTGTGCAACCATCGATACCTCAAAATCCTACCTCACTTGACTCCCGAAACCTCGAGCTCCTGCAAAAAGGACCGAATGCGAACCCGAATCTAGCTGCGATGAACAGTATTGAGAACACTACTACCAAACCACATGTCAAGCACATCCTGTCGCAGGAACTACAACTATACTTTGAGAAGGTTTGCAAAGCGGTATTGGACGAACAGCAGGATGAATACCGTTCAGCCGGATTGGCGAGTCTACAGAATGATCCTGGTCTGCATCAGCTGGTCCCTTATTTCGTGCAGTTCGTCGCAGAGAAAGTCACGCATAATCTGAAAGACCTATTCGTGCTGACACAGATGATGCACGTGACCGATGCGCTGGTCCGCAATCCACATCTGCATATTGAACCATACGTGTGTCATGATCCATCCGTGTCGATTCCTGCATTAACATTCTCATAGGTGGCCTCTATGGTCCCCTCCGTTCTTACCTGCCTCATCGGACGCACTCTTGGGAGCGGCATCGGCTCGTTAGACCACTTCGATCTTAGGGACTTAGCTGCCTCGCTTCTTGCGCACCTTTGTCGAAAATACTCAAAATCTTCCAAGACCTTGAAACCAAGACTAGCAAGATCGTGTCTGAAGAATTTTCTGGATCCGAAGAAACCTTTCGGCACTCATTATGGGGCCATCCTTGGTCTGAGTGCTGCTGGAGGACCGGATGCTGTCCGTGTTCTCATAGTGCCAAATCTGGAAGAGTATGAAACCCTGATCCGGGACGAGATAGCATCCAGTGGTACGCGACAGGCAGAGGCCGAGAAAGTCGTTGCTGCTATCCTCAACGTGCTCGGAACTCTGGTGGAGGATGGCATGCCCATGACGAATGGCCACACAGACGAAGGAGTGGCAGAGATCAGACGAAAGCTGATTGAGAATGTTGGTGACCTCATTGGCAGTAGGATTGCTGATTCAGGTCATATTCAACTGGCCAAGGAAGTCTTGGATTGTTTTAGGACCTAAGTTAGCGTTTGGCGTTAAGGCAAAAGAGAAAAGAGCAGAGGGAAGAGCAATTATTTTCCAGGCGTTCTACAAAAACGATACCCAAATGTATGGTGCAATCTACAATACTTACAACTTCTGGGGTGCAGGATGATCTTAAGAGCACGCAGAAACATATTACGTACTATGCTATCTCCCCGCAGTGATGATTGCTCAAGAGTGCAGGGTTCTGATGTGTGGGGACCAAAATTCTATCCCTAGTTATTATGGTTGGCGGCTGGGCCTCGCCCCCCTTGCTGTACTACCGCCCATGTACTATTGTTAGCTCAGCACTAGTTATTTTACTCGAAAACGGCTACTGTACTCCTACAAGACAGCTTATTCCAGATTAGGTTAAAGGTAAATCTTCCCCCCACGAGTAAATCCCACGCGCAAATCCCACGCACGCATCATCCCAATTGTGGCGGACGTAAACTTACTTGTCCGAATTCAATTTATTGTGAGGCAACTGTGGAAAACGAAGGTCTTCTTATTTCAAACTAAAGCAGAGGAGTCCTTGCCCTCATCACAACATTTTCATCACAGACGAAATTTCGTGGCCCGAAGAAGCATCCAGAACCATTCTCCATCTGCACGAGACGTCGCCTACCCACTATTCGAAATTTTCGCCTTTGTACACCGCACTTCCAAGCACTATTAATTCTTCTCCACCCGTGCTGAAGAGAAAGTTAGCGGTTGCTTCGAAGTAGCAAATATACATGTTTTACCACGCACTGCTCATCGTCTGATCAGATTCGGATGTCTAACTGTTCTCTATGAGCCCTGCGGATTTGCTACGATTCCTCTCCAAGCCTGCGAAGTGAGTCATGCCTTGTTGGCTAACAGACTCTCTTGAGCTCATGAAAGACCTTCTTGTTCTAGTCGTGTCCTTCTGCTTGCAACAATTACAGCAAGACCGTGCTGATTGTTTGATCGCAGACCCAGATAACACCAGCCACGGGATTCTTCAAGAACTCATCCCTCAATATCATAACTTTTTAAAGCAGATCACCTCTTCTGCTGGACCCGATACTCCTCACAGTATCGGTATCTGTCAGAGCGAGGACCAAAACATCGCCACAATTCCCTTCCTCAAGGAACTTTTTATCCTCCTCTCCGCCCGACCTCCATAACGACCTCCAGGTCCATCCCCAATACCCAAGAAGACTGCTGGCAAAAGCCAGCCTCCAAGTTCACCACAGATAGTGGGCCTACTCTCCTCAGGCGGACACCGCATTGTTCGCCTGGGTGGCAGATAGTGCTTCCACTGAATTATAGACCAGTTGGCTTTCAGCGGACCCAAGAAACCAGGAGATACGCTCGAGTGACGCGGCAAACATCGTTCAAGTCTTTTGTGCTTGGATATGGTAAATCCTGGGATTCCCAAGAATTGCACCATTTCGCCGTCCTCATTCACCGAGACGCCGTCTCTGACCATCAACCATGAAGCAGCGTTAGATCTTGATTCTAGCAATGCATTTGAAGGTAAGATATCTCAAATTTGTCTTGTTCAGGTTCTATGCACTAACATTACTAGGACCCGAAAAGCTTCTTGAGGTTTGGTTCAGTCCGTCTCCTCACAATCTAGAGAATTGCTCCCAACCGGACGGTCTGAAGGCAGTCCCGGCTGAAATATGGAAGAGCATGCTTGATCTGGTCAATTGCAAAGTACTGTCCATCGTTGAGTCTGAAGGTATCGATGCTTATCTACTCTCCGAATCGAGCATGTTTGTATTTCCACACAAGCTTATCCTCAAGACCTGCGGAACGACGACACTACTATGCGGATTGCCACGCATTCTTGAAATTGCTTCCATTTTTGGTGGCTATGCAAGATCAACAGCTCCTCCAGCCAGGGGCATTGCCATCGCTGCAGCTCCTTATCGGGTATTCTACAGTCGCAAGAACTTTCTTTTCCCAGACCGTCAACATGGGCCCCACCGCAGTTGGAGAGATGAGGTCACATCACTGGACAAGCTCTTTCTCGGAGGCAGCGCTTATATGATCGGCAAGATGAATGGGGAGCATTGGTATCTCTATCTAACAGAACCAAACACGATGTTGACCCCACCGGCAAGTCCGTGCGCTTCAGACAGTCCGATGGAGACAGAGACGAGAGTCTTGAGCTTACCTACAGCGATTCGTGGTATCAAGCAAAGGAGTATGTGCGAGGCAGAAGACGAGACCTTAGAGGTATTGATGACTGATCTTGACGAGGAGAATGCTCAGCAGTTCTACCTTGAAAATGCGAGTGCGGTCGCAGAAAGTCAGTACAGAGGTACCCGTATTGCTTCAGACGATTTGGTGGATGTATTCAGCAACACATCCTCCGAAAACGGAGAATTTGGGTCTGATGAAGAAACTTATCCGGAGGAGCTGACGACCGAAGGTCATGCCCTCGGTACCGTGGTGTCCGATTTTTGTGGCTTGTCCGATGTGTATCCGAAGAGCAAATACCCAGGTTCACGGATCGATGCGTATCTTTTCACGCCCTGTGGATTTTCAGCCAATGCTGTCGTGCCTGCACCAGGAGGTGAGACTGGGACCCACTATTTCACTGTCCACGTCACGCCCGAGCCGAACTGCTCTTATGCATCTTTTGAGACCAACGTTCCTGCTCTTCAAGAAGGACGTGACACCGCAGATATTGTCAGCAATGTGGTTGACATCTTTAAGCCTGGCCGCTTTAGTGTCACGCTTTTCGAAGCGAAAAGCAATTCTGAAGAGAAGGAGAACGATGCCACCGACATTGATGCGTTATTGGCGATCAAAGCACTAGAACGCAAGGCTCTTCGGCGTAGTGCCAGAATGGACGCTATCAAAGGTTATCGTCGGATCGATAGGATCGTACATGAATTGGATGGATATGATCTCGTCTTCAGGTACTATGAGCGTTATGATTGGAAAGGAGGGACACCACGGATTGGCGAGCGAGGTTTCTGACTACATGGTAGCGACGAAAAGGTCGATACAAAAACGCCAAAGCTGGAAGCAGAGGGGTTTCGCGCTGCTCGTTACCACCGGGCTCAACCGATGCCGAAACATCCCAAGCTGGGAGAATGTATTCCACGAATTTGTTTACCAACGATTACAGTGCATTGAGCTTATTGCTGGATGAACTTGTTTTCAGTGCAGAGAGCATACGTCATTTTGGTCACTCTGTCTCAATCATTTGGCCTCAGACAGTATTAGAGTAGCTGCTTTTGAGTGGGTTGGGGGGGAGAATAAATTGCTTGATTGTAACGAAATTGGCAATTCAGTAGAGAGTTTTTTTTTTGGTTTCCTATGCGGTTTAACACTGACAGTGACTCCTTTTTCGAATGCCATGTGAAACAATGAGAATAGCCAGTGCTACATGAATCGGTCAATGAGAGACCTGCCGTCACCCAGACTGTATACAGCTGGGAGTTTATTTTATGCAATACTGTCTGTCTGTGTATGTGTGTGTCACCCTGTGTGGGAAAGGAAGAATGCTCCAAAAACCATCGCATCCCATTTCATAAGTATCCCGAGCCCATCCGCCAAGCTCCATTTATCGATCATGATCATGCGAGCCTGATGTTGGGTTCGGTAGGTGCCCTTCTTGGGGAGGACCACCTGATCACCGGACTAACTGACCAGTCATCGAATGAGCCTATATATGAGATGAGGTAGGAAAAGAAAAAGAAAAGAGAAGAGAAGAAAAGGCAACGTTTGTGATTTCTATCCATCTGTCTGTCGTATGAAGACCTTGAGAGTGTAGATATGTACGGAGTACGGAGTTACAGGATTCGCTATATGCCCCATTGGTGCAGTGAAATTGCACTAATTAATTAGGTAGTCGAAGGGATCATCGGATACTCACTGCCGGGAGCGGATTCTCTTTCATTCTCCAGTAACTGACTCTAGAAGCTGGTAGTATTGGCTGGCACACCTGGAAATTCAAGGAACAAATCGTCATTCTGGAAGGTCAGACTGTTTTGGTCTGAAGGCAATTCTAACTCTGCGGGAACTTTTCGTCACTCTGTTCCCTCCCTTCCCCCCCCCCCCTTTCCAAGACTCGAACATATGAGAGGTAACCACATTCCCCTCCTGCCGGCAAACACTTACTCACTTGCTGATATACTTGAAGCGGCCGTGATCATTCGCCAAGCGTTCGCCAAGATCGATGGTCGCGTCGCGCCAGCCACCACCACCAGTGTCGCCCCCGGCCGCGAGCTGGGCCGCCAGAGTCCTCCCGTCGTTGAGCAGCTTGATATCCCGGGCGTAGTAGCTGAAGCCGCCCCCATTATCTGACCACTTGAAGGAACCGTGGTCGTTACCGATGTGGTCGTCGAGACAGATGGAGTCGACGTACCATCCCTCTTCGTCGCCGCCGGCGGAGGAACCGGTGGCCAGTTTGGCGATGAGATATTGTTTGTCGTTGCGCTTGGCGAGGCGGATGTTCTGCGCGTAGGTGTAGAACGTCATTTTTGTTGGGAGCTATAGGAGATTCAGAGGAAGGGAGACCTGGATTTCGTTGGGGACGTTAGTTTCAGTTGTTGGCCTAGGTACGGCTAATTGTCTTCGGTTACTTTGAACAGGAGACGCGCACCTAAGCGGGCTTTTTGGAGGGAACAAGATTGTCTGTCAATGAAGGAGTGCCGTTGCTATTGCTGTGTAGTTGATTGATCTGAGTGAGACGAACATTCCTCTGGAGGGTGTCTGAACGTCTTTATATAGCCATCTCTCGTCCCAGGTGACCACCCAATACATCTACCGGAGCGGTGTAGAAGACTGTGGCGGAGCTGAAGACACGTAACTTCGACTCATCATATCAACGGCCCATTTCCATATGGCCAATAGGTTGGATCGGCAGTTCTTCACTTGTGCTCTTCGGCTTGTCAAGTTCCAGCTCAGCCAGCCTAGGTATCCTTCTGAGAAAGGAGAAAGATCCACTCAAGGCCGATGTCAGCCAGCCTTGACGATGTGTGGAAGACCAGCTCTCACATGACGGTGGTTGCCATCGCTCGTTGGTGGGTGAGCGGTGCTAGCTGTTGAATCATCGACAGCCTCGACCGTCGACGAACAACGCTCTCCTTCGCCAAAGCCGCCGGGTGGACACGCAGCCAACGTCGATGTGGGAGGAGTACAGTCGATCGTAGACGTAACTAATATCAATGAATGTGTTGGCAACCAGAAAGTGGACCTTGATCACCATGTCTCTGTCACTATTCGCTGCCCGTATTGTGATGCATGCAAAAGAGCTGCATTAGGGCAAGATACAGGAGCTCAAGATCTTTCCGCTCCCCCCATTTCCACCCCCCGCTTCCCCAAAAAGGAACTATTGTCAAGCAAACTCAGTCAGCCACCCAGCACCCATACCGCCCTTTTGTCATTCGTCATCGTTCTTTTGTTTGTCAAGCCGACAATCGATGGGGATGATGGAAAGTCACCTCTTTCGAAAGGAATTGACACGCTTTATCCAGGGAGCTGACACTGTTCTCAAGAGAAACTGCGGTCCGAATCACAGTCATTCATCTCCTCTGTGGTTACGGGTAGTTTAGTACCCCATGAGCATGACACAGTTTGTGTACTAGTCGAGAACGCCGATGCCGATGCCGCCGCGCACAGAATGACCCAGGCTAACACACGAGGAGTCGACCGGTCTCAAGCCAAGCGGTCAATCGTCAGCAATTTGTGCAATATCAGGATCGAGTTCTATTGGCGCTGATCTGGTGGTGGAGTTTGTCTATCTCTTCTTCTAGCGGTACATTCCGGGCGGTATGATTTGCATTTTGCGGAGTCTGACGTCATAGCAAGTCCAATATTCCGCCCCGTCCTGCCTAGGCCCGAAGTAGAGTCGGTTCGGGTACATGAGTGTAGAGCTTAGGTTAAAAGAAATTTTATATTTTATGCAGTCTAAAATAATTTATGAAATCTAGCTAACGTAGGTTATCCTCAAATGCAACGCATCCTCAAACGCAACAACGCTAGCGCGGGGATCAATTTCCGACCGTATTTTGAAGCCACCAATTTCAGCTCGCCGCCATTCTACGAATATTTGCTCTATATTGATGAGCTTTTGATATGTTGTTTACGGAGATGAGTTCTATCTTCTATTCTATTATGGCTGACGCATTTGCTAATTTGAAGAAGTCAGAACGCATCGAAAAAGCTGTTTGCGCATGTCAAGAGGATAGCAAATTAACAGCACGAAAAGCTGCGAAAATTTACAACATTGCTGCTTCTACGATTACTCGACGCCTCAATAAGCAAACGAAGTCCAGAAAGCTTATAAGCGAATCGCAGCAACTCTTGACCCCTGTGGAGGAGCGTACCATTATTCAATGGGTTATTCAATACTACAAATGGGGATTACCCCTTGGTTGGAAGCAAATTCGCCAATTCGCGATAGAAATCCTCCTTCGAAAACGCCCGCAGCCACAGGGCAGTGTACCCTCTTTAGGCAGGCATTGGCACAAGAAGTTGCTTACTCGAAATCCTCAAATAAAGCGCGTAATTGCGCGTGGCCTTGATCGTACACGAGCATCTGCAATGCTCAGAGTTGAGACTATTCAAGAGTATTTCGAGCTCTACAACTCTTTACGGCAGAGATATCAGATTTTGCCTCAAGATACGTACAATATGGATGAGAAGGGCTTTTGTATGGGCGCAATTCAACGCTCTTCTGTGCTTATCCCTGTGGGCGAAAGAGAGGCATTTCTACGGCAGGATGGCAACAGAGAGTGGGTCTCCGTCATAGAGACTATTTCTGCATCTGGCGAATCGCTATCAAGCTATATCATCCTCAAAGCAAGCTATCAACAGAGTAGTTGGTATCAACAGCTTGATACGCAGAGTTCCAAGATAGCTACAAGCTCTAAGGGGTGGACTAACAACCAAATAGGCCTCTTATGGCTAAAACAGCATTTTGACGTCGAAACAGCTAAACGTCAAGTTGGCGAATATCGACTGCTCCTCCTTGATGGTCACGATTCGCATTGTACGCTCGAATTCATCGAATATTGCTTTGAACGAAAGATTATTCTACTTGTGCTCCCCCCTCATACGACTCACTACAGCCACTCGACGTTGTTATATTTCAGCCACTTTCGAAATACTATAGCGTTGAGGTCGAAAATCACTCTCGAGAGAAGCATTATTGGTTAGATAAAGAGGATTTTATCGTCTACTATCAAAATGCTCGAAAAAAGGCGCTTCGAGAGGGCAACATTCTTTCTGCGTGGCGAACAACAGGGTTACAGCCTTATAACCCACAAATAGTGCTCACAAAGCTACCAAATCGACTTACTACCCCCCCTGAATCAGCTCAAATTCAGCTTATTCTTAACGGCAACTCCTCTCTCAACTTGCTTGTTGGTGCAAGCAATGATTATGTCACTAAAGCTACGCAAGCTATCAAAGATACAATGCTAGGGAGCCCTGCAGAACATGCTATCAAGACGATAGAGTATCTCAACGCTAATAACGCAATTCTGAGCAAAACGAATACTCAATTAGTAGCTGCCTCACGATCTCGCCAACAGGCCAAAAAAGGCAAGAAGACCCTGGGCAAAGCACGCTCACTCAGCAAGGAGGACGTTGATAAGATGCGCAAGGAGGCAGAGGCTAAGGAGGCAGCTGAAATAGCTCATAAAGCTGCTATGGGGCGGAAGAAGAAGGAGCAAGCACTCAAAAAGGCGCAGAAGGAGGCAGATAAAGCAGAACGCGCATTTCAACGCGCCCAGGCGAAGGATACACGCGAAACGCAGGCTGAGATGGCTCGATTGGGCAGAATAAAGCAATGTTTGTTTACATAATGCCTATTTGGGCTATTTGAATAGATTCTATCTCAAAGAGAGCATCAGCGACGTTGTTGTTGTGCAGATTGTCAGAATCTGCTCCGAGACCCAAAATGCCAAGTAATTTGCGTTGCATTTGAGGCCCCGTTGCATTTGAGGATAACCTACGTTAGTTATAATTTTATGAAACTTTGTTATGTTCCAAACAAATTAAAGCAGGAAATCAAGAAATTTATGGCCGATTTTATCCCAGAAAGCGACTTGCCAGTTGTTGATTCCTGTCAACTTATCACCATCTCCCAACATTGCGCTACTTTTAGGCTTCTAGGAATTTTTCCGGTATCATGACCGAGTCCACATCTTCTGAGTCAACCTCTAATTCTCTCGCATATCCATGAGAGGCTAGGGATTCTTGAACTGGAATGGATAACCATGACTGCTACGACACATCCATCTATAACTCGAGCACCAAGATCGGTCCGGACGCAGACATTGCTGGCGTCGGCGTGATCAGCGCGTTTGTCGCTGCGGCGGGCCTCGCCATGATCGCGGCTTTTGTGTATTCCATCCTCGATAACATTCATCCTCGCCCTAATCGATGGTGTGAAATTATCGAGCAGCTCATCTATGGCCTCAGCGACCAGCAACTGGTGACCGGTCTCGCTGTCCTAACCGCGGGCTTTGTTCGGTGGAACACGGTTCTGACCTATCACCTCGAGATCGTTACGGATCTGGGCTTCATCTCGTCTAACACGCACCTGGCTACTCTTGCTGCATTAGGGAAACCCCTAAGAGAATGAAAGAATCGTTTCCTTCGAGCTTGGCGGATTATCGCGATGCTGGTGCTCTTTGTGTTGCTCTTCGTTGCCAACGTTACAGCGGGTATAAATTTTGGGACAGCAGTATTGCCTGGCCCGTCCGATGTGCGGCGGCCGACATGCGCTACGACCTTAAGGCTCATTATGGAGGCGAGACGGCCAAATACATGGGTCTCTGGACAGCCTTCCTCGTTATCGAATATCCTTTGGCAGCCGCCGGTCTCTTTGAGCGGGTTGGCTCATCCACCAGGGAGCACATACAAAGCGGTCTGAGGAACTGCAATGAAAACATCCACCGTCTCCAACAGAAGATCAAAGCACTGAACTTCCCTTTCGCGGTATACGCAAGGCTATCATATTGGTATTTCTGCAAGTTCATCTACACTGTTCTGAAGATGTGCCACTCAACCCGGTTCTTCATCATACAGGATACCGCATGGTATCTGTACAACTGTATTACCCTGTTCCAATAGCGTATCTACGCGCGGTCTTCATTGGAGGATCCTGCAAGCGAGGGCCATGCAGACGGATTTAGACAAATATTGCCTTTGGTTATGCTTTTGGTGCCGGTCATGACCTTTTCTGAAGAGTATATCAGTGCTGGCAACAAAGTCAACACCTGACAGGTCAATTCGATGGGAACCTCGCCATGGGATTAGAGATATTTGTGAGGATTATACAGCAGTAGTACTCCACTATGGAATGTAGATAAGTTTATAGTTATTTTTGATTTTGTTAGCCTCACCTATATTTGATAGGTGTCAGAAGACACGAGGAAAGTAAATGCCAAGCATGATAAATTGGCAACAACTTACTTACAGTACTAGTGCAAAAGTATCCGGACAACCCCACCTTCACACCCCACCAACATTTTGGACCATATCCATACAAATTACTATAGTAAGTTACCAACTTGATGGATTCTAATAAAGAATAGCTCAAAATGTTCAGAAACATCCAGAGATTGAGGCTAGGCTAATTTCCTAAATAGGTAGTCGATATTCAGAATCTGGTGTACCATCCTTTGGCCGCAATGACCGCATTCACTCGACTATCCATACTCTTGATGAGATTGGCCACAGCTTCTTCTCCTATAGCATCCCAACCCTCATAAATAGCTCTGAATAATCGTTGATAATCCTCCTCTGATTTGCCCATATTAATTAGCTCTGGGTAGTGATCATTAATCCATTGCTTGAGTTGCGCCCAGAGGTGTTCAATTGGGTTGAGATCAGGACTATAGGCTGGCCATTCCATCAGCTCTATACCCTCCTCTTGAAGCCAATTGATAATCTTCTTCGCAGTATGGATTCGAGCATTATCTTGCATGAATTTGCGCCCTGGTTCGTATATCCGAGGCATCTGCTCACGAAGCACTGCCAGATAAGAGTTGGCAGTATATCACTGCCTCTTTCAAGCGAACATTCATCACTGAATATGATCTTGCTCCACTCAGCCCACGTCCAATTTTGTCGTTCTTTACACTATGCAAGTCGTTTAGCAGCCAATTGCAGAGTTAATAAAGGTCTTTTTTTGGCTAGCCAATTGGTAATGCCTTCGTCTTTGAGGATTCGATAGATAGTACTTCGATGAACACTAATACCAACTTCAGACTTGATTTCTTGATAAGTAATCTTCGGATTGATACGAATAATGCGTAGAATGTTGCGTTTTTGGACCCTATTCAAGGCCTGAGGGCGTCCTAAACGAGGCAGGCTTTTGCTGTGGTTGCGCATTGGATTTTGAACAAGGGTATCAAAAATTGTAGATTTGCCGCAATGCAGATTTTGACCAATCTCTCGAGTTGTGAGCCCTAGGGCTTTGTACGCCGAAATTTGACCTCGCTGGTATGGAGATAACTCCTTGCCATAGCTCCTATTAATTTCAAGAGGCGCCAGAGCCTTGCGTTGAGCCATGGTAGTTGTTTGAAAAAGGGTGTAAAAAAACGCGTGTTCAAAAATGACGCGTTTTGTCCGGATACTTTTGCACGTGGCTGTACTAAGAAGTTATATAATCCTGCCAAGCCATCTCGCATGGAGCATCGCTCGCAAGCATTATACAAGGCACTGATCCACTGACTAAAGCCTCGCATACTTTCCGTTTATAAGACGCCTGCTTGTCCACGCTGAAAGCTACGCAGATGTCATTGTCCTTTAGCGGGTACACACTCGTTAGAGTTGACTGCTGGATAAAATATCTTATCTCCGTCTGAAGTGGACCGCAACGCCCTTGCCATAGAATACTGACCTGGCTGAGCTTGATGTCTTTACGAACAACCCTCGAACAATCTGGACATCTACTAACGTAGCAGCCCTTTATCATCGACATTGTCTGCCACCGCCGAGATGGCTACCTCACCGCCTACTCCAACAAACCTCAACCTTCCAACCTCGAAGAAACGCCCCTCCATCGGACCTCCCTCACAATCTGCAACAACACCGGGCTACTCCTCTCAGTCTGCCAAAAGACCAAAACACCAACATCCTCTACGACAGACCTCTTTTCCCGCTCCTGAAGCTCAAGCAGGATTCTACACCCCCAGCGCACCTAGATCCGAAACCGGCTCGGTCTCCGCTAGTGTCACCAGTGGTTTCAGCGGCACAACAGGTGGTGGCAAGCGCTCACGAGGAAGACCTAAGAAACGAAAAAATCAACCCCATGACATCCAAACCGGCCGCGGAAGCGGCGTGGGCGACTATGACGATGGAGCGAGCACCATTCTCGAAGCCGACACGCCAGAGACCACAACCCGCCGTAGCCGACGAGGCGGCACCAAATCGGTCATCTCCGGTGCTGGTGGTGGAGCTGGCGACGATGCAGCCGACGATGACGATGACCCTAACGCTCCCGACGCAGACCCCAACTCGGACGAATCCCGCCGATTACATGCCGAGATGGCTAGAGAGAAAGAGAAGATCGCACAGCTCCAGGAAGCCTTAACGCCGGAGCAGATGCAGAGATATACCAGCTATCTGCGGACGAAGCTGAAGGGATCTACATTGAAGCGCATTGTGAATCAGACCGTCAGTCAGAGTGTCACGTCGAATCCATTGCAGGCGGTGCAGTGGGTGGGGAAGGTCTTTGTGGGTGAAATTGTCGAGCTGGCGCGGGAGGTGCAAGGAGAATGGGCGGGGAGGTGGGAGATTGCTAGGGACGAGGAAAGGGAGAGGAGAGAGCGGGAGAGGGAAAGGGACAAGTATGATTCAGAGGGCGAGTTGAAGAAACCTATAACGACTTCGGCGCCAGCGATCAAGCCAACAGAGGACCTTTACGCCGGAGCAAATCCGCATAGAGGTGGGCTACTGCCGGATCATCTACGAGAGGCTCTCAGGAGGTACAAAGCTGATGGCGAGGGTGGTGGAGTGGGGCTGGGTGGGTATAGTTTTGGGAATCTAGCGCTCAAGGGGGAGGCTGTGCCGAGGTTGGGCATGGGGAATGGAAGTGGGAGGAGGCTGTTTCGATGAGTGAAGGCTGTCCCTCGTTCCAATCGACTGATGTGGTATGAAAAGACTTGGTCATTCTGAGCGTCAAGCGGCTGGTCCTTTGATCAAGATCGGAGCTTGGCGGCTGGAAGAGAAGTCACTACGGAGGAGAGCTCTAATGTAGTATTCTTCTTCCTCGGCTTAGAGAGCATAGCCTCTTGGTGACATAGGACCCCGCTGAACAGCCGGCGGAGTACTTGCACCCACCTAGTCATAGAATACACCTAATTATGTCTGGTGGTGGACCGACTCAATTCCAATGCACAACATGCCTTTGAGTTAGATGCAAACCACATATTTCTTTGCGGTCTTGCTAAGGTACGCTTTAATAGCCAGAATAACAAATCTGCACTGTCTCCAAGTGGTTATCCTGTGTGGTGAATTTCGTGGGAGGATCGAGTGCAAAGGTCTGCCGGCCTCGACGCTCTCTCAACAAAAGTCAAGCAGCTTCTGGCTTTTGGCATTGACCGCCTCGCACCCTTGCACGCCTTTTGTTATGCTACTCATTCCCCATCTTCTATCACATCCTTCACGGGTGCGCATTTCCATGCGCAATGGCCCCGTGGGTCTGCTTCACGACCCTGGCATTCGTCCACTCTGTACGCTGCGTTAACGAAGTCCTTATCCGATTTCAGACGGTGGTGCTGTGGCCGGGCGCCTGTTTCCCAGAACATATCCAGCTCTACATAATTTCCAATTACCTAGGAATTCAGAGATTATGACAGAAGGTTGAGTGACGTTGGCAGTCAGGCCAGGGGATGAATGCAGATTGATAATGATGGTTGGTAACGGTACACCCCACCATGGGCAAGTCATTTATAAGTTCGAACAGCTTGCTTGGTATTGCTGGAGGAAGCTGGGAAGATCTGTGATCTTAAGTCTGAACTCGGATCAAGAGGGCCACTACTCTCGCTGAGACTGGGCAATTTTGGCCGGCGTCACGCTGAGGGAAGACCAACTCGTCCCTCTCAATCCAATCCTTTTATCACAGCCAGATTCATCCATGTACACGAGATGATGTGAGCTGAAAGTGGAAGTCCCGCAGATCCGGATTCTGCTCCTTCGCCACCCGGCGAGCAGCCTTCTTTGACCAGCCAACGGAAGTCAAAGCACTGCTGGTACTGGAGGTTGTAACAAGGGCCTCGAATTCGCCCCATAGAAACACCACCATCACATCGAAATACTGATCTGGCTTTTCGAGTAAGTACCGGCGAAGGGCTTCGAGCATATGGGGTGTGATAGATCACGGGCGTCCGCCATCATTCGACGACGCTCCGGTGGTGCTGAAGCAACAGAGATTGGAGCGGGATGGACCTGATCGAGCGGGAGCTACAGCCAGCAACCTCGACCACTTGGGCAGTCTTCAGAGATTCACTAACAATCATATCACGGATCAGCCTGTGCTGCGATATTGCCTGGTTCGGTGCCTTGCCAGGCGTTTACTTGCAACTCGCTTTCGGGCCTGGAGATGGAATGCCGCCGAACAGTGCGACTGGCACGATCTTGGCATTCTATGCCTTGACAAAAGCTCTACCTAGGGATTTCTACATACCTGAATTTTTGCCTCCTCAGTTTACGCGATTCCCAGTGCTTTCAAAGTGGCTCTATTCCTTCTATTCAACAAATATTGGGGTGCAAAGGTCACGTGCCATCAATGGCAAGGACAAAGCGGCTTCGCATCTTTGGGAGCACATGTGTGCCACTTCACTGGTGCCACGTTCCAGAGGTCGGATCCCAATACGAAAAAGGCTAACTTACGGCCCGGAGGCCCGTTGCACCACTTACCAAGAGAAGAAGGTATGAAAGGGAAGCATATTTCATCCATATTATGACTATTTTTCGGACAAAATACGTTATATAAATAAGAACCTCATCAGATGACAAAGGAGCAAGCAATGGAGTCTTCCCGCAAGGCTTAATCTAAGCGCACTTCAACGGCTCTTCTAGCATTTTCTTAAGAGGGCCTGATACTGCTGAGCAGCAAGCATGGCTTTTAAGGCGGAGGCAGCCCTTAGCGGGGTAACAAGAACCTTCATCTCAGCCTTGTCGTCCTGAGCGGTACGGCTCTAGCTGACCCTTTTCAGCTGGTTGTCGGCGCTTATAACCAACGCTCCAACACTGCCGACGGTCTTCTTTTCATGCTTTGCCTCCATCTGAAGAGCTACTGGAAACCCAACTGTCAATCGAGCTATGGATCAAGCCATGTCCACCACGCACGGCGAAGAGCCAAACCCTCTCGATACCACAGGGCTGTGCTTGCTGTCGCTCGACGGCGGCGGCGTGCGGGGGCTCTCAACCCTCTACGTCTTGAAAAGCATCATGGACCGACTGAACTATGAACGCAAAAAGACTGCCAACCTTCCTCCGGCGAAGCCATGCGAAGTGTTTGATCTTATCGGAGGCACCAGTACTGGCGGGTAAATGGACTTATTCCCTGGCGAGCGTAACTAGCTGACGCGATTGTCACAACAGACTCATTGCGATCATGCTCGGCCGGCTCGAAATGGACGTAGATGAGTGCATTACCGCATACAGTGATCTCGCGGCAGCCGTCTTCAGTGAGAAATTAAGCCGCATTCCAGTCAACATCAAGGGTAACGTCAAGCCGCGATTTGACTCGACAAAACTTGAGACTGCGATCCGAAAGGTAGTAACACAAAGCGGCGCATCTGAGACAGACTTACTCAATGACGCGGTTGAGAGAGGATGTAAAACGTAAGTGTTCTGCTGACCAAAGAAGATGTTATTCTAACAGAGATCAGCTTCGTTTGTACTGCCGACCGCGACACGAGGGGCATCCGTCGTCTCCGAAGCTACAGCCTACCCGACGAGCCGAACATTCGTGCAACGATTTGCCAAGCCGCGCTCGCGACATCGGCTGCCACGACCTTTTTTGATCCGGTCAGCATCGGGGATCGCACATTTGCTGATGGTGGGCTCGGCGCAAACAATCCAGTGGACGAGGTAGAAGGAGAGGCGTCGAACATCTGGAGCCCGGAGACTGGGAACTTGAAGCCTCTGGTCAAGTGTTTCATCTCAATAGGGACAGGGAACCCCGGCAAGAAGGCGTTCGAAGACAGCATGATCAAGTTTCTCGGCCAGACTGTGGTGGAGATCGCAACTGAGACAGAGAATACGGAGCGGAGGTTTATTGCTAGATGGGCCGGGCATTTTGATGAAAAGCGGTATTTCCGGTTCAACGTCGATCAAGGGCTGCAGAACGTTGGCCTAGACGAGTATAAGAAGAAGGGTGCAATGGAAGCGGCGACGGAAGAGTATCTCACGCATGTAGCGCAGAAGTTCCGGTTACGAGACTGTATTCAGAATTTGAGACTAAAGCAGAGTGTGTACATCGAGGATTTCGCATAGTGATCCAAGAGTGATTTGGCTGATATTTACAGATAAATCTGACACTTCCTTCGCTGCCCTTGTGAAAGTAAGTTTGCTATTGCCTAAATCGGCCAATCCTTCACTTACGCTATACAGGAATATACTTCACGCACCATTCAGCAACAAACAGGTATGGCGTCCGTGAATTGACTTTACAGCTACTAATTCTCATACAGCCGCACATACTGCTCCCTGGATCGTTCCGTTTGAAAGAAATCCCAACTTTACCGGTCGGGAATCCCAGCTTGCTCAGCTCGAAAACAAGCTTTTCGCAAAAGATCACACTACAAAGATGGCAATCGCCGGACTCGGAGGTGTGGGCAAGACGCAGTTGGTGCTTGAGCTAGCCTACCGAGCAAGAGAAAGGTATAAAAATTGCTCCGTCATCTGGATACCCGCGACCAACATGGAAAGTCTCCAACAAGCGTACCTGGATGTTGCTCGACAGCTCAACATACCCGGTTTGGAGGAGGAGAAGGCGGACGTAAAGAAACTTGTGCAAGGCTACCTAAGTAAGGAAAGTACAGGCCAGTGGCTCCTAGTGTTTGACAACGCCGATGAGATTGAGATGTGGATCACCAAGCCAACATCTGCGCAGGGATCTGGCCGATTGATCGAGTACCTTCCAAGGAGTACACAAGGGTGCATCGTCTTCACAACACGCGACAGGAAAACGGCCGTCAAGCTTGCACAGCAGAACGTAATCGAAGTGGCGGAGATGAATGAAGCTATGGCTACGGAGATGCTGCAGAAATATCTGATCAACCAGGATCTCGTCAGTAACGAGCAAGATACGAAAGCGCTACTTACGCAGCTAACCCACCTCCCACTAGCCATCGTGCAGGCAGCAGCATATATTAATGAGAACGGCATAACACTCCCAGATTATCTATTGCTTCTGGGAGATCAAGAGGAGGAGGTTATCGGTCTACTTAGCGAAGAATTCGAGGATCATGAAAGATATCGCAATGTGAAGAACTCAGTGGCCACGACATGGCTAATCTCGTTTGAGCAGGTCCGGCACCGCGATCCTCTGGCAGCCGATTTGCTGTCGTTCATGGCATGCGTGGATCCAAAGAACGTGCCGCAGTCTCTTCTTCCATCCGGTCCCTCGCGGAAGAAGGAATCTGACGCTATCGGGACGCTACACGCGTACTCTTTTGTCAATAGGCGACTAGCAGATTTGGCTCTTGACGTGCATCGGCTGGTGCATCTTGCGACACGCAACTGGCTTCGAAAGGAAGATCTGCTTACTCGATGGACCGAGATAGCTATCGCGCGATTAGAAGAAGTGTTTCCAGATGATAATGACTACCACCAAAACAGACGTGTCTGGAGGACATACCTGCCGCACGCTCGCTATGTACTTGAATCTGACCTCATCGATAAAGACGAGGAGAACAGGCTTTATCTGGCGTGGAAGTTTGGAAACTGTCTCAGCGAGGACGGACGATGGAATGAGGCTGAGACCTTATTTACGCATGTGATGGAAACTTATAAGAGGGTGCTTGGCGCAGAGCATCTGGACACGTTAAGCAGCATGGCTCAATTAGCATCAACGTACCAGCATCAAGGTCGATGGAAGGAGGCTGAAGAGCTAGAGATACAAGTGATAGATGCTCGTAAGAGAGTGCTTAGTGTAGAGCATCCTTCTACGCTAACTATTATGAATAATCTGGCGTCAACGTATCAGGGTCAAGGTCGATGGAAGGAGGCTGAAGAGCTGCAGATTCAAGTGATGAAGACTCAGAAGAAAGTGCTTGGTGTGGAGCATCTAGATACGCTGACTGCTATGAATAAACTGGCGTTAACATATCAGAATCAAGGTCGATGGGAGGAGGCTGAAGAGCTGCAGATTCAAGTGATGAAGACTCGGAAGAAAGTGCTTGGTGTGGAGCATCCTTCTACGCTGACTACTATGAATAATCTGGCATTAACATATCAAGATCAAGGTCGATGGAAGGAGTCTGAAGAGCTGGAGATGCAAGTGATAGAGACTCAGAAGAAAGTACTTGGTGTGAAGCATCCAGATACGCTGACCACTATGAATAATCTAGCGTCAACATATAAGAGTCAAGATCGATGGAAAGAAGCTGAAGAGCTAGAGATGCAAGTGATAGAGACTCGGAAGAAAGTGCTTGGTGTGGAGCATCCGGACACACTAAGCACTAGGAATAATCTTGCCTTCACTTGGAAAGCCCAAGGTCGAGATGCAGAAGCTATCAAGCTGATGGAGGAATGTGTACACTTACAGTCCCGCATCTTAGGCATTGACCACCCTTATACTTTGGATTCTCGTGAAGCATTGAATATCTGGCAGACAGAAGCTGGAGATTGATATCTTGGATGTCAAAGATCTAGCACGCATTGATATGATTAGTTAGATGAAGGAGAAGTGAACTGGAATGAAATGCCTTGCCGGTTCTTCTAGATACACTCCGGGGTTTGTCTTCCCAGCTTAGACAATAGCAGATCTTTCTGTCTATCTGGAAATGTTCAAGCTTGGTAAATGTTTTGTGAACTGTGATCGATTGTGTGCAGAGTTGCCAATGTCATGTGTGCAAGAGTTATCCTTTGACACGTATGCTGAATATATCATATAAAGCAAGAGAAACAAGCATCCGTACAGTGAGGAATCGAAGACCGTGGAGGGTGTGGAATTCAATGGGTCAACATATTCCCCAAACTCCCTCCTAAAGATCGTCCTAACGTCTTCTTACTATGGTTTATTCTGAGCGTTGCAGCAATTTCACGGGCTGTACTGTTGCCGGGGCTGATAACTTGACAACGGGGGACATATCCCTCAGGAAGGAGGTCAGTCGGTGCTGATTGAACGATTTTCTGCACTCGCAATTTTTCAATCCCACAGGGGTACCGATTAAGTGGCAGAGAACTAAAACGCCGGGATGAAATCTCACTGTGCTAACTCTGTCAGTACGCTCCTGGAGCACAGTAGCAGTCAGCCACGATGTGAGATCCAGCCATTGGCTATTTCTTGCGTGGCCGACTGTAGTCATGTCAGAATACCACATGATATTCGCAAATTCCAGGTAAGGGTCAGAAATCATTGAATTCGGACTTGGTGATCGCTTAGGCATGATCAAGGGCGCGTTGCTTGACATTTTTCCTTCACGTTGGGCGTCAGGAGTCTGAAAGATAGGTCCAAGAGAGTCCACTTCAAGACTTTTGATCTAGGAACAGTATGTTATCTCACGAGACCCAATCGATGACGGCCCTTTGGAAATTCTGACGCCTTATCGGAGTAGGATCAATTTCTACGTTTTTCTAAGCTTCTCAACTTCCCGCAGATAGGGCCCAAATGCAAGCTCTTAATGCCTCCCCCTTTCCAATGTTCCCTTGCTTCAAATGCTCCCTTTTTGCTGATGTCTTCCTTCTCTAACAGCTCTTTTTCGGATGGCTCTGGTTCTTTTCTTGATAGTTCCCTCTTCTTGAGAATAATTCGGCAACTTGTAACGTGAGCACGAGGATAGGAAATCAGGTTGCGGGGATAGTATGAAAGCGAGAGCAGTACCGAGTCGGGCATTAATAGTCTTCGATATACGCTAACTGGCTTGAGATACAACTAGTTCTTTTTGTATTAGAGTGGTGCGAAAGATGTTGAGACGAAAGGGTGATATAAGAGGGAAATTGGTCGGAGATTAGCTGGCTTGGGCATTTAGCCATAGATTAAATTAGCCCCGGAGAGGGTGTATGCTAACCGGCGAGGTAAATTTGTATCGATATGGACATTTTATCTGTAGCTCTTCTAAAACTCTAAAATTATTGAGTATGCCTAGATATCAATCAAGCTCTCAGATGACCACGTTCAATTTTGATAGTCAAACCGCATCAAAGAGCCAGATGAAACGCACTTGTTTCCGACTACCATTTAAATCATGAAAAGATGCAAGCTTACTGAACTGTTGCAGTATATTATTGGTCTGTTTGAATCCGAGTACCACTCTTTCAAGGAGTTTAGGATCTCACGCGGTGCATTGATCATCCCAGCCCTTACGTCTTTGTCGGGGCTAGAATCTCATTTAGTGAGTAGTATGACGCGGAGCGTAATTTAAACGCTTCTATACCACCTACTCTTTACGGCGTCTCCAGTTCTCGGAGTAGGTCTTAGCTCTATTGCGTTCATGCGTAGATTGCGTGATACGGTTGTGGTAGCGGAGTAATAACCCAATTGGACAAAACAGCTTCGACCCGAGACACAGTCTTCCATGGACCGGCCACGACTCCATTGTCTCAACATGCCCAACATCATACTATGCGCCCATTCCGAGCTCTCCGTAGAACATGTTGGAAACCTCCTTCGCGCCCGAAGCTATGCCAGGCGGTCCCACAACCCGTTTAGGCCACACCGAGGCCAGCACGAAAAATTCCTATCCACTCGCATACTCCTCCCTCAGCGCCAGAAGCCTCACCCGTCTCCCATCTGCCCCACAGCTCCCAAACCTCCACCAGCCCGCGCGCCACCAACCGAGTACATTCACCATAACCCAGCGCACCGGCGCCGACACAGGCGGGAAATCCTTCCATTTACCGTCCTCGAACTCCAGATCCAGGTTAAACCACAGCATCGGGAGGAGATTGACGGAGGAGGTGCGATCCATGCTGTATTTGGCGGTCTTCTCCGATAGGGCACGAATGTCGATGGGATATTTGGCGAGAGAGGCTAGTTTGGCGGGTTCGTGTAAAAGGTGCTGGTGCAGCGTGGGACCGAAAGTGTCCATCACGTGGTGGAGGTTGGTGGCACGGAAGGAGCCGGGCGCAGCGGCACAGGTTGTGAGGTAGGTTTTGAAATTGGCCATGCCGTCGTGGAAAGCGGCTTTGGCGGAATTAGACTAGTGGTGTTGAATCGAGAAAGGGAGACTTACCGTGCTCGGCCTTGTCGCCGTTCATGAGCCCCTGGGTGCCCGTGGCGGCTTCGAGCGATGGGAAGAGAATCTCTTCTTCACTGTCGTGGTGGCCGGTGACCATGGCGTGCCAGGCGAGGGAGTAGCCAATGAAGTCCGGGTAGTCGGTGGGTTTAACGGAAGGGGCTTGTTGGTAGATGCTGTTATAGCCATTGATGATAGCGTTGTGGACGAGGGCCATATGGGAGCCGTCGATAGTGAAATCGTCTGTCTTGGATTGAGGTTAGGGGTGAGCAGTTGGTGACCAAAGGGGCGTTGGATTACCTTTCCCGTTTGTGAGTGGGGGGTTGGGATCAAAGAGAGTGGAGTGTCAGAGTAGCGTGCTGCCATGTGTGAAGACTGATGGCAGTACAGCGGGAGAACTGGACAAAGGAACAGTACGAAGCCGACTATTTAGAAGGCGAGCTTAAACCAGAATGATATGAATCCAGGAGATAACAATAGTTGAGAACCAAGTAGTGCTAAAGTCGACCTGATGGCTAATTCAAGGTATTAATAACTTGGTATGAGAGAAGGAGGCGTACACTATGGACGGATAACTAAGCAGTGACAATACTACTCTTATCCATTAAGGTGGCCAACTAGTAAAGCGGGAAATCTCTTGCATAAGGACTACTATATTAGGTTAACACTAGACATTGAAGCTTACTCAGCCAGTAGCACTAGCATCATCTAGGGCAAAAATTAGTACTATAAACTTTAGTAATAGAATACCTTGATTAGAAATCTAGTTTTCTAATACTAGATGTAACGTAACTATTTTTAAATAAAAAAAGGGATAGAAGGATGGAAGGATGGAAGGTTGTAGGGATGGAGGGATGGAGGGATGGAGGGATGGAGGGATGGAGGGATAGCAGGATAGCAGGATATTCTATGCCCTCTTTCTGCGGGCTCTTTCTGCACATTCTGCGTGTTATTTCTGTGCCCTCTTTCTGCACATTTGTGTGCCCTCTTTCTGCGCATTTCTATACCCTCTTTCTGCGCATTTCTGTGCCCTCTTTCTGCGCATCCTACGTACGCATTCTGATTTTGATGGGGTACGGCTTAGCAAGATTCTGCAGCCTTGGCGCCTTAAAACACTGCTTATTCCACGAAAGGGGAACTTTATCCAATCAGAAGGCTGATCCTTCGGGCCGCATTTTTAAGCTTATTGTCGCAACAGCCAATTGCTCGAGCTTGGCGGTGTAGACACATTAGATAGATGATCAGAAAACCATATGATATTCGCAGATTCCGGGTAAGGGTCAGAATATCATTAAATTCGGCCTTAGTGATTGTTGGGCCATAACCAAGGGCCGGTTGGTTGACATGTTCCCTCACGGTGGCCGTTGGGACTCTAAAGATAGGTCTAAGAGAGTTGTCAAGCTGTGTTGGTGCCTATTGGTCAGTTTTTCCATGTTTGATCTCTGTTGTTCATCTGCGCTCAATTAGTCAATTTCTAGTACGGTTTCGGATAACTGTTTGTAACGCCAAGATAGAACGCCACAAAATTGCTCGATTAGAAACTAGTCTATTTTTCTCAGTATCAAAGTGTGCATTTCTTTAGCATCAACAAATGTCTTGTATCTTGTTAGCATTGAGAATTTGTAGATGGCGCAGAATGAGATAGAATCAGTAGAATAATGCGTAAAATCAACAAAACGCGCGTAGAATGGCGACAGTAAGCATTCGTACTGAGCAACATGGTATCTGTATGAGCGCTGTTAATGACGTTACTTACTAGTGCGCAGGTGACAATCATTATGCCTCCTACCGTAGTACATCACTGTACCGTACAGCCTGTTTTGCGCGTATATCTGCGCGCTTAGCTCCTTCATAGATAATACAACTTGTTTCTAGACCTTCCAATAGGCATTTCGACAGTGGTCGAACCACGCTAATGCTGACGATCGGCCCAGCAGTGCAGACACAGCATACTCAAAGAAGCCTACGGACCCAACTAAGCATGAAGACATCCTAGGCTGTCTGCTAGGGGCAAATGACTCTGTATCTCAAATAGTACGACTGTGTATGTCCGAGGCCCACGACGGAATTGATGTAGCCCTTGACACCCAATTTTGGTGCAGATAACCTACCGCCTCTTTGTACCACTAATGTAAGCACCAAGTACAGAGTACTCCGTACCGGGAACAAGATAACAGGCCAAATCTTGAAATCCGAGGCAGGGAAGGTGGAGATCCTTTAGCTTGTAGTGGAGACCCTTTAGCTTGTGGTGGAGATCCAGTTTCCAAGCCATTCGGGTGAAAACCACGTCTAAAAAGCCTAACTAGGGCGCTGAAAGCTTGGTGCTCCACATCTGACAATGAAAACCGTAACCACGCAATCGAAGCCTGGCATACATGAATTTTTTTGCAAGGCAAAAGGACACCCGACAACCACCTCACGCCTTTGTGCGTGAACGAAATATCTTATGTCAGATGTGATGCTTCGAATAACTATGCTCCACCATGCTGAGAGTGGTTGGGTGACGACAGTGCCACAATCCTGCATAACTAGACGACAAGGAGCGGATTGAGAGGTGATTTCGCTCGCTTGGGGGCTCAATTGCAAGTCTGCATTAGGCTTAACCCTTCTGATCGACGATTTGCGTGGAGCAGCTCTGTGGCCATATCATTGGCCATCTTTGCAATCTTGCATCCTTTTGATAAGCCACCTCCGCCAACATATATCTGGCCAATTCCCTACCCCTATTTGTGATACCTACCTTGCACAGGGCTACCTGATCATTTCAATCTTGAGCTTCGTACTCGTCTTAACATGTTACTGAGATGTCTGACAGGTTCATATATAACGATTGATTTCACCGCAAGGGCATAGGCACCAAATAACATGCAAGGACCGCGCTGTAAAGAGCCAGATTCGCATTCTGCACCACGATGTCGTTCGGATTCAGTGTCAGCGATTTTTTACTCCTGCTGAAGATGACCAAAGGAGTCTACAATGCCTGCAAGGATGGGCCAAAAGAATATCAAGAGATCAGTCGAGAGGCCATGTCCTTTTACACCGTTTTGGAATCCCTCAAGAACGACGTGAATGAGGCAGACTCGTTGCTAAATAGGAGGGGATCAGGCCGATGTCATGAGCTCCGGCAGGTTATATCACATTGTGAAGAAGCTTTCCGAGAGCTCCAAGCCCTGGTCGACAAGCACAGCCGCTTAGACGCGGAGGGTCATCGCAGGATATGGGAAAGCTACCAAGTCGGATCTGCAGACCTCGGCAATGTTCGAGGGAAGCTCACCTTTTATGTGTCAGTAATTGGCATATTCATGGACAGTCTTGGGGCCTCCGCCATGGAAAGAATCGAAAGGAAACTCGACAAGCTATTTGCAAAGGTCATGGAAGCAGACACATACGACGATCCCGCGAAAAGCACCACCTCCTTAAGTTCAACCATCTCACTTCTTTCCATTCGCCACTCAGAAAAGGAAGACGACGTCTGGGACCTTATACGGCATGAACTCCAGGCTGAAGGCATAGATCTAAGCACATTGGAAGCGTACAAACCCGATATCGTCAACTACCTCAAAAGTCTTGTAGAAAAGACTGATATTGAGAGGCTACAGTCTGCTCGGCCCGGTAATGACCACAATGTTCTTTCTATACAGCCTGACCAAGCCCTTCTACAGAAAACAACAGCTCAGACTGCCGTTGACGAGCCCCAGCTCAGACATAATGAGCGACCCACAATATTAATGCCGTCCAGACGAGATACTCAAACGTTCGAGTTCTTTGGGGAACAGAAGAAAGCGAGTATTCAGATTTGGTACACTTATCGTGCCCAACTCGGATTGTATCGGAACAAGCCAGTCTGTTTTATTGGTATCGAAGCCAACGTGGAGGAAAAGGTCAATGGCCCTAGAATCAACATGTATCGATCACAATTTTCGTTTTCCCTTAAAAATAGGGACCCCACTCAAACTGGTTCAATCTGGCAGCATTCTACGCCTTTGAGTCAGGAGAACCGGACCGATGGCTCCAACGAGTATGTGCTATGGCGTGAAGGAATACCATTTGACGACAGAGATACCTATTATTTCAAGACCTATCGTGACGTGGAATCGCGGCTTCCACCTCTTCACGTGGGATTTATGCTAGCAGGGATTCCCGAATTCCCTTTAAGAATACGCTTCGCGACTGCGTTGTACTTTGAGCGATTGACATCATCGTTTGGTAAACTGATCTCGTGGCTGAACTCTCAGCAGCTACTCGTGGGCAGTGCGTGGATAGATCCTCCCCAATCAGACCTCGTCATTACAGAGGGTCAATCTGATCTTCCTATTCCACGAGCCTTAGGCCCGTTTAAGCCAGACCCCCTACGATCGTTTATGATCCTACTTCCTTCAGTAAATGAGAACGGCTGAATGCTACCCCTGCGCATGGCGAAGGTAATGGTGCGGTGTTACCCTCATATATTGCTCATTGGAAGAGGGTCGAGCATTTGGTCTTTACTCGAATCGTCGCGAACGATCGTCCTCTGTGTTTCCAACCCATTTTTGGCAACACAGGCCCCTGGAGTCTGTCATTCGGCCGGATAGCTCCCAATACTATATCCTCTACTCAGAAGTTGTATCATTCGTTCACTCTGGCGGTGAGTCCGATGCCGCTGACTGTACATGTACATTGTCTCTTTCCACCTGGACAAAAGACATCCAACATCGTTTGCGTGGATTTGAGTAGGATGTCTTTGACCAAGTGGGAATACTGGGGCCACAAAACCACTCAAGACGTTTCCCACCGTCATCATTATTATCATCATCATCACCAGACACTGCTGCAGATTCGGAGAAGGAGGCGTAGCAAAGAAAAGAAATCCAGAACACGACATGTCTAACTACATAAAAATAGACAGTCAAAAATCATACCACCTGTGATCCTTAAACTATCATCCTACCATCCGATCTCCTCCCCTCAAACCCCCACATACTTACCTACCCCCGGTCTTCAAATACCTCCACTACTACAGTCCTTTTTCTACACACCTCCTCAAAAAAGTTCCTCCGGCGAATAGGAAATATAATGACTTACCCATCTATCTCATCACACAATCCATCAATTTGAAATCTCGCCCACTCAACCCATCAGGGACTGAGATAGCTAGCTAGCATCTCTTTCCCCCCGCTCAGAATTAGAAGATAGAGCTACCATGAAAAGCCATCAGACAGACTGACAGGCAGACAGACAGACAGGCAGACAGACAGACAGGCAGACAGACAGACAGACAGACAGACAGGCAGACAGACAGGCATCAGACTGACAGGCAGACAGACAGACTGACAGACCGACTGACAGACAGCCATCAGACTGACAGGCAGACAGACTGACAGACCGACTGACAGATCGATCGATAGATCAACACCCACACCCCCGCGTCCGGTTACATACGACACCACTGCACATACATCCAGCCCCAAGCCGCCGAACGGCAGTTCATCATAACATAACTCACAAGCCTACTTAGTAGATTGGGCACAACACAGATCATAAGTGGTTTAACCGCGTGAGTTATCGAAGGTTCGTAGTGGATCCAAAGGAAGAAGAGTCTAAGTTAGGGAGGTTGTCACTTGTAACGGAAGATGATGATGACGAAGAATGCACACTGGGTGCAAATAGGTAGTCTAATTTGCGGTGGGTGGGGTGTTGTACTGTACACAGACCTCCTGGACCTCCGGACTTGGAATTAGGCAGTGGAGTGGGGTGGGGGTAGGGGCGGTTGATACGATGATGCATCCATCACATCATGTCCAAGCCGGCGATCAAATGCCATGTAATCATCCGTGTCCACACACAGATGCGCACATCAACTATTCATGCTCCTTGCTCCCCCTCCATTCCTCCCTCTCCTCTGCACATGTTCTATCAATTCCCACAACCCCCGTCCCCTCCCCTCCCCTCCCCTCGCCGCCTATCTCACAGATCTAACTCCTGCGCTCCGCCCTTTGCTTCCTCTTGCGATTAATCCTCTCCCTATTCCACTCATGCTCTCTCGACATCTTGGTCTCATACCTCTGCGCCTCCGCCTTGATCTTATTGATCTCCGCCTCCTTCTGCTTTTTTTCCTTGGTCGTTCCCCAGGCGGCATCCCATCCCTCGCGTGCTTCGCTGGCTTGGGATTTGGCCTGGTTGACTACTTTGTCGATGAGGGAGATGTTGGCTTGCTGGGGCTGGGAGGGGGATGATGATGAGGCAGTGGAGGGCTCGAGGGGGTTGTCGGTCCTGCTTGGGTGGGGAGGTTGGTAGAGTTTCAGTCCTGCAGGTCCGATGGCTGGAATTATTGTGTTGGTGGCTGGGGTGGTGGTCGTGGTCAGGGTTGTGGTGGTGTTGGTGTTGTTGCTGCCGGGCCCGGCGCCTGGTGTTATGCTCGGAGAGATCAATTTCTTGGGGTTCGGCACAGTCGGATGCAAGGCCAGGGCCTTTCGGAAGAGTTTGTTGGTCAGGATGCGAGCTTGGATAAAGGCTATGAGGCTGGAGACGAAGAAGTAAAGCTGTACGGTTCCGGGTTGGATGGACATGAAAATGAAGGAGATGCAGGGCATTATGTAGGAGAGCAATATCATTATGCCGCCCTGCATTTGGGTAGTGCCCATTTCGCCGCCGCGCTGTAAGAAGAAGATGAGATTAGAGTCTTTGAAAAAGTGCTGAAGGCTACGATACGTACCTTGATGGTTAGATAGACGACCAGCGCGTTGATGAACGGGACGACATAATACGGGTCGCCCAATGTCAGATCGTGCGCCCAGAACCAACTCTCCTTTTCGAGGGCTGGCACCGGTAACTCAGCCATGTTTCGTAACACTCGAAATGCACCGAACTGGGCCGGTATTTGAATCAGAGTTGGTATCAACATTTTCCATGACGAAAGACCATATTCCTTGTTGAGCTCTTTTAATTCGGTCCTAGCTTCTACCATCTTTCGGTGATCTCCAGCCTTGTAGGCAGCTTTCATCCTCTCCTTGACAGGTCTCAATACGGGCTCAGCAGCTTTCAACTTTGCTCCCGAGTCGGAGGCTTGGATCATTGGGAAGAGAATCAACAGTCGCGAAAATGCAGCGAGGAGAATAATTGATGTGGTCCAGCTCACGTCGCCGTCTATATGGATGTGTTCGACTATCCATTGCATCATCGAGGATGGACCCCAGCCAAAATCTAGGCCGCAGACCTCCTTCAGGTAGCCAATACGTTCGGGAATCTCAGAGAGGGTTTTGGCTGGGTCAAGAGCATCGACGGAAGGAGTTTTTGCTGGCAGGATTACAGATTGGTCAACTGGAGAGGCAATCACCCCTGACGGTGTTGAGTTTGGGGCAACAGGTATCGAAGTTGGAGGAGGGCTGTCGGAGGTATGGTGGACAGCTGGTATTGACGGGGATGAAGGAGTGATCCCTTGTGCCGGTGTATGTCCATGCTGTCCCACAGCAGCGTCTGGAACGGAGCTCGACTGGGACGTATGAACTTTAGCAAAATCTGCGTCCTTGGATGATGATGAAGAGCCCCATCCCCATAGTGATATCGAGCGTATTTGTGCCGCAGTAGGTTGGTATATTGCTTGCTGCCGTGATCGTGCTGCGTGGCGCGTGAATAGGGTTGCTCTCGAAGAAGTAACCGAGTACTATCCATAGTCAGTGAGAGCTTTCCGAGTTGAAGGGTCATCGTCACCAGTCGAGATCCAGGGGGACTAGCCGCCAACCGGTGCCGGCCATTGCTTATAGCAGCGCCAGACCAGCGCAAACATTTCGACGTGATCATGGTGGCGCAACAACGAGACCGACCCAATGCGACATCGATCGAGTTGATGAGCTGTTGAGCAGTTGAGTTGTTGCATTGTTCGAATTCCCAAAATCTCAGATTCAAAGTAGCAACTATGCCGAGTGCCAAGGTATAGCTCAGGGGCAGACTCAGGCATTCAAGTTGTTAACAAACATTATTCCAAGATCAAGTACTTGCTCAGGTTCGTGGAGCCATGTTGCGGCAGCTATGATATGTCTATGACTTTTGATGCTCTATCTCATTAACGAGCTACTCTGTTGCTGCCGAGAAAAGTGGCATCCTCGACACCCGTGGGCTCTCACTTCACACTGGCCGCTGATGCCGTCAAGAATTACTCCCATGCAGCCATGCGCTCGTGCAGTGACCCTATCTCCATTTCTGAACCAACACGCCTCCCCTCTTCAGTTCTGGCAAGTCTCCCAAAGCCACGCTTCGGTCCGTAAGCTCCGTACTTGGAAACGTAGTCATCAATGCCCATTCCCTGGTCTGGCTATCTGGACTCGCTGCTGCGACGAACGAGTAGACATCCCCAATCGTGTGGCTAGGGTTGAATCTGGACGGTAGCCGAGTACCGTTCCCGAGTCTGATTTGCAGAGTAATGACTGGTTGTGCCTCGTCGATTTCGACCTTTGGTGGCTCCTCTGATGTCGAGGAAGCAGCAGCTGGAGGAGCAGCAGGTGTGATGGAGGCACCGGTAAGACTGTCACCAGGCGTGGGACTTCCCAGCCTGTTCCCTTGTCCACTGAATGGCTTGTATTTTTGTTTCGGCTTGACGTAATTTCCTTCGTGTTGTTTGATTTCCACATCAACCTCTTGGCCGGGCTGCACATTCATGATACTGAGTGGCGCTCGACCTTGTCTGATACCGTTCAAGATTTCTGCATTGCGCGGATCACTGGTCGAGTACAGATCACCGTCGTCAACACTAAAGCCATCATTCCAGAAATGTAGGATACGATCAACCCGTTCAGGCCGTCGACCTGCAAGAGGATCGGGAGGTGGTTCGATCGTCTGCGAAGGGGCATCGTCTCCACCAAGGGTACGAGCTGTGCCAGTGAAGTGGTTGACACGAGGCCGTGGATCGTCACCACCCGGGCGAGGCTTGTTTCTGAACTCGTTGTCAGTATGAAGACACCAGCCGCCCCTCGAAAGAGACGCACTTTCTAGCCTTCTCCAATATCTTCTTCTTGAGATCGTCTGGATTTTGCACCGCAAGCCCCGACTTCTCTCCACCGGCAAATAGATCATGCTTATCATCGTCGTAATCACTGTCATTAGGATCGTCATGTCCATGTGGGTCATTTCCGAAGTCCCCTAGTGTAGCAAATTTCTTCTGAGCGGCAGCTCTTTTTAGCGGTCTCGAAGACTGCGAGGAGGAGGAGGTAGTCGGTATTGGTTGTGGATCCGAAGTACCTTCACCGAGTCTTCGTCCGCCACCAGGGTGACGTACCTCGGAAGTTGAGGCTGGTAGATCGGCGTTGGTGTTGTCTTCATCTTGTGACTCTGCGGTTTCTTCTGGTGGATTGTAGAACGTGGTCATTGCCGAAGGAAAATCCCATTGCGCTGCTTCAAGGTATTGCCGGGCCTGAGTTCATCGGGTGAGCAAGATGCGCGACAGCGCGTGGAGTGCAGCTCTGCTTCACATACTTCTTGAGGAGGCACTCCTGCAACATCAACAAATTGCGCGATCAGATCATCGGGGGGGGGGAATTGATGTGGCAGAGGACTCTCCGAGGTTTGGAAAAAGATAGGCAAGAGAAGATCCACAGTGTGGATGCGTGTAAAGTTGTGAAAGATCTCGAGTGAGAGGTGAGAGCTGTGCGTGGTATTGTCCTGTTCGGAGTTATTTGAACAATTCAGACGGATACTGTACTACATATGTAGATCCTTCGTACGTCACTCTGGTGTCTGCCTGAACCTTGTGCGATTGGCTGTACAAATTCTGGACTTCCGCAGATTCACCGGGGCGAGCTTGGAGCGCTGAATAAAGTGATGAAGTGACAATTATCAATTAACGGTTACGGTTTGAATCATCTCAACTAAGCTCCGGATTGGCCATCTGCAGCTTCTCAGGCTGCGGCCCAACTCTCAGCTCTACCAATCCCTTCATCAAACATCAAGAAGTCCCTTCTACAATGTCGAACAATATCTCGTCGTTGCCGCCCTCAAAGGAACAGCCATCACCATCGCAAGATCTATCCGCCTCGGGCCTTACCATTCCGTCCGACTCCGAAGCCTTCTCGTCAATCTCACCACCATCTACCTCCCCACCGCAGTCATCCAACAATAACAACAACGATGATAACAATGGCAGTCATGAGCAGAAGGTAGTGATATACGGGCGGCCTACAATCTGGAGCTTAGCAAGGGGCGCGGCGATCAATCTGCTGTTGCCGTTTGTCAATGGGATGATGCTTGGATTGGGGGAGTTGCTGGCACATGAGATTGCCTTTAGATGGGGATGGGGCACGACGCAGGTAAGTTGAGCATGTGATTGTGGGTGTTGGATTGAGAAGATCCACAACCATACCGCCATTCACTGGCGATGTACTCATCTGTGGTATGGAAAGCAAGCTAATACCCTGCCTCGTGTTGCAGATATTCCCAAAGCATAGATCATCAGCAAGAACAGTAGGTCCGGGGGTGGAGATGCGCGAAGACCCTGTGGAGCGGAGGAAGCGACAAGGAGGAATAGATCCAGATCTAATGGATGCTACATCATTGGAATGACGTGAACAGTGATCAATTGGAGTGATATAAGAAGAAAGCCTCCATTGACCACAACCTGAAGGCAGATCAACCGAGTAATGGACCAATGCGATGCATGCGAGGCGAGAACGCCAGGGCTGGACCATCACTGTATATATACTTGTCCCTTGGCTATAGCAATATAACTTCTTCCCGAGTTCCATCTCTCTCGGACATTCAAAGCGGCTCGTCTTGGGTACAGCATTTCCGCACAAGCAAGCGGCTCAGCTAAGATTGCACCTCTGAAGCAGACACTAGCCGTATGCCATTGGGGGTGCGTCAGCGTTGAGCGAATGTTGCTGTAACATGAAAGTTAGTGAGGAAAGGAGCCATTGCTCGGGTTGAAATTCATGGTGAGTAGTAAGCTGTCTTTCCTGCCCGTCCTGACTTTTTCCTGTGCATCAATCGTGCTTCGTTCTCGATATCCCTACAGGGGCCCATACTTCAAAGAATATTTGGTCTGGACATGGCTACTGGTACAGATCTTCTGCGACCTGAGACTGTGAATCAAAATCATGCCACCAGGTCCTGACTCGTTCACCCATACTGCGTAGGGAAGCTGGACGGATGGTTCTGAGGTATAAAACCATGCGTGGCATTATCCGGACCACCAACAACAGTATCATCTACATCCTCTCCTTCTCCATCTGGAGCACTTGCCCGAGCCGCAAAATCCTCCACGGTCATATCAGTTTCGCCTGAGGCCAAACACGCTTGGTGATCTTTGAGCAGGTCTTCGATATAGGCGAATGGGCTAGGAATCTGTGGACTAGATGCCGGTGCACCAGAACTTTGCGAATCTGGCGTTCTACCTTCAGCGCCGTCCATCTTCCTCTGCTTTGCCACGATTGCCGACAGCCACGGAAGATACAGGGCTGTTAGTTTGACGGGGCTGCCTTGTGACATATACTGTATGTTTGGAACTTGTGGAATGTCAAGATCTCGAATGACTTTAGACCGGGACTTTACTTTCATCCATCGCGATCCTACTGGCAACGGACGGCCGTTGATCCGATCGATGGCAAGGTTCAATGCTTGTAAGCGAGTGGCATAAGTCGGATGCGACATAACTCTAAGGACTTCTTCCATGCCACCATATATCAGGACTTGTGCGACATCTGCATCCGAGGCCGGAGTACGGTCCCAGCCTCGTATTTTGCGCTCAATAGTCCCAGCGTATGTTGGTGGACGAAGTTTCTGTCGATAAGCCGAAACCATGATACGGTAGAATTGGAAGGCTGGAAGTAGCATGTCTTGTGGATAGTCGTTGATGATGCTAGTCTGAATTTCAGTCTCGGAAGACATTGGCTCCGCCGACGTGCTACTGCTATCATTGTTGGCCATTCCTGGCTGACGTAATAGAGCAGTTCGAAAGGTTTCAAGGAAGTGGTGGATTATAAACGTGGATGCTTCTAGTCTGCTCTCCATACGAGCCCGACTAGGTGCAAATTGCTTGCGGCGACTGGTAGATCTAACCTGATAAATCTTCAATTGGACGTAGTCTGCAATGGTGCAGATCATCCTTGAAACGATCTTCTTCCTGTGCATCATTTGGAGGAAGAAATCCAGGTTCTGGACAGGTAGTGGTGGTGGGTAGAGCTTCTCAAGGAGCATCGCGTCGCTTCCCAAGGAGCGCTTCTGGAGCACGACACGCGATACAATCGAGGCGTTAAGCTGGAGAAGCTCACATAATGGTTTGGATGCGAGGCGCAGTGATAGTATGTCAGACGTTTCCAGAGAACAGAGTATTTGTACCTGGATCTCGTTTGGCATGGTGAAAAACAGATCTCCAAGCTTGTTATGACTTTCCAGGTCCAGTATTAGACTCTTTGCGAATAGCTTAACGTAGATCGTACACTTACGATGCCGGCCGCTCTTCGTCTTCTTGAACGTCCTCCGTGGTCTTTGATTTCGATCTTATCAGTCGTAGCGGCAAATCAGCTAGGCTTGCTCTTCTCGGTGGTTCGGCTGCATCACGGCCTCCAATCCGTTTTGCGTCATTCTTCTGGCTGTCTGGGGCTGTTGAAGTATTGCTTGCGCTTCGGAATGAGTTTGTCAGGCGGAAGGCACTAGAACCTTTCGATCCATGGCGGGCCTCGAGATCAATGGGCCCGGACATGTATCAAAGGAGCATGAGCAGAAGATTAGAGCAGCGAAGAGCACTTCGTAGTGGAGTAGTGACAATTTGAAGTTTGATGACGAGTGGAACCGATGGAGATGAAATTCCAGGGAATGCTGCTGGGGAAGAATCCGACCAATGACCGAAAACCAAGCTCGCTCGCCAAGACGTTGACTGCACCAATATTCAATGCTTGATTTCTTGCCGCAAAAGCTTCTCATAACCTGCTTAACTAAGTAACAACCCCATAAATCATGTTATGTACTTGTTGCAGCACAGCGATAGCTATCCAGGTGAAAAATGATGGCAATCTCTCATCAATACTTCGCCTTGGAAGGAATGGTCTGCAACTGCTGTCCAGGATGGCTCTTGATGTCCAGCATCTCGTAGATCCAGTTCAGAATAATGGTAAAAGAGCTGGGTTCGCCCATATGTTTCACATCTTTCACGAATCTAAGAACTCAATCAACATTGATTTCCTGCATTTCTGCGCGAGACTTACCTAGCCTCCTTAGGACTTCCATGCTCCAGCGCTCTGTACATGTCCTCAATCGGAAAGATTTCGTCGTCCGTGCCCTGCAAGGTGTGAGTGTGATGGAAACCAGCTCGGAGATGAGGATCAACTTACGTTGACAAGGAACAGCCTAGCGCATGGCTTGTCCAGAGTGCCATCTTCAAGCAGAGAGAACTTTTTGCCTTCCTTCTTGAATGCTTCTAAATCGGATCCATATCCGAATTTGTAGGCCAGAGCATGTGCAAGACTATCGATGATATTAGCTGAAGGACTTGATCCTCTGGTTGAAATCTATCATACTCGAAAGGATATTCCAGATGATTGACCTCATCCAGCCATGCTTCATCAAACATATGGTGGCAACCACCCCCCAAAGCGGTGGCAGCCATGATCCGGTCTTTGTGGGTATGTGCAAGTCTAATTGCATAGTACCCGCCGGTTGAGAAGCCCCAGACAATCAACTTCTTGCTGTCTACAGCAGCTTGGGTGTCAATCCAGTCGAGAAGACTTGACCATTGTCGGTCGGGGCTGGTTGGATCGGTCGCAAGTGCTGGCGAGTCACCCGTGCCCGGGATTTCAACCACGATAAGGGCAACACCAACTTGTCTCCAACCTTCTGCCCATACAACGAGCTCGGTCCGGTATCCGTCAAGACCGGTGAATATCACTACACATGGAGCCGGGTTTTCCGATGAGGCACCTTCAGGTACTTGGTGGTAGATGGGAATGGTATCACCCTCGCCTTCAATGGCGTGGTAATGCGGAACAAGCACCTCATGGACGGGGTGCTCTTGCAATCTGCGCAATTCTGGTCAGCTATGATTGGAAGCCTAGGCTGACTAGTCATACTGTAGACCTTTCAAACAGGCCTCCTTTCCCATTGTCCAGGCGAGTTTCTGCTTCGGTGAACGAGAGATGGGAAAGCGGGAGATTCGGTAGACGGCGGATGCTCTCCTACAAAGAAATCAGCAGTTCTCCCAACGAAACCCCCTGGTCATTTCCATACATATACAGCTCGCCTGCCTTCTCTTTCTCGCCTGCCTTCTCAGCCTCGCTCGCCCTTCTCACAAGTTCCTGGGCTGTGGGGAAGAAGGTCTCGGCGTATGCGTCCCACTCGTAGGGCTCCTGCATGCCGTTCTGCGCTGTCATTAGTACCGGCTGATATAACCGAGGGAAGTGTTTGACCTCTACCAATTCATTCACAATCGGTTCGAAATCTTTCGTGGTGCCGAACATAAAAGGGTAGACGCCCATGCTACACTGGAAACTATGTCAGCTCCAGATTGCACTGGAACGAGCTTTCATACTGGTTTCTGCCATTTGGTATCCCATAGCGCCTTGAAAGATTCATGGTGAGGAGCGTGCTTCTTGATGTGTTCTCCAATGTAGTAAGCGTTAGCCATCTTGTCTGTATATCTGGGACTGCGGATAACCCAAACCAGGACTCAACCATCTCCCACGGGATTCACCGTCCTTCTTATATCATACCACGACATCATGGAAGAACATAAATTCCGTAGGGCTTGCTGATCGCGTTCTCGGAACACCGCTACGGACAGCATTTCTTGGCAGCTTCTGTCAGAATTACTCCTTAGCGTTACTGTACGAATTTCTCTTTCTAATTGGCCGAATTACAACGCAACCTCGGAGACTACTAGTGTCCGAAAAGGAATCCGGAACCAACCACGGAGAAATCATTAACTACGGGTACTAGGGGGCATACTACGGCTACAGGCCTGATTTTCGTATTATACACAGCCTTGACGAAGCTGCACTTTACTGAAACGACGTTAGTCTGTATAGTCCTCAGAACATAGCCAATCATCAGGACTAGCGAAGGGTCGTCAAGACTAATATAGTACAATGACTCCGGAGAATGCCGGACCTTTGTATTCAGAACTAGCTATAACTAGTTTACGCTCACAATACTCATGCCTCCTACCGTAGAAAGCATACATCATGCTTCGATGTGACACTGCAGAGCATTTGACAAGCGCTGGCATCGACAGAAAACGGTCTTCAAGCTCTTCCAAATACTTGGATAATGATTCGTTCTTCATCATCCATCGGTAATAAATGGAAAAAGACAAACTTTAAACTTCATGCCTGGCTGACGGTACTCCGCGTAACTTGACCAAGATCATGGCTGCAAACATACCTTTCTTGGTCGAGGATCCGGTAGAATGATTTACATTATGTGCTGTCGCATTTCGGGGTAACAAATGGGTTTAATTCGAATTTTTTCGTCTCTAGAAGTCCATCATAATTCATCTGCTTCAGCCTGAATCTCTACTAAGATTCGTGACATCCTCATTGTATCGGACATGGTCTCGATCGCCTTGAAGCTTATCGAGCACAGCTCCTGCTACATGTATGAGGATCTGCTGCATAGCTTCACCAACTGAAGTGAATGATGAACCGCCAACAACAACAGTGACGATTAACACAAGGCTGAGTAATCAGCCATTGACCCCAAGGTCATCACAATTATTGATTGTCTTCTATGAGTGACCTTCACGTCAGATTATGCATGCAATCTTTCGCAGCTGCTACAAGTTGTTCTTGCCGACTGCTAACCCCAAAGATACGAGACAATAGATCCAGCAGTCGTGACATGTCACATTGAAATCTATTAAGTGATTTTGTGTTGACCTTCTGAGAGGGCCAATTGGCCGCGTTTAATATGCGTAATCCCTGCGTTTCTGCTGCTTCTAATTGGTCAATTTCCAACGCAATTTCGCTTCTAATTTCGCTGTACGGTACAGCCAATTGTACATAGACCGACGCTCTCTACCCCCGTAGCTATCAATCAACTTGCTTTACTACGCACTCTGCACAGCAGGTTGACATTTTGCTGTTTACCCTCAAAATCCCCCTACATGTGCTTTTCCGCAGGCAACAGCTATAGGCTAATGCAGACCTCAACCAACCAGAATGGTAAAGTGCTCCAAGAAAATCAATCTTAAGCCCTTGCAGAACGCTATGACAATCTTCTGAGGTGGCTTTCTTCTTCCATCTGTCTTATCCTACCACCAATCCCATCCTCTTCCATCCGCTCGCTTTTTTTCCTGCGATATCAGCTATGGGCACACGTGGGTATTACTGCTACCGTTTCCGTGGACGACTGTATGTCTTCTACAATCACTTTGACTCTTATCCTTCGGTTCTGGGAAGCTTCCTGATAGAAAACATCCCAACAGATCCGGAAGAATATCAAGGTAGTACTTGGCGAAATCTCATCCACGGATACTTCTCCGATCAATACTACAGAGTGGCTCTCAAAATTACGTGCACGTTTTACGCAGCTCGAACAGATTCTCGACGAGAAGGTGTTGACCCTACCTGAGCCATGGAATCAACGAACTTACACCACTACTCGATACGATTATGGACAAGGGAGGTCCACAACACCCCTCTCTGCTTGGCAGTTTCATGTAGATGAGAGACTTGAAGGGCTTCCTTCATACGTTACCGAACCTCAAGACTAACTTGATGATCGAATGGGTCTACGTGATCGATCTCGACCAAGAAATTATCCACATTCAATCTCGATCAGCGAAGAAAGGTTTCAGACTACAATCCATACCTAGGCAGCTACAATGGGCAGAAGGTCTTGAAGAAGGAGAAGAAGAAGAAGAAGAAGCAGACGAAGACGTAGACGTAGATGATGAAGCGGAAGAGAGGAGGGGGAAAGAAGAAGGTGAGGGAGACCGAGAGGAGGAGGATGATAAAGAGGAAGAGGAAATGCCAACGATGACCACGACTGGGCAGGCCATTGCATCACTCCCAGAACCCTTTGCTCCATCACGAGCTTCGCTCGACAGATACGACTTGCTTAAGGTCAGGAAAGTGAAGCCAAGGGGACTTAGCGACCTGTCAGGCGAGAGGGCATACACCCACGCCCTTCGAGAGTGGCTTTTCAAGCAATTTATTGGGAATTGGGACGCCTGGTTGGCAAGGCGCCTCCTGGATTGCCGACCGCACGAGTTCATATACCGCGAGGTCGTTTTCGCGATAATATCCTTAGCTTCTGGTGATTTCAAATTTCTTGCAAATCAGTCGCCTCCGTCCAAAGGAGATGAGGTTCTCGAAGTACGTCTCGGAAGTCCAAATGGTCCCAGCATATTGCCCGATTTTGGAAGCGGCATGCATGCCTTGAACACTCTTCCTGGTTCGGCCCCCGCCAGCACTACTTATTGGTTCAAAGGTGTTTTGGTCGTGTTGGTAGACGCTTCTGTTGCTGAAGATGGAATCAAAGCTGCTATCGCTGCAGCCACCGATTTGGGGCAAAAATCAGGCCACAAACTGTTTGACGCTCTCATAATCCATCTTCTAACTTTTACACTTGTTAGGATTTAAGATTCTGGTGCGATGTAACAAGCTGAGCCCATGCAGCTGCTCACGAGCTTACCTGGGCCAGCAACAAATCTGGACTCCGGGCATGTCCGTGGTAATAGGGATGCCTTCAGTGTATTGATGGAAATTTTCAATGTCGCAGCTGCATACACTTTGAAGCCGTTCAAGCCAGTCGGGTACCGTCTTTCGAACGAGCTGTGACATAATAATCGAAATGGTCGATCCTGATACATATGTGAGGTGTTCTGAAGTATCTGACACTTTCCGAGACTACGTCCACAGCCATATCCGATTGTCGCAACAGCCCAGCCTGACCCCCATACCGGATGAGGAGACGAGATTCATCCACCATACGGTGAAGGGGATCTCCTCGACCACTTCTGATTGGATCATATATGATGCCATTGAGGGCCGAGACGTCGAGAGCCATGTCCACGCTGCGTCTGGTCCGGGTCAGTGGGCGCCAGTCATTGGGCACGGCGACAGGCAAAGCATGATGGTAGACTGCGCAATCCACATTTTAGCTTTAGCATCCCACCCATTCCCAACAGCCGAGGACCACCAAATTGAACTACACGATGCTGAGTTTTATTCCCTACGCGCCAGAGAAAAGAGTCTAGGACACGAGCTTGAAGTTTTCGGCCTCAGACATTTCGGCTTCGAACATTTCTGCATCCCGAAATTCGCCAGCGTCAGGGACGTGTCATCGGCCTGGAAGGGCTATCTAGATTACAAGCTGATGAAATCGTGGCCGACAGATGAGAATTTGATGTGGGAGTACTCTCCGCTGGAGCATCGATATCTCCTGCCTTGCAATACTGCGAGTTGCCCCATAGAGATATACGGAAGACATGTTACAAATGCCCGTGGCATGAAATGCACTGAAATGGGTGGCATGATCTGGCTCAGAAAAGCTGTCGACCTTGAGTTGGAGTCGGTACGGCAAAGAACGCTTACAGAAGCTCAAGAGTTCTTAAGCAGTAAGGTATGGCAGGAAGCGGAGCGCACTCAGCCCATGCGTAAGGGGTTGCTTGTTGTAGCGTTTGGCACTAAGGCGCAGTGTTTCGACTGGAGCTTTACTGACAACCCTACCGATGTGCAGCCGGTGCTGACTCCGGTTGTGGAGGAGGCAGCGGTACTAGACGTCGCAATCAAGGATCAACGAGATCGGTTTGAGCAGATATTCGGGAGATGGTGCGACGAAGTTCAGGCTGCGAGCGTAGCTAAGCACTCTACCGTTGCGGTTAAGGAATGCGAGCATGCTGATACGGACTCGTTGGACTAAGCTGCGGCTTGGAGGTGATACTCCTGATGCAGCTGAAGCGAAATTCGGCGCTCAAGCATGGATAGGAGGGAATTTTCTCGCCTCTCATAGCCTGGTTGGCGTCTACCTAGCGAAGCTTTTCGGTCCAGAACCGACATGGGGTCATGGACGGTCTGGAGTTTTTATGCTGTACTAGACTAGACTGGGGACTTCGAGTCTGAGACAATCCCATCAATTAGGCCAGCTTTGTTTAGCTTGATTACTATTCATCATTGAGTATAGAATGGTACTCGTTGATACTAAAGTGCTTGAAATTCTATTAGATCCGCCGTATGACTAGATTCTTGTTTTAATTGGTCAGTACCCATTGACAATATACTCTGTAGGACTCAATGATATTAGCATCCGTCTCAGCACCACCCCGCTCATTTTCCAACAAGCGAAGTGGAGGCCAAAGTCCGTTTGAATGTATTTCTCCTCGTTCATCACCGTCAGCGTCACCGTAACAAATCTCAAAGTGAGTCATCCTTGCTTTCTCGATCTTGAGTCTTCTCTTCGACCTCTGTTGTCAAAGTTATCTCTAGTGTCCAGTAGGAATGACAGATGTCTGTCTTCGGGGCTGGGTACGGGATAGGTAATGGGGATATGTGATTGTTGCAGTGTTGAGCGTGAAGGTATGTACATAAAGTTGAGCAGGAGATATGGGTAAGGGTTCATCATAGTACGGAAACAACGATTTCAGTACAAATAGACAGATTGGATAGGCTTTGGTGGTAGGTATCCAGGCGACTCAGACTCCTTGTCGGATCGATGGTTTCAGGTCGGTACTTAGTGTGAGCGTGAATGAGAAGATTGTGTCGTACTAACTAGGTGTTGGAGAGCCTTTGTTGTTGTTGATCGTCCTTGTGGTGGGTGTCGCTTCCTCGGGGTCCGCTTCTAGCATCAACATCAGTATCAGGACTTGTGGGAGCCGGATTAGGAAGACAAGAGATTACCGTAGCCGTGCGTGGTGCTGAAGCAACTTCACCACCTCCTGGTGCCCACGCCGAGATGCCAATTGCAACGCTGTCAGGCCCCTCGTGTTCTTCAGATTTACCTCTGCCTTGCCCATTTCCAGAAGTAAATATACCAGGTGCGTATTCCCGTAATAGGACGCGTAATGTAGCGCTGTGGTGCCCGATTTATCTTGTACATCCACCTCTGCCTTGCTTCTCTCAAGAAGTAAGTGTACTAGTATGTTTGACCGACGAGGTCGTCCGCATGCCAAGTGTAGCGCTGTTTGGCCCAGGTTATTCTTAAGGTGTATCTCTGACTTGCCCGCCTCAAGCAGTAGTTGTACCACGTCCCTGTTACCCTTTCTGGATGCCAAATGTAGTGCTGTTTCGCCTCGGTCATTCTTAACATCCACATCTATTTTACCTTTCTCAAGAAGTAACTTGACCACATTCTTGTTGCCGTATTGGGATGCTATCTGTAATGCAGTCTCGCCTTGACAATTCTTAAGATTCACCTCTGACTTCTCAGTATCAAGTAATAGCTCCACCACACTTTCCTTTACCCTACTTGACGCATAATGAAGTGCTGTCCAGCCCCAAGCATCCTGCAAATTCAGGTCAACCTCGTCGTTGGCAGACAGTAGCTGTACAACGGATGCATGTCCGCGGTCAGCTGCCATATGTAACGATGTTTTGCCAAACCCATCTTTCAGATTGACATCAACGTTGCCGGTACCAAGTAGTAGCGTCACCATGTCCGTCTTCCTTTTTGAAGACGCCCGATGTAGAGCTGTGCGACCCTTATCGTCCTGCAAGTTCAGGTCAACCTCGTCATGGTCAAGTAGCAGCTGTACAACAGATGCGCGTCCTTCCTGGATTGCCTCAGATAGCGGTGTATAGCCATGGCGATTTGTTGAATTAACATCAACTCGGCCTGTTCGAAGCAGTAGCTCCATCACGTCCACATGGCCGTTTGCACAGGCATCGTCGAATGCGTTCTTGTATGTGATTTGTTTTAGGTCAAAGTTTTCTGTCTCAAGCAGTAGTTTTGCCACTGATAACCTCCTTCGACGGACTGCCTTTATGAGTAGTAAGTTTATGTCAACCTTATCCATGTTGAGTAATAGCTTCACCACAGCCTCATGCCCATTCCGGGCGGCAAGCGATAACGGCGTCTTACCATATGTATTCTTTGCGTCCACTTCAATTTTGCTTGTACCAAGCGGTAGGTCCATACCCGCTTCATGCCCTGTCTCTGTGGTCCGGAGTAGCGGCGTCTGCTTCTGTACGTACTCGGAGTCAACCTCAGCTTTGCCCTCGGTGAGCAATACCTTCACTACCTCCTCATACCCATACTTAGCTGCCCAATGTAACGGCGTGCAGCCATTACTGTCTCTCAGATTGAGTTTAGACTCATCTCTTTGAAGAAGCAGCTTCGCTAGTGCCTCGTGCCCATTCAATGCGGCAAGATGGAGATTGGTAAGACCTTCATCGTGCAATGAGGATGCCTTTCCATCTTCACAAGAAATGGAATACCAAAGCTGAGCGCGCCGAGACTCTGGATTGCACAACATCAAATTTGACTCCAGGAGACGATCTTGTTCTTCAGCGGCGGCTCTCCGGAAGTGGGAAGCCCAATGCATTGCCGCATAACCTATAAAACTAAATTCAGGCCTCACTTCAGGTAGGAAATCCACCTCTTTTCTCTTGTTATGTTTGATCTTTTTGTCTTTGATAGCATGAGGACCATCAAAATCTTTGAAGAGAATGTAATAAATGCAAATTTCTGCCATGACCTTCTCAGAATAACATTCTTCTAATGAATGTTTCCAATTACATCCTGCCTCGATAGGTAGACCTTTGCCCACTAGGAATTCTTTTGCAGTCTGGTGAATCAGATAGACTCTTAGGTCATTGACGAAAACGAAGGGACCACAAAGATTTCGAACTTTGTCCTCGAAATGCTTTTCGTCAAGATGAAGCTCGTTGTATGAGCCCACGGGGTACTCCGTAGCTATATGATATGCCACGTCCAACTCTTTCAGCAAAAGCGGCCGTCTTGCAGCTAGAATTATGTGAAGAAGCTTCCGAGCATGTTCAACCTTTCGGGGATTCTTCTTGTTCCTATTGAGAAGCATTTCGTAGACATCTTCGACCGTGTTTGGAATGGAAGCGATTATACCAATGATGCCTTTCGGGGTTCGCTCCAAACTGCTGCGAACTTCTTCAATCACCAGATGAAGCCAAAGGTAGGTTCTGTGCGTTATACTCAGTAGCTTTTCCTTCAGAGTTGACTGTGCGTCCTCTTCAAGCCCCAACTCTTTAGATATTTCTTGAACTCTGACGTGGATAACTCTGTTGATTTCTAAACTGATCTTGTCGTTTTCGCGCTCTCCAAACAGTCTTATGGTAGGAAGGTCATCTGGGATACCGCGAAAGCTGCGCGCGATTTCATCATATGGCCGGCTTGTTACTATGAATTTTAATTGAGAGCTCCTCTGAGTGCCTTGAAAGGAGGAGGTATAGAATTGATTCAGAAATCGGATCAATCTTCTTGCTTCAATCTCTTTACATTCATCAAGAGCGTCTAAGACGCAGGTGACGTTGCCCGCAATAGGATCGGTTGTAGCAGCAATGAAAATTTGCCACAAAGCATGTGTTTCCTGCTGCAGCTTGCTTCCATTCTGTTCCCAACTCTTCATTGCGTGTCGCAGAAGACGGGGCTTTTTGGCGAAAAGCTGATGCAATAGTGCACACAAGGCGGTAGAAATACTGTTTTGCTCTTCATTGTCTTTGAAGAAGAAGTAGCAGGTCAGGCTTGTGTCTGTGTCGCAAAGCTCATTATCAATGAGCGACTTGGACAGCACTGTTTTGCCACAACCTGGGTCTGCAGAAAGCCAGAGTAGGTCATCTCGCTGATTCTGCCGCCAATCATTGTACTTGGGGTCTTCTAGAACCCACATACATGTGCCTGGGACTCGATCGGGGGTGATGTTCTTGTATTCCTCATAACTGGATGTTTTGAAGGCTTGATGACATTTGCGGTGTTCGTCACTTTCATAGCCTGTCAGACTTTGGTCGATTGTCGACATATAATTTTCGACGACGTCGCGTATCTCAGCAGAAACCAATTCATAATTCTTATCATGTGGTCCGAAAAATTTGTTCATCATGGTGTGATTCGCGTCGAGCCCTATCGAGGGGTGGCCGTCAATGCACGCAGCGTCTCGGTTAACAACCTATGTTTTGTAAGCCTCGTTATTGCGCATAGAGATCTTCGTACTAACGAAGTCCAGAAAGCCTCTCTTTTTTGTTCTCTTTAGCTCATAGAAGCACCAGATCTGTACCCGCAGTTCCTTCATAATGACAGTTGCGCTGAAGTCTTCTAGCAATTGCTGTAATACACCTGTATCACTCTAGAGATCTTTTCTTAACTGCTGGGATGGCTCTCTCCCCCACATACTGCGGAGCGCAACTGCCGATCGCCCAAGGCTAGTTAGTGCTGGTCCGCGTCGCAGCGGTGATCCCAAGAACATCACTCCTATCGTGGCACGTAGTATATGCAGGAAGCGTGACTGGGTGCCCTTCGCACGCACGAGTGCCTGTCCTCACCATCAGTGTTGGATCAACAACAGAACACAGGAAACCTCCTTGAGCAACCACGACACCTCCATAGCTAGATGCAATAAATATAAGCCGTTTTTTAGCAACAGTTGACTAATTGATATTTTAGTACATGCCACCTATATGTATATACAAGGGGGGATTGTGAACGCACAAGTGGACGTTGAAAGAGAATACTGTCTAGTGATAGTAGCAGTTTGTCTGCAAGATTGTGCAGACGCTCAAATGGAGCATCGGATTGCCATGAAGTGTTATAGTGGAAGGTCCAAATTGGCGAGGAAGGGATCATATTTGGGAGCATATCTGCATCGGCGAGCCAATCGACGTAGCCATCATTGCTGTCTCGATGATTACGGAATGCTCGCCATGTTGCTGGTGATTCCGTGTTCATACCGTGGACAGCAATTACACTTATTTCCGTCAGCAGTTCGAGCACCAAGATCTGCACGAACCGCTTACTTGACCGGTCCGAGGCCGGATCCAAGAAATCGTTGCCGGCAACGATTTCTTGGATCCGGCCTCGGTCCCTCATCTCGAGGAGCGTATACCCGAGTGAGGTTCCCCTTCGGTGCTTCGTCTTGCGCAGTATTCATGCTGGAAGCGTGGATGATGGAATCGAAATAATGTTGCATGGGTGACTAGTAGTTTCTGTTCTCGGAGACATTTGATGTAAGGTCGAGTTTAGAAGCGCTGGATCAGTGCCACTATGTTAGGCTATTTGTCCAACTGTGGGTGTTTAGTGAGGACGTCGCCGTGGCGGACGACGCCTCAGCAACACCAAGTCATGCTGTTGAACTAGATTGCGCTATTCTGCTACGCGTTTCACATGCGTTTTGTTACAGACTTGTTACGCGTTTCGCATGAGCTCTGCATGTATTTTTGGTACCTGTGTTTCGCGCTATTTCGCTTGGAATCGCAGAATTGTACGTATAAATGCATGCTCTACGCACTGATTTAGACAGAACAACTTGCTATTCCGACTCACTTCCACAGAGTGGTAGCAACCTTCGACAGGTGCCTTGCGAACAACCCATCTACTTAGTAGTTAATAGTGGGCTTGGTCAGCGGCCAAGCACTGTGCAGCGCTAATAAGTATCAGACCTCTCTTCCGATCAAGAAAGCTTATGTCAACCTGCTGTGCAGAGTGCGTAGAGAAGCAAGTTGATTGATAGCTACGGGGGTAGAGAGCGTAGATCTATGTACAATTGGCTGTACCGTACAGCGAAATTAGAAGCGAAATTGCGTCGGAAATTGACCAATTAGAAGCAGCAGAAACGCAGGGATTACGCATATTAAACGCAGCCAATTAGCCCTCTCAGAAGGTCAACAGCTTACTATAAATGCGGCCGTTACGGCGCAGAGGACGAGGAAGCCGACACCAGCAACGACGATTCCGATAATGGCTGGAAGTGACAGCTTGAATTGTGATGCTGCTGGCGGGTAGTCAAACTGTGTCACTGCGGTGGTTGTGGCTGGTAGAGGAGCCATAATAATTAGGTGGCAAGCACTTATCAAAAGTATTTTGCGAAGGCTGTAGGTTATGTAAATGGATAACTACAGGATGAGTGAGATCTGGTTTCGGGCCGCTTCGTGAATCGAAAAAGATGATGGAATCTGTCAGTGTCTCAAGAGTTCTGAAGTCCAGTATGAGTACAGCAAATGAGGACCACAATAAAAGAGCTGACCAACGGCGCTGCCAAAGATGATTTGGTAACTTGACTGGACTGACCCAGGTTTGTGGTTTTGAGAGCTCAGTCTTCAACGAGGCCAGTTTTGCCAAGGGAAGAGTACCCTCTCTGTATTAATTGGGCAATATGGTCGGTAGACGTATTGGAGGATCGGAATACGGCAAGAGAAATGGCGTCCCTGATGGTTACTATGAACTTTACATTGCAGAAGATCCGGCAGAGTCCATCCTGTAAGCCCTGACACAATGGTAGGACTGATGGACCGCTCGGGGAATTCTTTGAGGATCGTAGTTGGTTCAAGAGAATATGAGAAGTATGACAGAGGTTGCCTCAAAGAGGACAATGTGATAATAACTTTGAAAGATGCTGAGATAATTGTACGAAGTCATGGCTTCAGAGCCAGTAAGCAGAATTTCATGCTGGCTCTTACTCTTTCAGCCAAACCATCAAAATGGATGGGTTGGATAACAAAGGCAAGGAAGTGTAAATGAACAGAAAGAGGCATCACAAGGACTCGTGTGCACAAGCTCTCTTGCTGGGGTCCCCCGTAAAAATACTGTGCCTTTTATGTTGATTGTTGTTGCATGAATAAGAAGCAACGTGATGGATGCAGCCATACTCCAGTAACTAATTCATCGGCGATGATAACGATATGTAAATTATATCTTTGTTGGCTTGATATTGCTGGGAGAAAGGTTCCTATCGCTTCACTTGTGAGGATTTTATTTGCGCCACAACTGACATCAACAATCCAAGCTTCAGCCACAACATCACTTTTCTTTTGGCGGGCCAGAAGCTTTCACCTCTTGTCATACGCAATCGATCCCATTGCCAGCCCTTGCTTCAATCAGGGTGCCTTTTATGCATCTACATACCAATAGATGACGCGAACCCTAGGTTCAATGCGAAAGCTCCTAATACCAAACACCCCGACATCCCTCCTTAGCGGGAGAAGCTTCGTCCTGAACACTCGTTGGCAGCTATTTGAGCACGAGCCGACCCTCACCCTACAAGCATTACTCCCCTCTCGGTCACTGGCACAAGTTCGACAAGAGCCGTTTTCGGACTTATGGTTCACACCGTCCAGACCTGCGCGGTCACCTGCAGATGACCTGCTCGGAAACAATGGGAGGCCAGGTAATGGAGACCACAGACCTCCGGATGAGCGGACGTTGAAGTTGGGAAAGAGTTGTTACACCTCAGCTTCTTGCAATGACTAACGCTAACAATGTGCAGCCCTGCGCACCCTCTCTCCTCTCTTACCAAACATTCTAACTCAACCTCTGCCACCGTCCATCCTCTCCCCAAGCATATCGCTCCATCTCTTCCCCTCAACACATCCACACCTTCCAGCCGTAAAGGGCAAAGTCCCGTACCGCGCCGCGCTATGGACAGCCCCAGTAGCATGGGGTTGCGTACCACTAGTCGGTAACGTCAAACTTCAAATCCTCTCCGAAAAGATCGTTCGTACAGGGTTCATCTCTCAAGCACCACTCGATGAAGAATCGCGATCCGGTCTCGGGGAAGAAAAGCTGGTTGTGCGATGGAAGACCGAGAAGAAGGGCAATGGCGCAACCTCAGACTCCGGCGCCGCATCTACTGCCGCTGCCAACTCTGATACCGCGATCAATCGTGGATTAAGCAAGCTCTTAGGGGGAGACAAACCGATCTTCAACCTGAATCAAGGCGACGAATTCTCCGGCATGTTCATATTCACCTTTGATTCCGAAGGACGGATCGCGACACATACCATTGAGCACGCAGACGAGAATAATGGGGTGGACAGGACGGCTCGAGTGGTTACGTTGACAGACTGGTTGCTTGGGCGGGCCAAATGGCGCAGGAAAGAAGAAGAGATGATCCCAGGCTTGGCTATGAATTTGAGGGTGTGCAGGGAGGAATGGGCAAGGGAAAGGATTGATACGAGTAGACGGCATGGCACTCTGCAGGGAAAGTGGTGACACTGTGTTCATGATGTGTATGAGCACTTCGGTGGCGGCGTTCTCTTTGCATTTGCTGGCCGTTGCACCTGCGTTCTGGCGGAATAAAAAGGAAGCATGCTCAGATACCATCTCCACTACTCACATCGAACTTCAACCCCTGCAGAAAGCCCCTTTCCAGCAAAAATCTGTAGGCAGACTTCTCTACAGCTCGTGACTGAATTACGGCGACTATTCAAACGTCCAACGCTACAACCTCTATCCCGCTCAATCACATCCAAATACGTGACGTCGTCTCGAGCTGAGACGAGAGTCTCCACGCACCCGTAATCATTTGCTCCTTTCCTCTCTCCCCATAACCGGTATACCAGAAACTCCCCTTATCAGGCTTCCTCATTTACTATATCTCATTCTTTCTCACTCCAAACCTCCCAATCCAACCTAAAAAAGTTAGATAGAAAGAGCCCCTACTCAAGCCCATCCACCGAGCGTATAGATAACCATCTCATAACGCAAGCCCCTATCAGTGGCCATCACCTCTTTAAACCCCACCCCCATGAAGGACCACTATTACCCATCCGTATCTTACACATCCACATCTACATTCAGCCATAGATCTCTCCCCACCAACACCCCAACCACGGGAAAACGTAGCAAAGGTTACAAAGTCCCCCAAAACATGTCGAGAGTACTCGAAATAATGCCCCAAAATCAGATCGGGTGCAGACCGATTGATATCAAAGAACTAAGAACCACACATCATAAACCCGACTTAGGTGTACTGCATGAGGACTGTCGACAAAGGAGGGGCTGCTACCAGGAAGGTATGGCTAGAGGAGCTCTATCAAGCTTCGAGATACTCAGTAAGTTAGGGAATCGCATTTTCATACTTTCGCACGTTGGGGAGAATGGGGAAATGGGCTAGGATTGGGCACCGAGGCTAGGGATAATAGAGCGCCAAGATGGGGGATGAAGGACGAACTCGGCTGTCGTGTGCACATAGGATTCTATGAATGTATTTATTATAATCGTGGATAATTTCACAGGAATTTACAGCGTGAGTGCGATATACTGACGTCCCCTTGAGGAATCAGTACGACTTTTTTTTGAACTCTGCTGTATTAACTTTGCTAGCACTATGTCCTAGCTAAGCAGCAAGCTGACCTTGATTCGTAAGAGTCAGAAATATCAACACAACACGCTGCCTTTCGTGATGAACCATGCCACAAGTCTAAGCTGATGGAAAGAGGTTTTATGGAAAGTCGCTGACCCAACCAACGCCACATGAGCCACGTAGAAGTAAACAACTCCCGAGCATGCTTTTCGTGACCATTAGTCGACTTCCTCCACGGTTGGGCCGTCATCACCACCATGACCGCCAGCACCACCGGGTCCACCTGGCATACCACCTCCCATTCCACCGGGCATACCACCCATACCACCTGGCATACCGCCCATACCGCCTGGCATACCACCACCTTCACCACCAGCTCCGTAGAACTTCATCATGATTGGGTTGGCAACACTCTCGAGTTCTTTCTGTTGAGCCTCGTACTCATCCTTGGTAGCGGTCTGGTTGTCATCAAGCCAGGCAACGGTCTTGTCGATTTCTGACTTGAGCTTCTCCTTGTCAGAGGCCTCAAGCTTCTCGTCAACTTTCGAGTCGGACATGGTGTTCTTGAGCGAATAGGCGTATGATTCGAGACCGTTCTTGGCACCAATGCGAGCAGCTTCGGCGTCATCTTCTTCCTTGTACTTCTCGGCCTCAGACAACATGCGCTCGATCTCTTCCTTAGAGAGACGGCCTTTGTCGTTGGTAATGACGATCTTGTTGGTCTTGCCGGTACCCTTCTCGAGAGCGGAAACGTTTATGATACCGTTGGCATCAACATCGAAAGTAACCTCGATCTGAGGAACACCACGTGGAGCAGGTGGGATACCAGTAAGTTCGAATTTGCCGAGCAAATTGTTATCCTTGGTACGAGCACGCTCACCCTCGAAGACCTGGATCAACACACCTGGTTGGTTGTCGGAGAAGGTAGAGAAGGTCTCTGACTTCTTGGTTGGGATAGTAGTGTTGCGCTTGATGAGAGGAGTCATGACACCGCCAGCAGTCTCGATACCAATAGACAATGGCGCGACGTCGAGCAAGAGGATTTCGTTGGTGGATTTGGAGGATGTGTCACCAGAGAGGATAGCGGCCTGGACTGCAGCACCGTAGGCGACAGCCTCGTCGGGATTAATCGATTTGTTGGGCTCCTTACCGTTGAAGAAGTCGGAGACAAGCTTCTGAATCTTGGGGATACGAGTGGAACCACCAACCAAGACGATTTCGTGAACAGAAGATTTATCGATCTTGGCATCGCGGAGGACACGCTCGACGGGGTCCATGGTGGAACGGAAAAGATCTTGGCAAAGTTCTTCAAAACGAGCACGGGTGATGGAGGTGTAAAAGTCAATGCCTTCGTAAAGCGAGTCGATCTCGATGGAGGTCTGTGCAGAAGAAGAGAGGGTCCGCTTGGCTCGCTCACAAGCAGTTCGGAGACGACGAAGAGCACGGGAGTTGGTAGAGAGGTCTAAGCAAATATTAGTACGGGTGCCCACCAACGACTCAAAAGGAAACGACAACGACAGAGTGACAGGAGGGGCAAAGAAGTGTTGCAAATGAAAATCAACACCTACCCTTCTTATGTTTGCGTTTGAATTCATTTGTGAAGTGGTTGACAAGTCGGTTGTCGAAGTCCTCACCACCCAAGTGAGTATCACCAGCAGTAGACTTGACCTCAAAGATACCCTCTTCGATTGTCAAAAGGGAAACATCGAATGTACCACCACCGAGATCAAAGATCAAGACGTTACGCTCACCCTCGGACTTCTTGTCAAGACCATAGGCGATGGCAGCGGCGGTAGGTTCGTTGATGATACGCAAGACGTTGAGACCAGCGATCAGACCGGCATCTTTGGTGGCTTGTCGTTGTGAGTCGTTGAAGTAGGCTGGGACAGTGACGACGGCGTTGTTGACGGTACCACCGAGGTATGACTCAGCAGTCTCTCGCATCTTGGTCAGGACCATAGATGAGATCTCCTCTGGTGTGAAGAACTTGGTCTCGCCCTTGAACTCGACCTTGATGACTGGTTTGCCGCCCTTGTCAACGACCTCGAAGGGGAAGTGCTTCATATCGGCCTGAACTTCAGCATCGGCGAATTTTCGACCGATCAGACGCTTTGCGTCGAAGACTGTGTTAGCGGGATTCATGGCGACCTGATTCTTGGCCGAGTCGCCAATCAGACGCTCAGTATCTGTGAAAGCAACAAAGGATGGTGTTGTTCGGTTGCCTTGGTCATTGGCAATGATTTCGATTCTGTCATCTCGGTAGATACCCACGCACGAGTAGGTGGTACCCAGATCAATGCCTATGGGATCTGTTAGTACGGTGTTGTTGAGGTACAGTGAGGTAAGGCTAAGATGATTTCTTACCAATAGCTGGAGCCATTTTGATGATTTTGGACTGCGGATACGAAGGAGAATAGTCTTATAATGAGAAAGTAAGACTTTGAGGAAGCTCAAAGATGTCTAACTGTAGACGAGCAGACGAAGAGATTGTTCTTGAAGGTGGATGAGCGTCGTAGAAATTGTTCAAAGGATGTTTTTGTATGCGCAGGTCTAGCGCCAGGTGGAAAATCTTCGAGCTTCTGGAAGCTTCCACAGCCAACAAGTGAAGTGATTCTGGGGCTGTCACGCAAACACTCGATCTGACTAGATAGTTCTATTTACTGCCAGAGCTGCCTGAAGCCCCTACACTGTCACACTTATTCCCTTTCCGTAGAAACCACATCTTTTGCATGGCATTTGACTGTGTTTACCACTGAATTGTGACTCCATCTCCATCCAAAAATCATGGTGGGGTATTGCTGCCTTACGTGCGCCAAGAGTTCCTCTAGCTGCCTCATCCTACCACTGCCAGTGTCAGGCAACGACAGCTCACTTCTTCTTGATCCTGATTCCTCCGCTTCCTATTGGAGATGTCGGCACGGTAAGAAAATGGTATGATATGATTCATGGTGTCTCCCTGGATGGTCATCGGGGTTTTCTTGACTGAGTTACATATAATCTCGATATTGGGAATGCTTGAACAGTTCCACTACCGCCAATCGGCTAGGGACAATTGCAAACAGGAATACCTGACCAAGGGGCCACTTCTAACAGGCATCTCAGCCTCGAACGACTCTCAACATAGCTGGCCTGATGCAGGCGCTCGCATGAATTTCACGATGTATGCTGACTGCTGTCAAGACGTCCTAATCAGCCATGTATTCATGCTACTGATTGATACCGAGAAGTGAAAATGCTCCCTACCTATTATGGTCGAGAATTGGTGCCACCAGCAGCCCGAGCTGCTCAAAAGACCCACTGCAACAACACCTCGAGCCAGAAGAAGGCTGTCTTGGTGGCAAAGAAGTAGGCTATGGTGGCATTATACCATTATAGTGGTTTAGGTGTGGTTTAGGTGTGGCCAACCATTTGTATGACCTGATGATCCAGACGAAAAGGAGACTCGATCATGGATCGAGTGCCAAATGGCACAGAAGGCAATTTTCTACTGTATTGAAGTGGATGCAGTACGAAATACTGTACTCGAAGAAGCAGATGATCTCCTTTCCAGGTTTGCCTCCTGCAGTGCTGTTGATCTCGCCTCTTCAGCCTCATGACAGTCTTCTCCACACTCACCTTCTCTATTCCTTCCCCTATTCCGCTTGACATTTCCCAACCATGGTCTAAAATTATAATACCCTCCACAAGCAAACACCCCAATCCACAAAGCCAGCTCAGACCCATAAATCACCATACCCAATATATCTAAGTTAGGCTGAAAGAAGACTGAAATCAGACTTGTCAAATCCCCGAGCGCATCAATGCCCACAAACAAAAAGCTGATCCCCCTCACCGTCCTCATCTTCCATATGTCCCAATAATGCCTCGCTACCCCTGCGCAGAGCAGAACCGCAGCCAGCACCGCCATGAAAGTCATCGGCCATTCCACACCATCCTCTTGTGCCTTTTTCAAAGAGAAAACGAATCCGGCTTCCAGACCTCCCATTAGCAAAGCGACGGGCAGCACAGCCCCAATTGTTCTCTGCCATGGCCATTCATAGCTGTAGTACTTACACTGCGCCCAGGTGATGAGGCTGAGGAGTGTCAGAATCTGTGGCTGGATCTGGAGGGCAATGTTGAATCCCTCGACAACATTGTACACGCCCAGGGGGATGCCAGCCAAAGCCCATAGAAGCATCATGGTTGGTTGCAATCCTGGGGTGGAGTGGCGGCGGTAGTTGATTATGATCTGCGGAATGAGCTGGGAATAAGAATCTCAATCAATTTACAATTCATGACGGGTTGTCGATAGGAGAGGAAGACCTGGATGGACCAGCACACAGCACCTAGAGTCCCAAGGACATTGGCTGCAATAGGGACGTCCATCAATACAGCATGTTAAGGACCATGATCGGCTTCCCTTCAGACACATGTACCGGTATGTAGCAGAGTGCTATTGAACTCTTAGTCCACGGGTAAGTTAGGGGGCAGAATAAGAACTTCGTGGGCGGAATAAAAATTTCGTGGGCAGAATAGGCGAGCCTCCTCCCCCGCCTCCTCCGCATGCTGCTTAGCGGAGCGGCTAAACATCGGCTTGTCTTCGATTGGTTTACCCCACTTTCACGCGCTGCCCCTGCATTGCGCGACTGCACCTGCACTTTAAACAAGCAAAGTAAATTTAAAATCAGCCAGCAGAATTGGTTTTCAATAATCTTGCGTCGCAAACCCTTAACTTCAGATTCATCTCTTATACTTCTCGTCCAAGTCGAAAACCCTTGCTAACGAAATCGCACCATCACATCCCTGCACGCCCAACCCAGTCACCTTCTCTCCTTCAAAAATGTCTGCAGCGAACGGCTCAGCCGTCCCTGGCGCAACGGTCACCGATGCCAAAGGCAAGGGCAAAGCTGTTGATCAAGTGCAGAGTCAGGACATGTCGATGGACGAAGACGAAGATAGCTCAGAGGGCGAGGAGAGCGGGAATGAACCTGTGAGTTTTAGATTCTATCCGACGTCATCACCGCAGCAGCAGCGGTACACGATATTCTTCACTTCCACAATCCCTAGCTGCTCTTCTGTGCTGTTCCCTTACTGACTATACTCCTTGCGAACAGGCAATAGAAGGTGAACGCCCACCCTACTCAAATGACCTAGAAACCCAGCCCCAACCTCAGACAGATACCGCACCGCAAAGCAAATCACTAACACAAGCCGTGCAATGTTTCTAGTAGAAGAAGAAGCCGATGAAGACAACATGGAAGAGATCGACACATCCAACATCCTCGGTCGACGCACGCGAGGCAAGAATATCGATTTCGCGGAGGCAGCGCAGAAGGCTGAGGAGGCGGGAGATCCGCTGGAAGACGATGATGAGGACGAAGATGATGATTTTGATGAGGGAGAGCAGGGGGATGGGGATAAGATGGAGGAATGAGGAATGATGCAGAATATGGGCGAGAAATGAGGGGTTTGTGAGCTACGAGCGGAGATGCGATGGGCATGCGTTGGAGAGAAGCTGCTTATGGCGTTCAAGATCAGGATCAACTCATGAGCCTTATGGACATGAGGATAGGACGTTATGCTGTACACTGCCACACAAATGCGCAGTAAAATTATGCATAGTGCTGGCGAAGTGAAGCCTGGATATCAAAGAGCATATTCAGACTCGCTACATTGCAGTTGTGCCTCTTCTCTATCACGGCGTGAATTATGTCTTGAACCCTCTTTGCCATCGCTTCTCGTGGCCAGGCAAAACATATCCAATGGCGATAACAATCGTCAGTCAAGACGGTTGTCACTTAATGGCACCAAGAAAACTCGTAACCAGCGAACTCCCTTTCCCTATCCGCTGTCCTTATACTGCTATCTGTCGCAGCCGGTAGGGCTGAGATGTCGTCTATGGCCATCCTCGACGAGCCTGCCTCTTCACCATTTCATTTCTCGTACTACGTTACCTAATTGCCCCTTGCTTGTTCCCTTCAAATATCAATTGTTGGCGTTGCGTTGCTTGCCCGTGTGTAGCTCCCCACTATGCACTGTAATGATGGACTTGCTCCCAGCACCTGCAGTTTGACAGATAATGTACCCAACTATCATAATGCACTACACCCCCCCCCATAGGCACGATTTTTAGGGCCGATATCTCCGTTCCTATCAAATTTTCGAGCCACCAATTTCAGCTCGCTGCCAATTGACGAATATTCATCTGAGGGCGGTGGTCTTTTGGTGTATTGTTTCTACAACATTTTCTATCAATTCTATCTTCTAAATAAGACCAGTAACGTTCAAATAATAGAAATATGCTCCGAGACCCAAGAATCCAAGTATTTTGGTGCATTTGAGGGTGTAGTGCATTTGAGGGTGTAGTGCATATGACAGTTGGGTACGTTACTACATTTGCGAAATCTGATGGATCGGGTTCAGAGACACAGCAAAGATAGAGTCTCCTTACGGTAACGCTGCTCTCAATTCGCTATTGACGTGCTCCAGGGAGCACGAAGATGATGAATGCTTTAGTGTAGGGTTCGAAGACGGGAACAACCCAGCGCTGAAGTTTTACGGGATCAGCTTTTATTTGCTCAATTTGTGGCAGGGAGGTCAGCCGGAAATCACAATGACTTGTGACCACGCTTTGGTGGCCTGGCCTGTGTGATCTTCCACAACATCTTGGAGTAGTAAACGATGGACTGCATGATGAATGCATTCGAATTCGCAGTTCACAATCTATACATGGAAGTAGTCAAATATGCCTCTGGAAATGTTCAACTAATTGAGGGGCATTGTCGGCCTCCTGGCTAGTTATGTGTTTCTGGCTTTGGGCTCCGTAGAAATCTCCAAAGCTTAACTAACTTAGATTGATATTTAGAATGCGTGGGCCCAGTGCCCATAATTACACGTCTTGGGCCTGTAGCGCATTCGTACCGCAATGGTAGCATCTCCAATGCTGGTCAGAGAATAGAGCCATCCTATGGATGACCGTTGACTCACAGCTTAGATTGACGAGTTGTTTTCTCACCTTTATCGCTCTTTATGAAATTGCTATCGCATTGTCTACCAACTCCCCATTCTCTTTTAGTTCGCCATCCCTTTTATCGCAGCATGGCATCAGTAGCTAGACAGCAGCCTCCCTGGTCTGCGCCTACGGGGACCACTCCTCATCCAAAGCTTCAGGTCTATAATTCCTTGACGAGATCTAAAGTACCCTTCGTACCTCATGACCCCAACGGCAGGCGTGTCACCTGGTATGCCTGCGGGCCTACTGTCTACGACGATGCCCACCTAGGCCATGCACGAAATTATGTCAGCACCGATATATTGAGACGAATACTACGAGACTATTTCAAGTTCGATGTAGAGTTTGTCATGAACATTACAGACATCGATGACAAAGTTAGTTGCATGTGCTTTTGTCTTGTGGTGGCATACGATCTAATGGCCACAGATCATTCTGCGAGGTAGACAGCAGCATCTTTTAGAAGAGTACATCAAGCTCCACAGTCATATTGATGGAGAAGTTCTCGGCATGGTCGAAACAGCGTATCAAAGGTACATTCACAAAAACCTTCCGCTGATCGAGCAGGATCCTCTTCCTTTGCCAAAAGATTTCCAGGCTGCCGCACGCAAAGCATATGGCAAAGTCTTACAAGGTGAGGCAATTGAATCAGGTGCTAAGGCTGGAGATAAGGAAGCGAAGATCAAGATGCATATCAACACAGTCACGACTGCAACCCAAGTCATGGACGGCAGTCAGATGACTGACTCCGATCCAAAATGCTTTTATACTGCTGTGCAGGACATCCTATACCCGCTACTGGACGAGCAAGAGGGCTCGAAGATCAGGGGTGATGACCACGCCATCTTTACTAAGCTAACTAAGAAGTTCGAGGAACGCTTCTTCAGTGATGTTCGAGCGTTGAACGTCATGGACCCCGATGAGCTTACTCGAGTGACTGAGTACGGACAGGAAATTGCGATGTTCGTGAACAAAATAGTTGAGAATAGATTTGGATACTCAACATCAGATGGATCCGTTTACTTTGACATTGATACTTTTGAGAAAGCTGGCAATTCTTATGCAAGATTAGAGCCGTGGAATCGGAGCAACAATGAATTGCAAGCAGATGGAGAAGGTGCACTCTCGCAGAAAACTTCAGAAAAGCGCTCGCCTGCCGATTTCGCTATATGGAAGGCATCGAAACCAGGAGAGCCTAGCTGGCCGAGTACGTGGGGTCCAGGACGACCCGGATGGCATATTGAATGCTCAGCAATGGCTTCTGCTAAACTCGGTAAGCAGATGGATATACATTCAGGGGGGATCGACCTTGCCTTCCCACATCATGACAACGAATTGGCGCAAAGTGAGGCCTATTGGTCCCAAGGCACGGAACACCAATGGGTCAATTATTTCCTACACATGGGTCACCTATCGATTGCGGGGTCCAAGATGTCGAAGTCATTGAAGAACTTTACGACCATCAGAACAGCTCTTGAACGAGGAGACTGGACACCCCGAAGTTTACGCATAGTCTTTCTGCTTGGTGGATGGAGAGACGGTATCGAGATTACGGACGATCTTGTACAGGCGGGAAGTGGGTGGGAGGATAGGGTTGACAACTTCTTCTTGAACGCCAAATATGCAGCAGCAGATCAAACCCTAAACAATGAAAAGGACTCGGGTCTGGCTCTTGCTCTTCAATCTGCCGAGTCAGAAATGTACGATGCATTATGCGACTCATTCAATACCGCCCGGGCAATGGCTGTTATATCTCGACTGGTTGGCGACTTCAATAGCGCAGAGAGGGGCACCTTGTCATCACAAAGTGCTCGAGATGCTGGAAAATGGGTGACGAAGATGGTAACTATTTTTGGTCTCAATGGTAAAGCTCTGGAGGAGTCGGAAGACATTGGGTGGGAAGGCATTGATATCCCATCGCCAGCAAAACCTTATGTCTTTCCGCTGGCATCTATGCGAGACAATCTTCGTGAGGCTGCGCTGTCGAGGGAGGGCATTTCCAAGGACTTGATGAACACAGTTCTTCAACAATACGGTGAGGTAGATGGTTCGGCGGATCCTTCCTCGGCAACGTACGCGAATCTCGTCTATAAATTCAAGTCCGATGTCAAGGCCATTGCCTCTTGTTCGTCCAACCTTTCGAAGGATATTCTCTCTCTTTGTGACCGTGTCCGAGATGTCGATCTCTGGAACCTAAATATCTACCTTGAAGATCGTGAGTCTCGGCCCGCTCTTGTCCGTCCTGTCACGCCGCACTTGGCAGCAGCACGACAGGAACGCGAAGATCGGGCCAAGCAGAAAGAAGCTGAAAAAGCCAAACTAGAACAAGAAGCCAGGGAGAAGGCAGAAAAGGGTAAGCTAAGTCACAGAGACATGTTTCGCACAAAGGAATTTTCGGCCTGGGACAATGATGGCTTACCAACCAAGATGGCAAATGGGGATGAGGTTGCTAAAAGTAGAAGCAAGAAACTGAAAAAAGACTGGGAGAGGCAGAAAAAGGCTCATGAGGCATGGTTAGCAGCGTCAAAAATGGCATGATTACATGATGACAGATCAAAGCAAATGGCGTCCAGCTTGGATCTGGGATGTTACCATCTTGTAGAACACGAGTCTCCGGCAGGCAACCCTGTCTAATGACAATCATATCCTTCCGCTAGAGCAATCTAGTCATCATTGAAGCTCTATTCATAAAATTATCAGACCATATAGACCCTTCGAAGTAGAGTGCACTGTTATTTTATTCTCGTCTAAATCTGGCTATACTCACTCAACTCGCGGCATTCTCATTGGCTGATCGGCATGTCGGCCATTTGGTCGGTCCACGACATCGTAAACATCATTTGAACTGTAAGTATTACCTCGCTCGCTTATCACTCGGTGAGGCATGGTGCTGATGAATTTTGGTCGCTGATCTGGCTCGACTGACTATGGACTCCTTCGCTGACGCCAGGTCGCGCCAAAGCGAATGATGGCACCCACCCTCGAACGCAAAGGAATAGCCACTTCGAATAGACCACCTGCGAAGCGACGGACGGCCGCTCACGGCCGTGTACGAAGAAACACTCCGGAGTCGCGAGACCAGGAGCCTGCAGGATATCCGGACGAAGAGTGGCCTCTAAAACGTATATTGCGAGAGAGGAAGAAGGAATACTTGGTACTCTGGGCAGACCACCCTCGCACAGGGAAGACTTATGATCCGCAGTGGGCATGTAGCCTCATATTTCTAGTCATCTGGGCTGTGCTGATTTGATGCAAGGTGGATAAAGAGGACGTTGGCATAGCTGCGATTGAAGAGTGGGAGGCTGAGAAGCGGCAAAGGGGAAATCGTCTGGCCAACAGTGCAGGGAATCACCACAATCAGCACCGTAGAACGCTGCGCTCCCATATACGGGAAGTGACTGCACTTGGAACAAACAGGTCGAGCTCTCCAGCTATCGGAGAAAAGGTACAACATTCGCCTAGGATTTCAAGACACAGGTATTCCAGGATACGGATCATACCCAGCTCTTCCCAATCTGTTGAGATTCCAGAGACCCAGCAAGAGGTGTTGCCGAACCGCAACAATATTGCTGTTGAAATCAGTAGACCGATTGACTTCTACAGCCAAGATTACGCTGTTGCTACAAACTCACAGGTCGAAAGAAACTTAGCGACACAGGACACAGCGAACTCGAAAGACAACACAGAAGGGGATTCTACTCTTGGTTCCTCTATACCTCCAGATAGCCCGATTCGATCAACGGCTGGACGTATAGCAGCTCCAGAATCCTTGACGCAAGTATTGCTATCTTCCCCCCGCACCAACCCCTTGTCCGAGCATAATAGTCTGGCCAGTGTTCGTACACATCCAATAGCCCTGTCAAGCGGTGTCGAAGCTTCACCTGCAGGAAAAGAACTGCAATCTGGTCGCCAAGGCTTGCTTGTTGTCAGGAGTGATCCAGTTAGCGACACAGTGCGGTCGCTTGTTGCTGAACACCCAACAGACCACACAAACAGTAGTCCACCACCGAGTCCTCTGTTTTACCCTAACGAAGGAGAACTCGATCTGCAACCGATTATTGATCCTAACCGAGTGGAAGAAGAGAGTGGGACGGAAGGAGAATTAGAGTTTTTGCCTTCATTCAGCTCTTCTGTCAGCAAGAGATATCACCTGGCAGTACAGCCTGGAACTACTCGTCCTCATCCGAATTCTGCACGATTGAGGCAATCAAGACTTGCAAAAGAAGACAAACCTTCAACACCGAAAACTCTTCGTAAACAGGTAGAGCACGAAGACACGTCTCAAGCTATCGGTAACCGGACCGATCGTTCACATAGCACTTCGGCACTGCCTTCTAGTACGAAGTTTGCTCCAAATTCTAGCCCAACCTCGTCCAGGCGCTTTCATTTTCAGCCCTCCCCGTTGGGCGCCTCTGTCACTCTCCTCGAGTCACCGCGCGCCACTTCACGGGTGAAATCGACTCATAAGCCTACAATCGTAGTGCCTCATCCTTCTCAAGTACCTTCGATTTCGTCATCCCGGACACCTATCTCGTATGTGCCTACACGCCGAAGGTCACGCCTGGCCTCTTCTCCGCGGCATTCTGCTCTCTCACCAAATCATTCTGTGTTGACAAGGCAACCAAACTTTCTACCAATTCAGCCCAATATGGCTAACTCCCACCGAGAATCATCCCCTCGTGTTCGTAGGCCTCCTAATGCGCCATCCGAAATGGCTCCAGAAATTGGTTTGAGAGAGAAACTCAGGCAGATTAGAGCGACCTCTCGCGCCAATCAAAATGCTCGATCCAAAAACCAGGCAAACACTGGAGATTCAAGGTCGCCTACAACGAGCAGGTTAGAGACGAGGTCTTTACGTCGACCTTCCCCTGAGAGGAAAGTTGAACCTATGATGGCCATCTCCATGCCCACCGAAGATCAGCCCGTCCCGTCCTTGGAAAATGTTGATGGACCTGCTGGCGATGTGGAGGTAGAAAAGGCAGACATGGAGTCAGCTCTCAACTCGTCTCTGAGTGCTCCACTACCCGACCTCAATGCACCGTCAGCAGAGCATACCATGCCAGTCCCAGACCATGAAGCCGAGAAGACCGTCACAAATCTAGATATTCCCACCATGCCGTTGCTTCAACCTTGCGAGTTCGTGGTGCCATTACCTATTGACGGCCGTATAAAGCATCAGTACGTTGCCGAGCTAGCTGAGAGATATAAAGATATCAATGATTTTCTGAATTCGCCAAAGTCACCTCGACTGTTCAATGCTATGGTTCAGATGATCAGACAATTGAACGATACAGTTGTTCACACTGATCTTGGGTTGAATGGTCCTGCAACTCAAGTTGTCTCGACCACTGAAGAAGCACTTTGGGCAGAGGATGCAAGCAGTAAATTTGCTTTCTTGGGCCATCTTTTCCGCATTTTACGCAGATCTAACCATCACATAGTGTTGGTAGCACGCAGCGGGACCACCCAGAATCTGCTGAATTCCTACCTTAAAGGCAAAGGTGTCACTTACCGCCAGTACTCTGGCTTAGACACTGTGGGAACTTTACAGGAGGGCGCGCCTGACGATCAAATGATGTATAGCCTACTTTGCACTGACAAAGACTCGTTGAAGAGCATTCCGCGTTCAGCATCACTCATAATCGCTTTTGACGATTCGTTTGAAGCGAGTATGCTTCCAGAATGGTGTGCAACTACTCGATTTGTTCCAGTCCTACTACTCTTGATTGTCAATTCTGCAGAGCATGTTGGCCGATGTATCCCACAAGACATTCCCCAACCGGAGCGACTACGACGGTTGGTCAAAGCTGTTGTGCATGTGCAGGGCGAACTCGGCGAGATGCCATTGCAGTTGGACTATCGTCATGCTTTTAATCTCGACCCAGGCGCTCGCCTGGCACTCGTCAAGAAAGACCTCGGAGCAAAAATCGGACATGCTGCAGCACACGTTGCAGACGCCTTGCGGAGTAAGAACTTTGCGCTTGAATTTGCCCTCCAATCGATCAGTGAGCTCGATTTGGCAGGCCTTGAAGATCAGCCGCCGTCGACAGAAGACTCCAAGGAGGCCTCTCTGTCAGCATCACGCGCCGGAACTCCTGCTGGCCAAAAGCGACTACGGGTTAGTAGACTTGATGGAGATGACAATGCATCTGACTGTTGTATAGGATGACCGCAGCTCCAGTGCCGTTCAAGCCAAACGACAGCGTCTAACACCACTGCGAGACATGACACACATCAGCGACTCCGTCAGACACTCGCAATCGCATATTGACGAGCTCAAACTAGCTCTCAAAAAAGCACAGCTAGAAGCCACCGAAGAGCGTAAAGCACGTTTGAAGGCCGAAGACTTGGCCTCATACACCGAAGCTCGTCTAAAAGAGACCAGACAATCCCTAAGCGAGCTCCAATACCGCTACGAAACACGCACCAAGCAAGTCCACGAGCTCAAACGTTCCACCCAGAAACTTCATGTCGATCTCGAAACCTCAAACCAACGTCTCGAGAAGCTCCAAACCGACACCATCGCCCTCAAAGACCAACGCATCGAACTGCAGAAAGAACTGCGCGAAGCCCGCGACGCCCTGAAATCCAGCGTTGTCCCCGGAATAGCGGAGCTCGAACTCGCCCGCGAACAAGCGCGTACCGCGGCATCCCAAGTCCAACAGCTCCGAACCTCGCTCAACAACCTCCGCCGCGATTTCGACTTCACCGGCTCCCAATACCAGGACGCTTCCACCAAGGCGGCTGATCTGGCGGCTCAGGTCTCAGAACTCGAATCCGCGAACACGGAACTCAAGCGTCGGGCTAGCGATGAGCGGCGCAGGCTGGCGGAGCTGAACTACAGAGAGGACAGGAAGAGAGATCTGGCAAGGATCGACGAGTTGGAGGCAGAGTTGGCGAATCGAGAGAATGTGCTTAAGAGAGTGGAGGAGGAAGTCAAGGCGTTGAGGAAGGGAAGGGGCGTGCAGACTCGGGGTAGCAGTGTTCAACCCAGGGATGTTGGCATGCTGGCAGGAGGGGCAAGTCCAAGGCCAGGTGCTGCTAGTGGTGCTAATGGAGGGAGTAGGGCCGGGAGTCCGGCGTTGGGTGTGATCGGCGGAGTCGGAGGGAATTATGGGCCTGTGGGAGGGAGGGCTAGTGTGTTGAGGAATGAGCGCTGAAACGGGGGAAGGAATGTCAGGAGGTGATGGGGTTGTGCGGGATGATGTCGCTACCTCTTCGAATCGGAGGAGAGCTTTGTCTTCCTGTCATCGATGACGTTCAATGGGGATCCGCGAATTGGCTGTGCGAGATCATCGCTCCTCCTGGGTGATGATACAGTATTGATGTTTCTTGGCTACTTAGCTGTAAGTTACAGTGTGCCCCCTCTGCTGCGCTCACTCAATCAATCTTTCGCTGGAGCATGGATCCCAGAATTACTAAGTTACTAGTTTCGTTGGGCTACTGCGTTAACCAAAACAAGGCTGAAAGTCATTAGCTGCACCGGTAGAGGACTGTGTGAGATGTCTAACTAGGGTAGTCCCACCCGCTCGCTCTGCACATCCATCAAGTATTCAAGTATTCAGGGATAGTCAGACTTTTTTCCGGGGACCCCAGCTAAAAAGACTATATAAAGAAGACTTGTCTAAAGACAAATAATAATAAGGCTTATATTTAAAGAATTAAGTCTTCTTTTACTTAATAACCTTAGGCTAAGTTATCCCTTTCGACCCCGATAGATCCCTGCGTAGTCCTCTTGCTGTTGTGTAGTGCACCTGTGTGCCAGATGCGTATGAAGGCGACAATCCGACTGAAGTCAGTGCATGAGTGGAGTGTATCTATTCTATCTTGGCCTCTGAGGCGACTAAGTGCCTCTGAGGCGACTAACTACTACTAACATATATCCTTGGCCAGGGTGTGTCATGACCCTTGGTGCATGACATGTTGGTTTAATATTCTTAATACTAAGACTACAGAATAATCTTACCGCTAAGCACAAGTACTACTTAACGCTAAGCCTTTAATGACAAGAGGATTATATAAGGGTCTATTCAAAGTCACAAGAGATAGTAATCTATATTATAGCTAAGCGAGACATAGAGGGGCTGATCCTCGCTTACTACAGTAAGTTCTGGGGTTAGCGGGAGTTAGGAAGACCTAACAACCGTTAGGTTAGCCCTGTGGGAAGGATTTAATTAGGCAAGTGGACCCTTTGCGATGAGATCAGCCTTAGCGAGACATGAAGGGGCTGATCCTCGCTTACTACGGTAGTTTCTGGGGTTAGCGGGAGTTAGGAAGACCTAGCGACTGTTAGGCTAGCCCTGTGGGGAAGGATTTAATTAGGCGAGTAGACCCTTTGTATGGGAAGGCGGGAGGATGAGATCAGCCTTGTCTGTTGTGATTTGTGGAAGCAACGATCGGATCTTGGACGCCCGCCTTAAACGAGACAGACTCATCAAACCTGCATCTCGGACTCTTGCATCATCGTCATGGAACAATACGCTCGGGCGCTTCAGGTCCAGTAGCCATCAGTATCTCCCGAGAGCGCCAAGTATAGACGTTGATCGAGGCAACTTCGTTGCGTCAACATCTGGGATGGATGTCGTACAACTTACACAGTGTATGCATTGGAAGACCAGTTTTCTGGCGATGGTTGAACAAGACGTTCGGTAGCGACTCCAATCACGGTCGCAGAAGACCGCACACGGCTTGCTCATTGGACGGGTACCGGTGGCTCACTCTATTCCTAAGCCTACACCTTCCAGAACAGGTTAGAGCTCGAGTATAAAGATATCCATGACAAAGGTAATGAAAAGTACAGACTTCTCCACTTAATGACCAACTGATTTCTAGCGTGGTGCTCGTTCGGTAATCGGACGTCTGTAACTGGTGCACAGAGCCTCTCCTCCCTCGATAGAAAAAGGCTTAGATCGACAAGAGAAAATTACATCTCTGCCAGACAGTGACAACTACACCGCAGTTCAGTACGAGATATCACTCGATTTCAAGAGCTGTACTTACTCGATTAGAGCACTATTTACACAGGCACGATGATCCATGTCTACAACTTTACCACAGGTAATCCTCAGTCTTTACCACGACCTAGTCGCTGTTATGGCTCGGCCCAAAAAGAAGACGCTCGCCCAGATTTCTCGGTTGAAGATCCAGCAAAGTGCTACGCCAAAGGGATGATGCTCGCTAAGATTTCTCGGCTGAAGATCAGGCAAACCTCTTCACAGCCATTAAAAAACGCAACGTTCAAGGCGTCCCACCAGACCACATAACCATGACTCATTGTTTGCACGTTCATTTTTGACTGGATGAGGGGGTCAGGATGCAACATCGAATCTTCAGGGATATGCAGCTGAAGTTTCGAAATACTGCAGCTTCCTTTGCATGAAGTTCCTCGGACAGAAGTTGCATGTTGGATCGGCAAGCCTCCAAATACTCAATTGCACATCGAAGAGATCTTCCATGATCACGAATCGAGAACGGCCAACAAGAATATCGAAGGTGTCGCGTTGCTTTCAGAACACTTTATTGAACTTCTGAGCACGAGTGGGCCTCGCTCTTCAACATCGATCATCATCACCCTCGTCATGGCGAGGGGCAGATTCAATCAAGAGCCGAGGAGGACATGAATTCGAATATAAAAAGGGTAGACTGATCCGCTTTCTTTACCCTTCTATTATCCATCACCACAAAAGTCGCACCTTACAATACTCATCACTCCACAACTTCTACTCTTAAACAAAACACAAACCCCTTTGACCACTTCTCCAAAATGCATTTCCTCACGGCCCTAGTCCCCGCCCTCGCTTTAACGCTCCCCCTGGCTGCGGTGGCATCTCCTATTCAAGAGTCCGACGACGTTGTCTGGGCTGATTTCAGCGACATCCAGGCTCGAGGCGAGCTCAATGCCCGGCAGGGCGTCACTTGTTCCCTCGGCGGAAATCCCGCATGCATCGCCAGGGTACAGATTGTCTCCCACCTTCTTGTCGAAACATCTCTAGCGCTGGCATGCTGACGCTTCTCACCACAGTGCCAACTTCTACGCGGAGTCGGAGGGTACTGCAGCTCTCGAGGGTAAGTCATGCGCCTGATCAATTCCTACACTTGATTGGATGCCGGCTAAAGACTTTTTAGCGTTTGCACCTGCTTCCGTCAGCCAACAGCTAAAGAGTAACTGGCGTCGAAAACAACACCTCGATGGCCACCGAGGCGGGAGAAGATTTCAATTCCTGTCTACCTCGGCCTCGGGGGAAAATGAAGGAAGACTGTGAACAAGATAGAAAAGATATGTGTTGATTAGTGTCACTCGTTCAAATGCAATGCGCATCTTGAGTCATTTGCATCTCGTCCAATCAACGCCGATGTCTTCTGCCACATGTCTCAATTTTAGTGACATCCGATCTACAGTAGCTCTGGCAATGGAAGTAGAAGTGACGTAATATCTCGTTAGACCTTCGATTCGTTTCCGTATCTTTTGTCTCCACAGAAGCCGGCAAACTCTGGACTAATGGCGTTGAGAATGTGTCAACTTGTAGTGCCAAGTCGAATTGTAAGGAAGCAGCTGCTTCTATACAAATTCCGCGGAATGAAAGAGCGTTTATGTAGACAACGGCCAACTATCCTCTTGCGCGCAACTGCGGACTTTCAGGACAACTATCCACGTAGAAGCGGACTATTATTATGCGCTTGACGGACCGCAGAGGCTTACTAGCTCTTTAGTAAATAGATTCTCTAAAGAGATATATATTATTAAGTAGCAGGAAAGTATTAATAGTTCCCTTAAAAAAATTTAATTTCTTAGAGTAAGTATTAGGTAGATTACTAAGCAGCATAAGAGTACCACCAGGGGGTGTCAGAATTCATTGCACCACACTTTGCACCGAAATTTAGCCGATATAAGCAATTGCTACTCCTATTATGTACAAAATCGTCGCCTTTTCACCACAACGATGACCTTATAGCCTTCCCATCCGAATTTGCTAGAGTTCTGCATCGAGAGGGCATCTCAGCTATACGCGCTCGAACCTCCTGCATTGTAATCTTGCTCCATTCGTCTTGCAGGACCTCTTTGAGCTGATCAAGATTATCCCATCTTCGTCTTCGAATTCGCTGTTTTAGGATACCCCATATAGCCTCTATAGGGTTCAAATCTGGCGATTGTGCTGGATGAACAAGCACTGGAATCCAATTGCTATCCTTGCACTGTTTAGCAACATTAAGCTCAGACCGTGTGCCATGAGAAGGATCATTATCCTCTTGCAAAATAGCGTCTTGATTTCGAGAAATCCGTGCCTCTTGAATAGCCTTAATATAGATAGGAAGTAAACGCTCTGTGTAGTACTTCTGTGTCATAGAATTGCCTTTTGGTTTTGTCTCAACTTCATGCGGCAAATTAGCCTCCCAATCAATTATTCGCTGTTTAAATTGCTCTTCTGTTTCGTATCTGCTTTTTCGTGGCTTACTAGGTCTCTTTGGAGGCTCAAGATGATCATTTTCATCATTATAGAACTCCAACTTCTCAGCTTTAGAATACTAATTGACCCAAGTTGCTATATAAAGCTTTGCACCCTTTTTTTTAGGCAGTTCTTATATATTTTCTGGCTTATAACGAGTGCCCTGCTCTCGTAGAATATATTGTTGAAAGACCTCCGATGGATCTATATGAGCTTCATCTGTAAAGAAGATATTAGCCCAATAGTCCTCAATGCTCTTATTTTGATGTTTCTTCCCATACTCTATGCGTTTCTTTTTGTTAGCATTTGAGAGTTGCTTGATTCGTACTGATTTGTAACGTCAAGCGTGATTTGTACGCTGTTGGAGATTTCGCTATAGTTTACGTGTACTGCAACAAAGATGAAAATGCTCGATTTGGTGCTCATAATGCTGATTTCGAGTAGGATTTGAAGGAGAAAGAAGGCCATGAATTTGCTCATTTGTGAGTTTTGATAGGCGCCCAAGACGTTGAGAGAGCTTTCGAGTTCTTCGATAAGCAGGAGATCCTTGATTTTGACGTTGATTCAGCCAGTAATAAGCTGTTCGTTTAGGGATATTGTGTTGCGCAGCAATAAAGGGAATTGATTTGTGCGTACGTGCGTCAACAGCTTCAAAAAAACGAGATTTATTCACAGTATCAGCTTCTTTCCGCTTTGAGGCTCTGTTTGGAGTAGTAGGAGGACTCATCTTGCTGTATCAATCATAAGAATCTGTGTAAGAAACGTTGATAAGCTGTTTACTCAATTCGGCTAAATTTCGGCGCAAATTGTGGTGCAATGAATTCTGACGCCCCCTGGTGGTACTAATTATTACCTAAAGAATAAATATTACTGAGTGGCATAAAAGAGATAAACCATTTAGCCTTAGATTATAATATTAATATGAAGAAGTTGTTAGACGGCCACGGCCTAACAGAAAGAGGCGAGAAAAAGACGTCAAAAGGGCGCTGAAATTGTGTGATGAAAGTGTGTTAATTCTATCTATGTGCATCTGGCGCCTTTTGTACGTCAATTGCTCCTATCCTTGGCGCACAGCAGGCGTACGGCAGGCGCATGACAGCTTGCCCCCTTCGAAAAAAGCTCAATGCCCTCATTGATTTTCCCTATCGAATACTGTTGAAACGAAGATATAGATTATAAAGGGTTTTGCGCTAATTGACAGCCAAATACTGCTTATTTAGTGCTAATTGGATATAGAAGAGTGTAAGGCGTTAGAGAGATGTGTAGATACTACTGAATTGATGCTAATTAGTATAGAAGAGGAGGAGAAAGAAGAGGAGGAGAAAGAAGAGGAGGAGGCTTCCTGCGTTTATTTAATGTTGAGTGCTGATGAAATAGCCGTTATTTTGATGTAAAAGAAGAGGAGAATTCAGAGGAGGGTTTCTGCGTCTGTTTGACGTTGAGTGCTGCTAAAACAAGCGCTAATTGGATGTAAAAGAGGAAGAGGAGGATGTAGATTCTTACAAGGCTAATACTAGTTGCACTACAGCTGCTAGAGAGCTACAGAAGTTGTACACAGAGAAGAAGAAGAGGATTTGAAGAAAGGATTTAAAGGAGGGTTTTTCTGTATCTATTTAACGTCTGAATGCTACTAATCTGATGCTAATTAAGAAAGAGGAGAAAGAGGCGGCCTAATGCTACTAATTCGAGGCCAATTAAGAGGTAGAAGAGGAAGAGAAGACGCAAAGCTGGCACTAATTGCTTTACGGCGTTCAGAGGTCTGTAAAAGTCGTACAAACAGGCAATAGTGGCTCTACGGCTGCCAGAGGCTGTAAAAAGGTCATTTTATGCCAAATTGACGTTCAAATGCTTTGGATTTGAATAAAGGGCAACAGTCGCACCACGGCTACTGAATCGTTCTATTGAAATGGCTGTAGCAAATCAATAGAAATAACAAAGCTACCAATATGTTAGACGGCCACGGCCTAACAGAAAGAGGCGAAGAAAAGACGCAAAAAAGGCGTAGAAAAGACGCTGAAATTGCTATGGAAGTGTGTTGATTCTATCTATCTTCTGCAGACGCTTATATGGCCTCTATTTGGCGTGCTGCGGGCGCATGGCAGGCGCACGGCAGGCGTACGGCAGGCGCATGACAGAAGTCTTTAGTTTTACCTTAATTCACTTTCTATAAGTTAACTGTCATGCCCATGGCATGCCCTGACCAAGACGCCTCAGCAGATGCGCCTCAAAGGCGACTGCCAAATGTTAGTAGTAGTTAGTTAGTTAGTCGCCTCAGAGGCACTTAGTCGCCTCAGAGGCAGATAGAGAATAGACACACTCCACTCATGCACTGACTTCAGACGGATTGTCGCCTTCATACGCATCTGGCACACAGGTGCACTACATTAACTATAAGTAGAAGGATCTCAAAGGAAGCGGCTGACTCTAGGCAGCAGGCTTAGCTAAAATACTGATAGAATAAAGTAAGTAATCATAGCCAAATACAAGAGCCCAAAAGCAGGCCCTAGTTAGACCAGAACCAGGTTTTGCCAGCTTCTCAGTCACCTGCTCAGCCTTTGCTCAAGGCTGCTCAGGGGCGCTCAGTCTCGGCTCAGGTTAAAGCAGTGCCGCTCAGGATGGAGGCCGTAACTGGAACTAGGGTAAAAAAAATCTTATGTCCGACTATCGAGGAAATTCGGCACGCAAACCAGCATTATCAACACAACTTTCATATTCCTGAAAGCCGGTGAGCCAAAGTTACTAGACCAAAGCATGTTTCCAAACTTCCCCAATTCAACTTATCCGTGATCCTGCAGGCCGTGATCAAAATCACGGAAGCCATCCTCGAAGAAATTCTGCATGACCCCGTTCATGTCTGGTTGGTAGTCCCCGAATGTCTCGAAATTGTTGATGTTCATATTTCCCTGAGAACCCATGAAGTATGACAGTATATCAGTGCTCATCAAAGCGTCGGCTTGCTCGGTGTAGAAGGGAGGAAAGGTACTGTTCCCAGTGCCTCCGTTCCCGTTTTGGAGCCCCGGTAAGGTGTCGGAGACTGTATTCGCATCAAACATATCCACTATCTGTCCTAGGTCCGAAGTCGACGAGCTGTTAACCGCAATTTGTGCTCCTGACGATCCTCTGTCAGTCTGGGCATTTTCTTTGTTTTTCTGAGTGAAGCGTCGCAGTGTCGCCGTTGAGACGCGATCCAGTACGTCGCGGCTTCTCTTCGCCGCTGGCCAGTATTCCCCGGTAACACTAAGAACGTCAGAGGTGAATCTCAGCGCTCGCGCTAAAGTCTCGAAATCCACCTCATCGGCAACGCCGTTCGGTGCCCAGACACAGTAAAACATGATGATTACACACAAGAACAGGGAATTGATGCTGAGCCAGCTGTATTGTAGTGTACTTGTTGCATAAAGCTTATGGTAGAGAGTGCTGCATTCTATGGCACTGGAAAAGCATTCCCGAAGAGACATTTTCGAGGGGTGCTGCAAACGAGGGTTCGGTCGGCAAAGGAGCATAACGAGCTCGTGGTACTTTATCTCACATATGAGGTTAGTGCCGTATCGTGGGTTGCCTTGTGGATGTTGTGGAATGTCCTCCTTCCACTGATGGAGTCGGCCGAGCATGTTCTCTTTCCATTTTACAAGATCGGTAACCGCTGGTGTTGTGTAAGGCGGGTATACTCGATCCACACAATACAAGACGCACTTGATCTCGGAGTTTAATGTCGCTAGCTTGCAGAGATGGATTGCGGAGGACATCTTCGTAAGAGATTCATTTGTTTGCCCCGATGTTTGTCGGTTCGACCCAAGATCATCGTCATTAACATCTAGTGGGAACTGCAAAAATAAGATTGGCTCACTGTGCTTCCATAGGTTTACATCACTTACTCTTAGATCGCATTGCTCATCCATGATTCCGAGTGGTCTTCCCATGAGAGTGCACAGAACACGGTCCATGATGTACGTACACCAGAAGACTCTGGTTCGCATCTCTTGCTCAAGATGTGAAAGCCCGCTCACTTGTATACTACGCTGCAGACCAAGCTCGATCAGCCACGCAAGACAATGGTAATGAAGAGTCCACAAGCTCAAGCCAGAAGATGCGTTGTAGAGGGTATACATCTGCAGAAGTAAAATGCATTGAACCCCTGTGAGAGATGCTTTCTGGAAAATGCCATCGATTCGACTCATTGCGGAAGCACAATAGCCTTCCGCAGATAGCTGCACCTTTGCTTGACGGGAGAGGATCGTAGCAGCGATAGCGAGAACCATAAAAACCTGAAATTCGGCCGCTGGTCCGACTTCAATATCATCGTACATTCTCCGAATGGTTTCCAGGTGAGTTGCTTCGTGAAGGAAGGGATATTGTAGGTGAACGGTCTCAAAATATGACTCTGATAGCCATATTGCGTGCTTCTGTGCCGAAGGCAACTCGCTGGGTTGAACTTCGAGTAGGTCTATAGGTATCAAGGGGACGCCGTGCATGGAATCCGATGGCGACAACTCTTTAGCTTGTATTCTTCGTCCAACTCCTGTCAAGACAAATCTAGTGAAGAACAGTCCGCTGGAGGGACCTAGGTATCGTAAATCCGCTCCCGTAGACACCGAGACCAGTCCAACCTGCTCGGTGATTTCAAGGAGTGAGTCATCATCCTGAGGGGAGTTCTTGTGTGTTCCACTGTCCTGAGAAGCGGTTGCTTCGAGATCGTGGGGTCCATAATTCATTAGATCATCGGATTGATCGGTCGGTTCGCGATTCAGATCAATGCTTGGAAGGTTTTTACGGACGATCGACTCTAACCATTGAAGCCTCGCCTCTAGGCGGTTGACGTAGCTAGAAGTTGGCAATCAATAACACTGTCAGCTTACGCACATCATACAACGCCTGACCTGTGCGGGATCTCGCGCAATTTTCCTCCGCCCACACAATTTGCACCTGCTTTTTTACAAGCGCTGCAGGCAGGTAGCGCTGCGTCACACTGACAAATCGTCATCATTCAGCGCACAGGTATTTCCGATACATGGGGGTTAAAAGGCTATGCATGCAAGGACTCACCCGGATCTTCCGTTTCTGGCATCGGACACAAGCGGCGCTGATCCGTGATCTTGTCTTGGGCAAGCGTTGAGGTTGCTGGCTTAACATCGGCATGTTACCCACAGCAGGATGATGATGAGATTCCTCGACGGGTGCGATCCGCTCAAAATATCCGCTCATAATTTGTCAGCTTTCATTGCATTATTATTAACAGCGCAACGGGAACTCCCCGCTCTTGGCACGGAGAACATCCGTCCCTCCGGAAGTTGGGGCGGGACCTTTCCTCCATTCCATTCCATGTGCACCACCGCTTGAACTGACAGTGGTGCATCGAAAACTATCCACATAATGGGGCAGTGTATACGAGCACTACCTTATCTTTCTGCGTGGCTATTCCCGATATCTCACGCCCTACTTGGTCAGCATCGAGATCGCAATTTTACATTTGGCTATAAATACGAGCACTCACTCATTTCCCATGATTCTTCCCTAACCGCTTCCTCCGTGCAAAATTGACCGGTATATCACATTTTAATCAAAATTTTCCTTGAGTTCTCTGAAAACAGTGCAGAATGTCCCCTCCACGCCGTGCCGTTATCGCAATCACGTCTGCTACAGCACCGCTCCACGACGGCCATCCCACAGGCCTGTTCATTTCGGAAGCGCTTCATCCCTTCCAAGTATTCAAGGAGGCCGGCTTCGAGGTGGACCTCGTTTCCGAGAAAGGTACTTACGTGCCAGATTGGTTGAGTCAGCAGGAAAGCTTCTTGAATGGCGAAGACAAGAAGCAGTGGGAAGATACGAATGGCGAGTTCAGGACGAAGTTGGACAACATGCCGGACGTTCACAGCATTGATGGAAAGAAGGTGGGCTTTCTAACCCGCGCTGTTGGCCAGTGAATGTATCTGGGTGGATGCGGCTGACGTTTTAGTAGTACGGTGTCTTTTTCGCCAGCGCCGGCCACGCCGCGTTGATCGACTATCCTCACGCAAAAGGGTTGCAAAAAATAGCTACGGATGTCTGGACGCAAGGCGGGGTTGTATCAGCTGTGTAAGTGCCTTTGGCATAGTAGAACCATGGTATATGGCATTAGTCCAACCGGACGATCTGACACGCTCTGCGCAGGTGCCACGGGCCTGCGATCTATCCAGGCATTATCGACCCCACAACGAGCAAGTCCATTGTCAACGGCAGGACCATTACCGGCTTCACGACGCAAGCGGAGTACGACATGCACGTCATGGATGCCCTCCGAAACTGGAATGAGCCGCTCATCGATGAATGGGCCGAGAAATTAGGAGCTAAATGTACCAACCTGTCAACCATACCCTGCTGTTGATCCCTTTGGTTTGGCTGCAGCGGAAATGAAGATTCGCTGACGATTTTACACAGACGTCCGATCAGACGGAGTGTGGGACGATTTCCACGTCGCCGATGACAGGGTTGTGACAGGTATGAATCCACAGAGCGCTAAAGCCACGGCAGAGGCAGCTGTGAGGGTCTTGGAGAGGCTTTGAGCAGTCGGACATTCAAGATACAAGGAGGAAGGCAAGACCAGAAAACGCTATAGATTCCCGCGAAATAACAGTTCTGTGGCTGCGACCGTTTCATTGATGGTGAAAAATTTTCATTACGTGGTGAACAATAAGTAGTAGGACTAAGTTAGTACGAGTAGTACAGTCTCATGCCAAGAAATCCAAATATAGCGGCTACTAGTACTTAGTACTAGTACTACTTAGTAAGTCTTGTCCCACTACCCAAGGGCTTAACACACATCAGCAGTGTTCCACTTCAACCCAAAATACAAAACACAAAAGCGTTATATTTTATTATTCGACACCCACTTTCAACTTCTGGGCCCATGGTGTAGTTGGTTAGCACTGTCCAAGTTGTCACAATAGCAGATCATAGCCGGAATCGTACCCGGATCTGTGTGGCTCGTAGGTACCAACAGTGTTAACAGTGGCAACATTGCTCATTAACACATCGGACAACAAAAAATCCTCCTTAGGAGGGTTTCTCCTGGACTCCCCAACCCATCACCACAAAAATAATGTGGCTGGTGGTTTGGGAGTCCCAAGGTTTTTGGATTTTTTTTGGATTTTGGATTTAGTTTCTGTATAACATAGAAAAGGGCCACATCAATCACTCCATCAAAAAAACAGCGCTCATGGGTTTCGAACCATACTTAATTGGTGTATCCCCTATTGACTAAAACCCCAACACCTAACCACGTGGCTCAATCTCAGTCCCGCGCAACCTTTTCCGGAATGCGTTCAGACAACCCATTTAGGGGAAATCACGGATTTGATCTACTTGCCAAGCATTTGATTTGGTTTATTTGACTTAATTTGATTCGAAAGGAACACACTGCAGTACAATCGGTACGGATGAAATCCCCCGGACCATGGATGATTGCACATTACATATTGTCCAGGACAACTCTGTGGTTTGGGAAGTGCTCGTCTTTGTCTCCTCCTAGTAGTCTTCCGGCATCAGCTGTACTTCCAATGGTTTACAGAGACTGGTCATGACATTTGATAATCGGATGTGATTCCTCGCCTCTCTCTCTTGATGGTCGCGATCTTCTCGTCTCATCTCGGCTCGGCTCCTTCACACCTGTCTCTCTTTCACTAAATTTGACTATTCAAATACCGACGTCATAGACCAGACTACACGATTGATCCGGTAAAACGTCATGCTGACTCCCTAGACGTTGTGAAAGCGTAGAGATGGCAAATCTGCTATGATCAGGGCAGAGCAGGTCTACCAGTGAACGTTCTCCAGTTCTCCTCCAAAGGCACGACAACCTTTTGATAGAATGCTTGTCGAAAGTCGGCACAATTGATGTCATCGTACCACTGATCAAACTCGCACCGAACACACCGACGGACTGCGTTGCCGTATCGATCTCCAGCCTTTTGACGGATCTTGTAGATGAGCCTCTCCAGGGCAAGATAAGGAGTTTCCTCGGTCTCTTTTCCGTTGGAGTCGAGATCTGCGGGTACGTACATCTCATGGAGTCGCTTGTGGAAGAAGACTTCGACAAGGGAAACTCCGAGGATGAATACGCCGTGGTTGCGATTGCGCAGGTTTCGAACTGTATGGGGTGTAGCCTCTTGGGCTGTTGGATCAAGGGTCAATCTTGAGGCCGTGCTCGTGCTGGAAGCCGTGCTCGTGTTGGAAGAGCTTGAGGAGGCATCTGACTCAGGAGGGGTAGGGAGGGAGCTGGTTGGGTAGTGATGCTGGGAAGAGTGAAAGGACTTCGATACAAATGGCTCCATCAGCGCTGGATCTCTGGTGCCATCCAGACGGCGTAGGAACTGCACGTCTTTGAGACCCCAAGCGCTGTCTAGAAAAGAGGTTCCATACAGTCGAAGAAATATCCACGACAGGACATAGGCGAGATATAGTCGATCAGGCATTTCGATTTTCTTGTGGACTAGTAAGAGCTTTCCCTGTATCTTGGTTGGATTGTGAGGCGCAAACTTTCGCTCCAAAAGGTCTTCAAGGTTCACCATATCATCGGTAGAGGAGACAAGAGGACGTGGATGGCGCTTCACAGGGTACACCACAAAGCGTAAAGGCGGGTCAAGGGGTAAAAAACCAAGCGGCGGCGCTCCTTCCTGAACCGACGTGAGTTGCAAACAAAGCTCCCGAATCTCCCGCATCGCTTGAGGACGACTAGGGGTTGGTGGCGGTGTTTGCGCGGCACTGGAAGTCGGCCAGTGCACTTGCTTACGCTTTTTCAGCTTGTTGGGCCCTGAAAGTGGCCTGAAATTCGTTGAGCAGCTATATCAGCGAACGTAATCTAGTTATGACACCGAAGTGGTGGAAAAGCCTTGACCTACCCTTCTTTTTGGTTGCCCTTCGTATACGTTGGATGAGACGTAGAAGCCAAGCTGTCACCGCTACCGCCAGCCCCGTCGACCTGGGAGCATGTTGAGGTAGGGACGAAAGTCTCAGGTTCAAAATGAGTCTCGTGCCAGTTCCACCGTGGCGGAGATGCGGCGAAGCTTCCGTGATCATGAAACGAGAACAAAACATCAAGTCCACGGCAGTCAGATTGCCGCTGACAGCATGTGCTTTCAGTGCCGGTTGTGCTAGAATGCGTTGGATTACCCACCCGCAGACTCGCGTTATGCGGGATCACACAATGACATCCCCAGGGAGCGGATTTCAGAGAACTGTCAAGATGTGACACATGCTCCCGGAAGCGGTCCACATCTTCCTCAAGCACGGCGCGTCGTTCACAGTATGGTGCAAGGGCCACACTTGACTTGGCAATGCTGCTCAATTGCTTGTTCTTGTCTTTGAGACGCTTTTTGAGTTCTTTGATCTTGTCGCGATGGAGGAAGGAGAAGCGTATTCGATGGAATGCTCGCTCGAAAGCATCTTTGTCTGACCACTTGGGCTACACGGACAATCAGTCTTGGTAGCTGCAACGGCAGGGGGAGTTGCACTTGGCCGTCCTGATCAACGTCCAGCTTTGTGTAGAGCTCGTCCAGAGTAGCCTTGAAGCCACTGACTATGTCCATGAAGACGGAGAAGTCAAAGCTCCCCAGACATTTGGACAGCCGCGCTGCCAGATCTGGTTCCTTCCATTGGGCGCCGCCAGGATCGCCTAGTAGCTGGCCCAGAACTTTGGGCTGTACACATCGGTTTAGGAGCAAGGTTAAAGATTGTAGGAATTTTGCGCGATGGAAAGCAAGGTCGCCTTTCAACTCAATCAGTCGTAATTTGTAGTGACTATAGGTCTGAAATGGCTCGAGGCCAGCTTTGTAGTGGTCTAAAGCAGCAATCAGGAGCGGGAAACTCGCCAAAACCAGGCCCACAGTCTCGATGCCGGTCAGCATCTCTTAGATCTAACGAATGAACATTCCATCACGAGGTCGACCTCATCGAAGCTGTTTATGAATGGAGTTCCATGTGTGCGAAGGATGGCGCAGCACGTAATAGGAGGGACAGCAAGCGAAGGTGGCACATGAGCCACAAGCACAAGGCTGCATGGCCCCAAGGCTGAATCTGAAATCTGCCTCCTTGATCTGACGGAACCGAAGCTACATCGCCTTTGTACTTCTCAAAGATCCAGATATGCGTATTTGAATGAAATGGGAAGCATTGATGAAGAGATCTTAGGATGTTGTGACAAGCTCTCCTCATTCATCCGAAGGTTGGAGCCGCTGTGGGAAGATGCAGTGGTCCTTCCTTGGTATGAGCAGCTCGGTCGACTAAGGGTGTGGATTGAGGAGAACAGAATTGCCAGCAATGGCAGAGCTTCGCTCGAGCAGCGCCTCGAAGGCTCCTCACACATTGTCAGCGCCATTCTGGAGCTCTTAACTACGCTTAGGCATACGGTTCAGTCCTGTAAGCACTTCCTGGTGACCGATTGGCACTTGCTGACCATGACGGTAGGTGCCGACTGGGACGTTGATTATCTACACACGACCCAGGAGAGTGCTCATGCCCCGTCTCTCCCAGAGGATGTGACCGATATGCTGGACATACTGACAAACGTTCTTGATTCTCTCTACGATCTTTCTTCCACTTTCACAAACCCCATGCCCATCGACATGCTCACCGACCCTATATTCCAATCGATTGACGAGTTCGCTGAAGCCTTCGATGTGGCTCATGTAGAAGCCAAATTTCCATGCGCGCCTCTACCGCTTGTTCGGAGGTTGGGTAGCATGAACATCCGCCGCAGATCATCTCTTTGGTATCAAAAAAGAAAGAATGACGCCTTGCAATCAGCACTTGCGCAAACCATGCCTACCTCGAAGGCCGTTGCATCCTCTGCCCGCTCGCGCAAGAGCCATGTTACTGATCCTTCAACCGTTCTCTCCTCGGTTCCCTCCGTGTTTGACACTCCGCTGAATGAGTTTCAAGCAGTCACTGTCGACTCACGGAGTTCTGTCTCGTTGTCGCAGCCGATGAAGACAGCCACTCGACCCGCTACTGGGCCAATTGACTCGTCCTTGCTTCCTGAACTAGACTCTTTGGCGCGATCTGATGATGAAGGTTCTGTTGATTCCATGACATCGTTTGCGGTAACGGTGAGCCCAAGCTCCGAGACTCAAGCAAGGGTTCCGAAGCCTCCACCGAAGTTTTATGAGGACCAGCCATTCGAATGTATGTATTGTTTTAAGACCTTGAGAAACGTGAAGACTCATCGTGCCTGGAAGTAAGCCGCGGCTTCCAGTTTGGATTGATCACTAATACTAATATTGCCAAAGGCGACATGTCATGCGAGACCTCAAACCATACGTTTGTTCGTTTGGAGGCTGCTCAGAAGATGCCAGAATGTTCCGTCGTCGCCGAGATTGGTTCCAACATGAGCTTGATGTGCACCGAACCTACTGGGAATGTCCAAGAGGCTGTTTGGAGCTTTTCTTTAACAGCAGTGACTTCAAAGCTCACATGATTGGTCAACACCAAACTCAACTCACGCAGGACCAGTTAGAAACACTGACGAAGGCATTGGCAAAACAGCAAGATGGACGCCACAAGGCTGGCTGCAAGCTCTGCGGGAAAGAATATCCAGTAAACGATGGGCTGCGTCGTCACATAGGTGGTGAGATGGAAGAAATTGCCTTGTTTGTAATGCCACGGCCACATGACTTTTGGGATGGATCGGACGGGTCAAGCGACACGGATGCCTCCGATAGCACTGGCAGCATATCAGAAGATGCCAAAGTTGCTGTGTTTTCCAGAGCCGAAGTTGAGACAAACCCAGCACGTTTGGCCGACACTACAACAGGAGAAGCTGACTCCGTTGTCAGTCTTTCAGCTAGACTTCTGAAGCAGGAGACGAGTGAGTCGGAGGTATTTCAATTAGGTGTGGACGAGACGGCTAGGTTAGGTGGACAGGATGAAGCTGTTGCATCTGATGCCATGACGGAACAACCAGAACGTCCCGTGACCGAGGATGAGATCGAGACAGATTATGACGATGACACAACAATTGACGAGGCACTCAAAGATGTCGCCGCTGAAGTTGACTCTCCAGCGCGCAAATCGCAATCCACCATAGCGTCGCCTACTGGCGAACTGTCCCCTTCACTGAGCCCAGAGCCAGGCGACATCCTTCTCCACGATCTGTATCCTGTCATGACCCAAGAGAATTCCTTCCCAGGTCACCAAGAGACCACCGGAAAGCTTACATCCATGAAGCCTGCAACAAAGCATGCTGTCGGAGAAGCCGAGAACCCAGAAGCCGCTCATCAGACAGATTACGACCATGACAGCCAGACTGGCATTTCAGACCCAGGTTCGCAAAAGGCTCTGGAGGATACGCTATTACATGACCAAGGAGACCAAAGCACGTCGCTCACTGACTTCCAACGAGACCTTAGAACTCTGCGGTCGCTGCCCTCTCTCACAGCTACTCTAGCACAGCATTCAAGTACATCTCTCCAGTCAGACCATACCTTAGCAGAGTTGCGATCGATTGCCGAGACGTTGAATAGAAATCTGAACCGAGCACAGACGCCTGAAACTGTGAGCACGCCGGAGGCTTTTTCAGACCCCTCGGCAGCATCGACCTTCAAATGCACGCATCCTGGATGTACTGCCTTTCCCTTCCAGACACAATATCTTCTGGACGCCCATGTAAACGTGCACAGCCAGCCGGCCCCACACTACTGCCCTGTGAAAGGCTGTCCTCGTGCAGCTGGTGGTAAAGGGTTCAAGAGAAAGAATGATATGATCCGGCACGGACGTGTACATGAGTCGCGCGGATACACATGTCCATTTTGCGCGGACCAACAGCATCGGTATCCACGAGCAGATAATCTGATGAGGTGTGTGATTGTTCGATTTGGTAGAGATTTACTGGGCTCCATGCTAACCGACGCTTCTCAGACATTTTCGTATCCACCACCCCGACAAAGATCGCGATGATGCACAACTCCAATTGGTGCGATCACTAGACTCTAAATACGATCCAGAGCCGCCGCTGAGGCCTCCACCTGTTGACCTTGCCAGCGCGCGCGCATTGTTAGACGAACTTACTCGTCTAGCAGGTCCGAGCCACGAGAGTTCGCGAAGCACTACACCTAGCGACTTCTCTAATCAAGGCGATCTTCAGATACTAGACCATGCTGGGCGCGTGACATCCCAAAATGAACCTTACCGACCGCATTCCCTCGGTTTCGAGGTCGGAGCGTCAAAGGGCCCCCCCAAGTCTCCCGTATAGGAGGCCAGCGCCACCGCTTCTTCTGCTTCTCCTTCTCCTTCAAGAATCAGTATGTGCTGTTTTGACTTGGAAGAACGAGGATTTGACGAGCCGATCTTTTGTATGCTGTGCTTGCTGTCTTTCATTTTCAGCGAGTGGCGGATTGTGGTTTAGTGACAAGAATAATAACAAATGATGAGATACAGTTTACTGAAGATTCGCTTCCGAGTGGAGGAATAAGAGATTTGTCATATGCTCTCTCATTTACAATTATACCGTCGTTGGGATTAAGGCGGACGTACACCTCTACTGGACCCAATGTGCTGAGTTTGGGAAACTGCCGAATCTAAATATTTGTGGGTTAAATGGGATTTGGTTATTGGCTCATCACTCATTGTATCCAGGAGCAAGCCACTGAACGGTTCTTCCATGGGATATGGGGGCTGTGGTGACTCCCGGCTGCTGTCACCAATTGTAGTGGACAGGCAACGCTGACGCCGAGAACGGGGTTGCGTCACAGTATGACATGTAGTCGTAGTAACAGCATGAAGTGTTCTGTCAGGATTCTATATTCATACTGTCATCCTCTTCTCCCACGGCACCACCGCCACCTTCAGCCGGTACCTCCTCCGGCTCCGCAATCGCAGCCTGCATGACCCCTTCCTTTTCTTTCGTCTCTCCCTCCGCCCTCGCCTTCAGCCTCGCCTCGCGCTTAGCCTGCCTCAGACTCTTAGTCGCCTTCCCCTTCCCCATCCCGACCTCCGCCTCCCCATCCCTTCGTCCCGCCGCCCACTTCTCCCTCGCCTCCTCCTCCTCCCGCTCCGACCACTCGACCGGCAACACCGCAAAGACCAGATACGAAGTATGCGTCTTAATCTCCGGCTCACTCCGATGCACCAGCACGCCGTCGCGGAAGAGCAGCTTCCTGGCCTCCTGCTGCGGCATTTTCTTCGTCATCTTCTCCTCTCCCCTCCTCGCCTTCCC